CCCTTCAATTTTTCCCCTTCATCCCTTACTCCCTTTCCTCCTCCTACACTTATATTCTCCCCCCCCCCCCCCCGGCCCCTTTTCTCTCGTCGCACTGAACAGTCGTGCAGGTCTACAAGGGCGTTCTCCCCGAGTACAGCAAGCTTGCCGAGGAGCTGAGTAACGGCCCTTGCTTTGCTCTCGAGGTCCCCGGCAAGAGTCCAGCTCTTCCCCTCCTCACTTGCTGAGCCGCAGGTTCGCTCCGAGAACGCCGTCCAGGCCCTCCGCGAACTCATCGGCCCTCATGACCCAGAGCTCGCCCGTGTCCTCCGTCCAACAACCTTGCGAGCTCAGGTGGGACAACCCCTGGCTCCTCCTCTACCCACGCGTTCTCTTCCTTCTCCGCCCTCACTCCCTCCATCTCCATTCTCATTTTCCCTCGCTCCCTTGTTTCCTCACTCCATTCCTTCCAACTCCTCCTCTCCTCCCTCCCCTAGTTCTGGATCACTTCTGACCAGCTGGCAGTTCGGAGTGGACAAAGTCATGAACGCTATCCATTGCACAGACCTGCCCGAGGACGGCCAGTTGGAAGTGGAATACTTCTTCCGGATTTTACAGAACAACTGAAACTCACACTGACAAGGACGATCGGGCTCGGCATGTTGTTGGATACTTGTGTAAATTCTTCTCTGTTGCCTCCCCGACAGTCTCTCCTGCTCATTGGCTGCTCTCTTGACCCGTCACTACATCACATCCTTGGGGTTAGAAGAGGTTGGGCTGGCCCGTGCAGCGGATCATGCGGTTGTATGCGCGACTCTTGGTGTCAACGCGGACCTTGTTGGAAGGGTCGCACATCTCCTCGATGGGGATGTAGACGTACCTGCAGCAGCGCTCACACCCCAATTCTCTCCCCCCTACCTTCGTCCTGCCTCCTGCCTCCTGCCTCCTGCCTCTTCTTCTATCTCTTTGAACCCTTCCTCCTGCCTCCTGCCTCCTGCCTCCTGCCTCCTGCCTCCTCTTCTATCTCTTTGAACCCTTCCTCCTGCCTCCTGTATTCCTTCCTCCTCCCTCGTCTCCTCTCCTCCCACGCCCCCTCCCCTGCTCATCGGCTGCCTCATCTCCTTTTTCTTCTCCCTCACCTGTGATTCACTTGCCCACAGCTGAAGCCGGTGAAACCCGCCATGGCACCATGCACAACGGTGCTTCCGAGGGTCGAGCAGTAGACGCTGGAGGCGAGTGAGGAGGAGAGCAGCGACGGAATGCACGCGTACCTGTCTGATGGGTTGGCGGCAACGGATCTGATCTGGTAGGAGGGGTCCAGGTATCGGATCTCAGCAGGGAAATCTTTGGCTGGAGAAGAAGATGAGGAGGAAGAGGAGGAGGAAGAGGCTTATGGGGAACCTTTGAACCAATTCTTCATCTCGTCCTGCTCACTCTGTAAGATTTCGGAGATGGAGGGGCAGGCATGACTGACCCTCAAGTACGTCCCGATGTCCGGCAGCCGCTTGTTACCTGATGTTAAGTCAGTGAGGCCGACGAGATGGTAGAGGCAGGGAAGCAGACAGAGATGTGGAGGAGGGCATGATGATGATGATGTTGATGATGATGATGACAATGATGATGATGATGATGATGATGATGATGATGATGATGACGACGACGACGACGACGAGGAAAGCAAGAAGAGGGAGGGTAGCGGAAAGCGTAACAGTGCAAGACAAGAAAAGAAGGACAGACAAGAGGGATCAGGGGATATATGGCAAGAGACGAGACCTGAGGCGTCGACTCCTAGATCTACTCCCTCGAAGTGATGGGATCCAGCTCCTGAGCAAGAGAACACATCAGGTCGGGTAGGGCGGCAAGATGCAGAACCCTCGGCCACCACGATGAGGCAGTGTCCTCTCTTCTTCAAGACCTCCGCTGCTCAACCGCGTCACTCGCAGACGAGGGAGGGGAGGGGCAACTTGTGTATTCGCAGAGCTTGTCCATGCTGAAGGGAGCCTCCGGGATCAGACAGATATCAACATCGTTGGACGCCAATGCCGAGTACATTGCAACGAATCTACAAGAGCAGCAGATGAGAGACAGTCGAGCCGGATGCTTCGACGGACCCGCACTCTCGGCCCATGAGCTTGACGATCGCGATGCCGTTGTGCGAGTCCTGAAGGAGGGAGTAAGGGTAGTTGAAGCACCGAGGAGAGTGGCTCGCACGTCAGCTTCGATCCTTGCGCAGTTGATGACCTTGCAAGCTGAGGATAGATCAGACGAGAGACGGGGGAGGGAAGAGCGTTTACCCTCAGCTACTGCAGAGTCGAAACCGAACGACTTGTCGATGAATGCCACGTCATTGTCAATGGTCTTTGGCACTCCGCAAACGGACATAGCATACTCCCTCCGCGCTGCTTCCTGTCTCTTTGTGAGATACTCCCTCCTCGTTCTCCTCGTCCTCTTCCTCGTCCTCTTCCTCCTTGACTTCGTCCTCGTCCTCGTCCTCGTCCGTCCCCTCCTCTTCCTCTCTCTCCGACCTGAGAGATGAGGTTTGCTCCTCGATGTGTCCCGTCGCCTCCGACCACATACACCTTCCACCAACGTCAACACCCAGCACCTCCTCCCTCTTCGACTTCCCCCCCCTCCCGTCCAGCAGCGGTCCACCTGGTTGACTCCGTTGGAGGTCAGAGCTGACATGATCTTGTCCATATTCTCCTTGGGCCCTCCCCCACGGGAGGAGCCGAGGACCGTTCCTCCTCTCTTGTGAATCTGCACCGGGCCCAGCATCAGCAACGGAACCTCTCACAACCTCCCTCACGTTCTCGACGGTCTTGCAGTCAAGGTCGACCCACGGCAAGCTGTAAAACCCCTTGTATCCAAACTGGATGCCCCAGACTTTCTTCACGCTGCCGGCTAGTCAGCGCACCCTCAGCCCCTCCCTTCCTCAGTCGCGTACTCATAGGTTTTGATCAAGGTGTCCACTATCGCCTTGATGACATTGTTCAGTCCTGCCTCAACGTCAACGGACTCCATCCGCTGCTCTCCTCGTTAACCAGGACACAGTCCTCCGCACGTGACGATGGCAGCAACGACCTCCTTCGGCTTGAAGTAGAGGAAGTCTCGTGGACCTGCACGTACCCACTGGAGCGAAGTCAGTCTTTGCAGGAAGCACAAGATCAGATCGTAGACTGAAGCACAACCATCCTCTTCTCCTTCTCTCACCTGCCTGTACAGCAAATTCTTCTGGGACGCGCGGGGAGAGTTCAGGTACAGAACGTCAAGCACCGTTTCGTCCTGAGCAATCCAGTCGGCCTCCCATTATAAACCCTCCCTGCTGACGTCACCTGGCCCACCATGGCTCCGCGCCATGTCAGAGGAGTCTCATACTTCTCAGCAGGAAGCCACTCGTCTGTTGCAACAGAGCTCAGACGATGGCGGGCAGAACGAAAGGAGGAGGAGGAGGAGGAGGAAGAGGAAGAGGAATAGGTGAGGAAGCTGCGACAGGGGCAGGGGCAGGGGCAGGGGCAGCCTCCAGCATAGCGGCCACACCGATATGGTCAATCTTCATGAAGATGGGATTGATAGCGTGCTCTTCGAAGCCATCCTTCCCCTTGAAGAGCCCTCCTATCTAACTCCAGGGGTCAAGGAACAGAGCTCCAGGAGCACGAGCCTCGTACCTTGAGTTGTGACTTGCAGCAGGAAGGATCTCTCATCAGACGCGATGGGCTCCGACTTATGGACCCCTCATTGGCAGCTGCAGCACCAGACGGTCAGTCCGCAGGCATCGTAACTCAAGAGCAGGCGCTACGCCTCACCAGTCAGCGGGAGGAAGACTGATGAGAGAAGGACCAGGCATCTGGCCAGAGAAGCCATGCTCTGCAAGAACCACTTTGAGTGAGTGCCAAACAGGTAGAACGGTAGATGCTGGATCAGTAAAACTTTCAGTTCTTGTTGCTGGCAACCATAGCATGCAGCACTCTGGTACCATTGAGGTGTACAGCAACAGTCTTTCTCCCCGACCTGCTGTATCTCATTCTATCTCATCTCTGATCGATTTAGCCTGCACGTGTAGCAACTCGTTCCTCTCTACCTCATCATGCTCTGCTTTTTCCACCTCCCCATCCTCCTCTCCTCCTCCATCTTCCGCCTCCTTCCCTTGTATCCCGCATGCCATGGATTTTTTTACTCAATTCAAGTTGGCGGGTCTTCTCATAGTCAATTTTTCCAGCTCTCAATTTATTGACTTTAATTTCGATATCTGATTGAAAACTTTCGGGAAGAAATTGATCAATTTGAGCACCCCTCATTGAAATGGTCAGCAATGGTCAGCATGGGGGTCCTGACCACAAGGGATGCAACAGGAGGGTGTTGATGGGTGGGAAAACAGGGGTACTTCATGTTGATGTTCAGGGGGTAGGGTGGTATACCCTATAATATATGCTCCCAAACTTGCTAGGACCCCGCCAACAAAAACAAAAAATGAACGCCAGGGACCCCTCAGTCCCAGATGCCGGTGCCGGCCGTCCGGGCCCGGGGCCTCCAACTTTGTCTTCCCGGTAGGACTAGCACTGAGATTATCTGATTCCAAAGATGATGGCCGGGCGCTGCTTTTTGCAAGCGACGAACTGGAGAATCCAGAGATGGCGGGAAAACAGTGGGAGGAGACTAGGAGAGGAGAGGCGAAGGGAGAGATAGGAAGAGGGTAATGGAACAAGCGAGGAAGTTGCAAGGAGAGAAGTATGAACAGAAGATGATGAGGAGAACACGCGGAAGTAGGGAAGAAGGAAATATATTAGTGGTGAAAAGAGTAGGAGATTTAGTTTCCAGCGAAAGGGGAAGCAGAAGGGCATAAATTCAGGCAGACGAGGAGAGAATAACGATTATGAGGTATAGAACTGATTTCATGCGAATGGTTATTGTTGGAGGCCCAGTGTGGTGGGATCTTGATGGATATGCAGCGGAAGGGAGTCAGTTGACAACCAAGGATTATGTGGTTTTTAGTTGAAACATTACACGGTGGTCAACGAGTGTCTGACAAACATGCCTTTTACTTCTAGCAGACACTGAAGGCTTCAGATGGAATAGCTCGAGGAGGAGGCAGGGGGGGGGTTAAACATGAGCTCGGCAGTCACCCCTGGACTGTTGGATAAGAGATGAATCCTGTCTAGGTTCGACTCTCAACCCTTCGCGGTCCCAGCATGGACACCACAGTGACGGATGGTGATGTCAAGGATGCAAGCAGCAAGGTGATCCTGGACTGCGTGCGTCCATGGTCTTGCTCTGATCGCCATTACCCTCAGGTTACTAACGAGTTTCGAGAAGCCGAGAAGTCGGAAGAGCCTTCCGGTGACCGTCTTTGTATGCTCCCCTCCCCATATCGTTATGCTTTTCACCAGGAAAAGGTGATGAGTGGCTGAGAGAGGGCAGCGAGTACATCGGCCAACGGATACGCCGAGTGGTGTACAACGAGAACTCCGAGCCTTTCCCAGCTGATGGGACCGTGGTGGGCTGGTTGCCAGTTGATCTAGCCGATTTCACCAGCGAGCACACCAACGAGCCTGCGGCTCTCTGGCACATCCAGTTTGATGACGAGAACATTGGTGAGGAGGACCTGGAGGAGTTTGAGGTCAGAGACGCCATCGATCTCTACAAGGACAGGTTGAAGGAAGACCCCTCCTCCAAGTCCAAGCCTTCCAAGAAAGGATCCGCAGGAAGGAAGAGCAAGGCCGATCGCAAGGAGCAGAGTGAAGAGCCGCATAAGAATCAGAGCAGGAAGAAGGCTGCTGGGCAGGGACTTCTCAAGAAGCCTCAGAGTGCGTTCATGGTGTGGAGCTGCACCATTCGTCCAAAACTCCGAGATGAAAGACCCGAGCTTGACTTCGCTGGGCTGAGCTCTCACTGCGCCAAACTCTGGCGGGAGATGCCGGCAGACGAGAAGCAGGAGTGGAACAAGAAGTACTCGAAAGCTCTGCAGGACTGGAACGATATGGAGAGTCAGATGCGGATGGGTGAGGGAGGGTCTGCCAAGCTCTCTCCCGACCTCTCCGAGGTTGACAACAGGTCTATCAATGAGAGCGAAGGCTCCGAGTGCTCTCGATCAGACAAGGGGAAAGGCAAAGTGAAGCCAACTCCTTCCAAGGATGATTGCTTCGTCATTGTTGTCGATGAAGCTTGGGAGAGTCAGCGCGGGTTTCGACTCTTCGAGATTTGTTCGTGCCCGACTTCGGATGGTACGTGCAAGGCCCGAGAGTGGTACAGCTCTGCCGACTTTGACGAGTGCAAGTTGGGCCAGCAGAAATTCCTTCCTTCTCAGCCTTCCGCCAAATCGTTTCAGCTGAAGATCAACTCTTTCTATCCCGTGCAGACCCTGCGAGGTCGGCAGAACAGGAAGGAGTATGTGCAGATAGCGGGAGAGCAGGACATGGTGTCGGAAGCGTATCAGGTGCTGCGAGGTGAAAGGGCTGGTCACGGCCTTGAGGAGCTGGTAGTGAGGTCGGGAGAGGAGAGCTCGACTAGGGCTACTCCGTCAAAGTTGACCAAAGAGAAGAACTCCAGGAACTCAACGCCTGTGTCGAAGGAGTGTCAGGAAAAGAACTTGAACTCGGACGAGGAGCAAAACACATCGACACCACCGAGCTCGAAGGGGAAGAGGAGCATCGGCAACAACGACGTGCGGGAGAGCGAAGGGGAAATTTCGCAGTCAACGAAGCGGGTCAGGAGGAACTTGGACGTGAATGGGACCCATTCGACGGAAGCGATTTCGGACAAAGAAGGTCAAAGAGCAGCAGAAGCAGGTAATATTTCTAGATGACAAGGACAGGAAGATATTGATGGAGATGATAACGGTGACAGTAACGATGCCGATGACAAAAATGATTCCATGTTTATGACGATGACAACGGTATATAGTGATAATATCTGTTGAGCAGGCTCAAAAGGACTTCAACGAGCTCAAAAGACGACAGGTGCTGATAGATCGTTTGGCTTGATTTCGACACTGACTGCTTGCAGTGACTGAGAAAGTGCCGTCGCCGGAGGAGCTCCGAAGGTAGCGGGATCAACAAACGTCCCTGTCGGAGAGGAGCTCGTGATCTGATGGGTTGACAGGCGAGAGGAGGAGAGGCGGCGCAGACATCTCGAGCAACTGAAGCAGCTGAGGAAGGGACTATGGTGCGAGCATGCAGAAGGACGGCAGCGACTCACGGGATGGCAGGGAGCTCATGGAGAAGGAGAGCTGTGCTCCCCTGATGCTGCGGTTGGCATGGCATGACGCGGCAACTTATCGAGCAGATGGAGGAAAGTGGAGGACGAGGAAATGATGACGACGATGATGATAATGATGCCAATGAGGCCGATGATGATGATGATGATGATGATGATGATGATGATGATGATGATGATGATGATGATGATGATGATGATGATGATGATGATGATGATGATGATGATGATGATGATGATGATGATGATGATGATGATGATGATGATGATGATGATGATGATGATGATGATGATGGTAATGATGGTGATGGTGATGGTGATGGTGATGGTGATGGTGATGGTGATCGTGATCGTGATGGTGTTTAAGATGCTGTTGATGTTGATGTTGACGTTAGCAATAATATTGAAGATAGTGCGGTGGCGGATGAGATCGGATGACTCTGACAAGTCTACAGGGGAATGGCCGAGGTGCGGAGGCGTCAACGGCTCCATCACCTTCGCTCCCGAACTCGATCTCCCCTGCAACAAGGGACTGACACTCGCACTCTCACTCCTCTACGAGCTTCAAGTGCGTCGGGGGAGACGGAGATGTCGATGAAGGGACTTACAGCCTTTCCGACAGGAGAAGAACGACTTGGTCTCTGTTGCCGACGTCATCCAGATGGCTGGACAAGTAACTCCCTGCTCTTTCTGTGCTCCTACTCATCCTCCCTCTCAGGTGGCAGTTGAGTTCTCGGGCGGTCCCAAGATCGCGATGCGATGGGGGAGGTCAACAACAGGAGTGAAATATCTGTGCTCTGACTCTGACGTGGCAGGAAGCATGTGGACGACCCGGACTGTTGTGCAGACCCTGCTGTCTCTCAAGACCTAGAGCGAGGAAATCCTCCCTTCGCTTCCTCTTTGTCTGCTCCTGAGCATCTGCGGCAAATTTTCGGTCTAATGGGCCTGTCTGACCAGGTCTGCCTACCATGTCTTCCCGTACCTCCATCTGCTCCAGCTAGTTTTCAATCTTTGCATCCTCTATCCACCTATCTGCTCCTGCCACTTCCTCTGCTCTTTCCCTGTCTTGTTCTGCTTCTCACTCTCGCTTCTCCTCTCCCTCTCCTTCTTTTCTTTTGCACCAGGAGATCGTCGTCTTGATGGGTGCTCACACGCTGGGGAGGGCGCGGCCATCACGGTCAGGGGAAGGGGCGGCAGCGACTTGCTACACGAGAGATGGGCCAGGGAGGTGCAAGGGAGGGTCGAGCTGGACTCAGGTGAGGCTGAGCTGGGCTTGCCGAGCTGTCAAAGTCTCATGTCAACCTCAGGAGTGGCTCAAGTTTGACAACAGCTACTTCAAGAACCTCCTGCTGACGGTAGGCATGACCAGCAGCCCCTCCACTTGATTCGCAGCATTTTCTGCATCATTCTCCAGCCCTCCTAGCCTCTCCCCCCTTCCACTAACTGCATATTTCCTGCTCTGCTCTCCTGCTCTTCATTGCTCGAATCTAATCTTCTGTTGTTGTCTCTCACGATTCTCCTGCAGCCACCAGCTGATTCTCAGCTCCTTCGCCTCTCGACCGATTCAGCACTCGCAGAGGTTTCCAGCCTCCGTCTCTAGGGCAACTCTCCAGCTGAACCCGTGCAGGACCCGGTGTTTCGAGAGTGGGTGGAGAAGTACGCGGAGGACCAGGTAGGCTCTTGTGCAGCTCGCGTAGCAGCTGGGGTTGACCTGGGCCCCAGGAGCTGTTCTTCTCGGACTATGCGCGAACTCACCGCAAGATGAGCGAGCTGGGGGCGAAGTTCGAGCCTCAGGAAGGGATTGAGGTAGACTTGGAGGAAGGCTGAACAAGCTGCTCGCGCACTGCCCTCTCGCTCTCCCCTCCTCTCCGAATAGCCTTTCCTGCTACGACTAAAATCTCCTCTTCCTTCTCTTCTTATCTTTCCCCCTTTCTTTCTACCTCCACATTGTCTTTCTCCTTTTCTCCTCTATATAAATATTATCAAGATCTCGAAATTCCTGCTGGTAGTCCGCTGCGCCCTACAGACTCTAGAGGAACCACAACAGAACCCTCGCCCATGTCCAGCTGCAGAAAACAGCAGAGGTGGGCGGCTAGCGGAGCATTAGGATGAAACTTTAATGGCAATGGGGAAGAAGAGGAGCTCAGGGGCACTGGGAGTGAACGATTCTGACGCCCTCCTCCGACCACTGCTTCTTGGATATCCACATCCTGCAGAGGATGAAGTTAGAGGAGGCAAGAGAGGATAAGGACTCACTGTTGGAAGGAGCCGAGGGACGCCAGGATGGAACCGCCGATCCAGACGCTGAACCTCCTTTCTGTCGTTGCCATGGGGGAGATGGTCTTGACCTTGAGAAGCTGCGGAGAAATGAGAGGAGACAAGAAGAAGAGGACGAGGAGGGACACACAGAAGAGGAGGAAGAGGAGGAGCGGGAGCGGGAGCGGGAGCAGGAGCAGGAGCAGGAGGATAGGATCCTGAGACGAGGAGCATTGAAGGGGAACAGGGAAGGCAAGGTGAAGAGGAAGAGGGAGGAAAGTGGAAATGGAGAAGAGGAACGAGAAGAAGGGATGATTGTTGGGCTCACGCTAATGGACTCGGCCAGCTCTCGCTCCAGCCTCTCCTTGAACATGGGGAACAAGGTGTTGCCTCCCGTTACTATCACAGTTCTGCTCCACAAGTCAGGCAGTGGCGATCTAATGAGAGGAGAAGGTAGAGGAGAGGGCGTCGTTGAGAGGACGAGAGGAGGAAGGAGAGAGAAAGAGAGTTGGAAATGGAAGAGGAGAGGAGGAAGGAGAGAGGAAGGGAGGTGGTAAGGGAGGAGGCGAGGAGGAAGCAAGAAGGAAGATGAGGAAGAAGATGAAGTGTTGGGATGAGCAGGCGAGTGATGGTGGGTGATGATCGTCTTAAGGGGGATGCAAAACATTGGGGCAGCAACAGCAAGAGGGGGCGATGCAATAGGCTACCCGTAGAGATCTTTCTTGATGTCAGAGTCACATTTTCCGACACTCTCGTTGATGCAATCATGCAGCGCCTGTGCCAAGTCATTAAGAAGAGGAGGAGAGGAGGAGAGATGAGTCAGCGATGGAGAGAGCTGAGAGTGATGAGTGGGAGAGTAAGAAGGGAGCATACAAGAAGAGGTCAGGAGAGGGAAGAGGGACGAGGGACGATGGGAGAGGGAAAGGCAGAGGGATAAGGGGGAAGAGGGAACAGGAAAAGGGAAGGAGGAGGAAAGATGAAAGGAGGAGAGGAGAAAGGAAGGAGCGATGGGGTTTGATTCAACTGACCTGCAGTTCTGACGGAGAGTTGACCCCGAAGATGCTGCACTTGTCCGCCTGCTCAACGATCAGCCTTGGCCAGACGAAGAAATGAAATCACCTCTAGAGCAGAAGGATTGAACATGATCTCACATGCCTGCAAACTCTTAGCTCCTCCTCCTCCCTCCTCCTCCTTCCCCCCCTGTTCCCTCTTCCCCCTTATCCTCCTCCTCCCCCCACTCCTCCTCCTTGTATACCTTGAATCTCTCTGCACCCACATCGATCACTTTCCCGTCCGGCAATTCGTATTGAGCAAAAGGAATTTGAGCATTTGAGCTGAAGGAAAACGTCAAAGGCCAAGGACAAAGAGGATACCAAAGAGAGCAAAGAGAGAGGCAAGAAGATTGTCAAAGATGATAACAAGGACAATGGCATTGATGTTCGTGATAATGTTGCAGGAGAAGCACAACCAAGACAAGGAGGAACGGGAGGAGGACGAAGAATAAGGGAAAGGGTATAACCTCTCATCAAAAACAGTTTCGGAAGTGCGGCAGACGGTTTCCTTGAGGTCATTGATGATGGTCTGGCACCTTCACGTCAACTCGCAACATCGGCATGGCTGGCGGACCTTCTGCATGTAGCGCTTGAACGACGGCCGGATGTTCTCGAGCCCGGTGATCTCAGTTACCTGTGTTGAACCCTTAGATGCCCCCTGACATGTCAGGACGAGTTACGCTGGCGATCGTTCCGTCCTTGCCAATCTTCTTGTTGAGCATGTAAGGAGGACGGACTGGCTGAGATATCAGGAAGGCAAGAGGGCTACAAACACCAGCTGACCGTTGGTTCCCTTCCCTTCCAGCACACTAGGAGAAAACTACAGTCAGAATCGTGTTGGCATCAGGCAGACAAGCTGGACCTCAGCAAGTACTCTGTCAACTTCTCCCCGCTGAAAGGAGATCGGACAATGGCTGCAGCGAACTCAGTGATCGATGTGACATGTTGTTGTGAAAAAGGAGGAAGGAGAGGACGAGGAGAAGGACGAGGAAGAAGAAGAGAGAGAGAAGGGGGAAGAGGAGAGAGCAAGGAGAGAGAGTGTGTGTGATAATAACCTTTTTGCAGGACATAGCCTTCATGAACGGGAGCAACACACGTCGCTCCACCTCCGGAATCTTGACGACGGTGTCAGGACCAGAGCAGCAGGTGGTAGGAATCGTGTCACCGAGAACAACGGCAGTTGATCTCCCACACGAGAAAGAAGACAGCACCGCATTCTTAGAGATGAAGACCGCTGGTACCTTGAGAGGCACACTTCACTTCAAGAGCAGCGGATGTGAGTAGCTTACCTTGTAGTGCTCGAACATGATCTCAAGAAGCTTCTCTCGGCACTCGTTGCTGTTGAACGATGGCTCCTGCAAGCAGTCGCAACATGAGAAAGACGCAAAACAACAGGAACGGAAGGTACAGCCAAGAGCATCGGGTGCTCTTCCGGGACTATTCTCAGTCGATCTGCACGAGAAGGGAAGCATCAGCAGCTTCCCAGAGCCTCCTGCAGGGCTCGCACCTTTGAACGCATGATCCCAAAGTTTCTGTGCAAGATCCCAATCCTTGACTGCGGTATGACGTCACGGGAACACACGACAAAATCTGTTCTACTCACTCAGACCATCTTGAATTGGGTTCTCAATATCCATAAAGTCCTTCAAACCACACGCATCACGCGTCTCCCATTGTCTGCAAGCAACTCTCCTCTCCTACCTTTCGAATGCTCAAGGCTTGTGTTCCGATATTGTACTTGACCTCCTCTGTCCCTGCTGTTGTCCCTGCTGCCGCCGCCGCTGCCGCTGGTGCCCCTGCTGCTGGAGGATCCACATCCATCTTCTCCCCAGGAGCCGCCGGTCCCTTTCCCACCACTCCATCCTTGCCACTGCGAACGACACCCACAGCCTAGCACGCGCTGATCACCATTCGAACCCATCAGTTTCATGTGCTCACCGTCGGGAAAACTGCCTTGGGGTTGTCTTCGCCCGCAAAACCAGCCTTGCAGCTTGTGTATCCAACATCCAGCACGATAGCCGAGACTTCGTCTGAGATCGGGAGACATGAGCTCTAAGGAGGATAAGACTGACAAAATCAATATATTACCTCCTCCATACATGGCAGCTGACGATCTAGGCTCAACAAACTATAAAGGATGGGCCTGCTTGAAGAATGTTAGAGCGGTTGGGTGCATCAGGAAAAAGAGTCTGTCATGATCTACATCTACATCCTCACTTCTCCCCATGTCCTCTCACATTCTCTCTCATCTCGACCTATCAGCCGCTATCTCGAGCAGCTTCATCTTCACTGCTTTCTTGTCTACACCATGCACATCGGCTTTCAAGCTGCTAGCCAGCGAACCAGTGAACTCATCATTTTACCATCCTTTCCCCCATGTCTGTGCTGAATCTCCTGCTACATATGCTATCCCCCATATTACTCCCTTGCGAACCAGACCTCTTCTTGTACACCCCGGACTCATCACCGTCGTCAGGATGCACATCCAACTCATCCCGCTATCTTTCATGTCATTATCAAACACGCGAACATCCGCACAATCCTCTCGCATCTGCTCCTTCCTCTCGATTGATCCAATTGCCACATATCACCCAAGGCCTTCCAAGGTTGCAAGAGTGCTGCATCTTTTCCTTCTCCTTGTCCTTTTCCTGATCCTCTTCCTGATACCAACTTCATCTTCGTCTTCACAAGAGCATTTTCCACGGTTTTCTCCTCCCCGCCCTCCCTGCTCTTTGTGCCATGGCCGTGCACAAATTTCCATCTTTTCTCCCGCCATGGATCCATGCTCCTCGGCGGGCTCCACTTGACTACGAGGCATGCATCAATCAGATTATTTACTCAACAATATTGATATACCATATTTATTCAGATAGCTGAAATTTATGATACAAAATATATTAGGTGAGTGATAATCAATATGAACAAATTTATAACTGATTAATATAACAGGAAACACTTGACTATAAAGACACCTTATACATTAGTCAATATTTGACTATTTGTCTGTAGTCAATATTGATCTTATTCCGGCAATGGCTGCCTCAAGCGCAGCTTAAAAGCCTTCTCCGTCCTCCTCCTCTCCCTTTTCTGCCTCCTCCCTTGAGCAACTTGAACAAGCTTGAAACTTCATTTGCTTCCCTTCTCTTTCTCCTCTTATGTCCATCTCTCCCTATCTCCTTGCTGCAACCTCCTCGCTACAGTTCTAGCTTTGACAATTACTGTTCCATTCTACTCCTGCTTCAAGCATATCTTTCCCCCATTCCTCTCTTCCTGCTCCTCTGCCGTCTTTCTTCTATCATTCCTACGGCGTTGTTGCTAAGTGTGCTCGAGACCATGACAATGGTTGGATCTGACCGAAATGGCAATCGCGCGGCGCTGACATTCGGCACATCGGCGCTGCTGGTGCTAGCAGTGCTGGTAGTGGTCTGCAAGGACGCAATGGGTCCGTTATCATTGTTCGAGTGGGACACTGGAAACGATCCGATAGTCCCTGGAAGATCAGTGAGGATAGAAGGAAAGGACCCTGACGACCCCTTCTACCAGGGATCGAGTACCACCTCCAGCTTGAAGGCATACCGGGATTGCCCGATGTGTGCCGGAACGAAAGCAGAGCACAAGTATCTCAGGATGCTGGAGGAAGCTAGATCACAGATGTTGTCACTGAGGGCGAACGGTCAAGGTGGCTCCACGAAACCTGAGACTCAGGTCTTGGCGTTGAGAGGTCCAAAGAATGTCCTCAACAAGGTTTTGGAGCGAACATCTGCAGAGATCCAGAAAGACGCTCTTTCATACAAGTAAGTGTTTTAAATACTTCGATTTCGTTTGATGATGCAGCTTGTAGGAGCATTGCACAACAACGGCAGAAGGCGAGGGCTGAAGTGAGATTGCTGATGAAGAAAAAAACTGAGCTAGGTTGGAGAAACCGTTTCCGTCTATTTGAAGTCTGAAACGAATGTAGATTCCGAGGTGAAGGAAGTGCAAAGAGACATGGAGCGGATCGCTAAGAGACAGGTATGCTGGTGATTGACTCTTTGAAGCTAAAATCTTGACTGTTCCGAACAGGAGGCAACAGTGGATACATTGAAAGCACGGTAGTGTCGATGACTATCAATAGCCATTACCATAATTCGACATCTGCCATGGAGATTTCCCCATAGTGTATCTGTCTGTAAATACTATACACGGTTGCTAAGAATGCTGCACTCTGCCCACTTTCTTCCGGTTTAGCATGTTCAAGACAAGGGCAGCCTATCCATTTTTGGATAGTCTGAACAATGAGAACATGTAAGATTTAATGCAAAACACGCAGAAATAATCAGTGCTTTGTGAAAGAGCTGATTTGACAAGTTAATGAAAATTTTCCAACACGCTTCAATGCATTGATAAACCCTAACCTCAACAAGAAGAAACCATTCTCTTGATTTGTTTATTTGTTGTCAGCAGATCATTGTCTTTGTGAAAAATATATTAATCGTCTTTGGAGCGTTGGAACAACAGAGTGTCTGATTGATAATCCATACCACCGATACTGTAAATAACTGCAATAAGCTGTTCCAGACTAAGTTAGCTGAGCTGGAACAGCACACGTGCAATTCTTACCGTAACAATCAAAACAACTGGCATCCACAGACTGATCTGAGCAATCGCTATTGTTGTGGTTGTGATTGCTGCAATGCAACGTGATCGGAATTAAAATAAAATGGCTCAAACAAACACAAATCACCAACAAGCAGGAAAAATGGTAGCAGGCATAGATTATCATATCAAATATTACTGCTCATCCAGCTTGAATGCATCAAAAACTTTCAGCACACAATCAGCGAAGAGGAGTGTATTTCGTTCATCCGTGTGTAAAGTCCATTTACCAAACATAGAAAGCAGTTTACTCACAAACCAACATCAGACCAGATATCACAGCACAAACATCAATCGCACATGAAGATATCAGAAACATTGGCGTCTAATCATCTCATATCCATATCACCCTCCTCACCTTCTGAGCCTCCGATCATTGCGAGCATAACCGCCAACATGAAAGCCGCTGCTGCCTGCATGGCGCCTCTCTAAACCCCATCCGGAAAAAAGAACCGTTATTTATGGCAACGGCCAAGCAAAAGATAACCGTCAAAACTGCTATCTTTAACGGTCGGAGCTGGAGTTGAGCGGGGACGAGGATCATTGGATGTCGGGCGACTCTGTCTTGAGTGAAGAACGCTGTCAGCAGCAATTTGATATAGGGCGACATGCACCGGGAGATGGCGGGGAATGCGGGAGGGTAAGGCTGGGAGAGGAGGAGGAGGAAGACTGCAGCAGAAAGCACATCACAACCATGCCTTTCCTCACCTTCCCCGAGCAAACAGGTCGGTTTGCGGTAGGGCAATGCGACATCATGTGGCAGAGCAGGCAAGAGAATGGCAAGGAGCAAACGAAGATGGTGGTCAGGCTTTTCTATCCCGTCATGCCCGAGGACGCCAGCAAGGCTGAGAAAGCCGCATGGTTGCCGGACCAGTATGGCGCGAACAGCTATTCCTACGCGCAAGCATATGCACGGTTCTTCTGGAAACCAGGGATCACTGCCTCCTTGGTTGGAACTCTGGGCTTTCTTCCCCTCATGAGCAGCGTGAAGACTCTGACCTACGACCACGCTCCGCTAGCACAAGGGATGACATTCAAGACTATCATATATTCTCATGGGCTGGGAGGCAACCGCAGCTGCTACTCGGCTGTCTGCACTGACCTTGCGTCCCACGGCTACTTCGTGATCGCAGCGGAGCACTCAGACGGCTCTGCTTGTCTGAGTGTCTTGCCAGACAAGACGGTGGTGGAGCATAAGATCGTCCCGGGAAAGGCCCTCATTCCCCAGAGACCCAAACGGATCCCACGAGGATTCACTGAGAGTTTGATCCCTGAGCAACAGCCCAAGACTCTGACGCAGTTCGAACTGAGGAACGGGCAGCTCAGTCACAGGGTCTCGGAGGTCAGCGATTCAACGTTTGTGCCTGCCCTGCGCTTGCTAAGACTCTTGCTAAGGTTGTGTTCCTCCTTGACTGCATCGAGAAACTCAATGCCAAGATCGATACGGACATTGTAATTCTCGTCTCTTGTCCTTGCTCGAACGTTCTCACGGTTTTGCTACAGGTTCCCTTGCCGGAGTGTCTTGCGGTATGCTGACACATCACTCTTGTATGTTGGTTCTCTGACTTGAGCGTCAGGACCTCCCAGGAAGAATCGAAGTCGATCATATTGGAGTTATGGGACACTCGTTCGGTCTGTCCGAGCCTCCCCTTTCTCAACAACTGACTTCATCGCAGGTGCTTCCACTGCCGTGGCCTCAAGCTTCGAGGATGTGAGGATCAAGGCATGTATAGCTCACGACGCCTGGCTGTTTCCCTTGTCTTTGGAGACGATAAGGGTGAAAGAAGTGCTATTAGATCGTTTCCTCCTCACTCCTGCCTCCTTCAGGCAGTCCCGAGGGTTCCCACCTTGTTTCTCACTGCCGACACGTTCGACTACTTATGGCCGGGTCTGTGATGTGTCCCTTAGGATATTGAGAGCCTGACAGCCGAGAATGCAGGGGAGGGCAGAAAAGTAATCAACGGTTACATGAGGCAAAATTCTTGACTGTCAGGAATGTTGGTGTGACATGTATTTTGCAGTCGCTCAAAACCTCACGGCGTCTATATCCACGCCGCCCATGTGAAGGTTTTGACTCTCCGCTGCAAGTTTTGCCCTCTTTGTGACCAGCTCTCTGCGCACTTCAGGGCACTTTCCATCAGAATTATTCAGATTTTCCGATCCTAGCTCCTGACATCACACAAGTGATGCTTTGACTTGTCAACAACAACTTCTCACGTTTCTTCTAATTTGGATGCAGGCAATTGGTGTGAGCGGGCAGAATCCCGAGGAGAGCATGAAGGTCATTGTCCAGCTCGACTCCTGCTTCTTCGATCACTACTTGGGTGGGCAACTGATGACGTCATGGGCGTTCTGCTTGCTCATGCTTGCTGACAGGACAAGGCAAGGAAGCTAAGGACAAATGGCGGTGCCCGGAGGAGTTTCGTGATGCAATCGACCACAAAGATTCTGTTAGTATTGCGTTCTTGCCTCTACATGCCTGACTGTGAAAACACACAGGAGGAGGACATCTTTGACGATAGTCATAACGATATCAAGTGAGGGGAGCTTGCTGTTGTAGACGTCGCTGACCTCGCCGGCAGGATCGGAGTGTTCACCAACGATCGGAACCATTACCAGATGCCAGAAGCGAATCAAGTTTGAGGGCATGCAATAGAGGGGGGTGAAGAAAAGGACCCAAGCATCTAGAAGGTCCTTCAGTTTTGTGTTTTCGGTTGAGCAAAGCTTATCAACATGCTCATCACTTTGCCCTGTTGCAAACTCAACCATGACTGACAACCAACTCCAATCTCACCTCGAACTCCTCGGGTACTTCTTTCTTGCCCGTTACAAGGGCCATCAGGAACAAGTCGTCAGCTGTCAAGAGCATCCATCAGAGCGGTATCACATGGGAGAAGAGCATTGCTTCTCACCGAGAAGAATCCTTTCCAGCTGCTTGAGATCTTCCAAGCTCAGATCCTTTAAATCATCCAGACCTTGTGCGAACTCGTGACAAAGTTTGCTCATTTCGGCCCATCCGCGATTTTTGCAAGCGTGCATCAATCTGAAGGAGGCATAGCGGCCTTGTCAAACTCTCACTCCCGTACAGGAGGCGTGCACATCACCTCTTACGGAGAACGTGCATAGATTTCTCATCTTCGCTCTCTACGCAAGACGTTGTTTTGTACGTCGAAGTCACGAGCTCCCGCCATTGTCTTTCAGGCAGTGCCGGTGGAACCTACTCAGACATCAGCATGGCATGGTTTGCTCAGCTTCAATGTCCTCACTTCCTGCTGTCCTCGTCGCCATCCAGCTATGTTTCTGCATGAGGCAGCCAGGCGTTGCGATTCATGAAAGAGCAGGAATATTCGATTCAGCACCTGTCATGTAGATCGGTCGTCTCCTCCCGGTCGCTACCGACACTGAAGCCTGGCAGACACGTCCGTCAGTAATCAAGTCAGTCAGCTGCTCTCAACGACAACCTCTGTTAGCCCAGAGCTCCTTCTTCGCCAACTTACAAGCTTGGCATTGAAACTGAGCGAGAAAGACTAGGGGCAGTAGGGCGGCTTACCTTGCGGGCAGGAAGGATGCGAGAAGGCTTCATGGATGCGGACACACAGCCATCTGCTGCTCCTCCCTGTCATCATCGCAAAGTCTCTCGTCGCATGCGCCCCTGTTGTGCCCCTCCTACCCGCCCCTGTTCCTTCCGTACATGAAGGAATTCCTACCCTCACAAACTCACACCCTACCCCCTCTCAATATAACCCTACCATATACTTTAGTACGTGAAATCATTGAAATGTACCGGTATCAAGACTAGCCGCAGTGGTTTATCACCCCCTTACACATTGCAGCGATCATGTCGGCTAAGGTGCGACGAAGAATGCAAGGGCGGGCGGGCGGGCGAGAGGGGAGGAAGCAGGGGGGAGAGAGAGAAAGGATTGAGCAGAGATGCTGGGACGAACATGAGGAAGCTCACAGGGATGGTAGCGATAAGAATAGAGGAGCTGAACGAAAATGGGAAGAAGGTGTTGCAAGCTAGGGGAAGGAAAAGAGACGGAAGGGAGTTCGAAGTCGTCCAAATTGATCACCATGAGGGATGATAGGAGCTACATCAGAGATAGATGGCAGTATCTGCACATGGCGATCGGTCTGATCTCTTGACGCGTCGCAGGCAACAACCCTTCAAGAGCTCAATGCTGTTATAGCACAGAAGAATGCTCCTGCCATTGCCTACTTCCGCGCTTCCTGGGCCCCGATGTGTACACAGGTTCAACCTTGCTAGGAGGATCCAGGGTTGCCGGCCTCTAAGAATCTTTGCAGACGGACGCGATCCTGAATCAGCTCGTGAAGGACTGTCCCAACGTCATCTTCGTCTCGATCGAAGCTGAGGAGTCAGAGGTCTGCATTCTGACCCTTGGAGTGCATGGAACAAGGCGCGTGATCCTCATCTATGGCAGGAGATTGTCGACAAGTATGAAGTCTCCTCGGTCCCAGCGTTTGTCAGCATTGAGGTGAAGCGCAGGGAGCTGGTGGGGGTGGGGGTCTGTTGACTAGTGGGCAGGGGGGGAAGAAAACTGGAATCATTGTCGGCGCAAACGCTCCCGAGATCTCAAAGATGGCAGTACAGCTGGACAAGAAGACCAGCAGCAGCACACCTGTCACAACGCGCTCGGCCGACGACGGCGCAAGTGCAGCACCTCTCCCGCTGAACCAGCGCCTCGAGAAACTCGTTAGTCGAGAGCCCGTCATGCTCTTCATGAAGGGAGCTCCCGGCGCTGAGCGCTGCGGCTTCAGCAGACAGATCGTCTCGCTCCTGGACCAGCAGGGCATCAAGTACGGGCACTTTGACATCCTGGAGGACGAGGAGGTGCGGCAGGGGCTGAAGGAGTACTCCAAGTGGCCGACGTACCCGCAGCTGTACTCGAAGGGGAAGCTCGTGGGAGGGCTGGACATAGTCAAGGAGCTGATTGAAGAGAACGAACTTAAGGACACCCTCGGAGCTGGTGGATCTGACCTCAACTCAAGGCTACAACAGCTCGTTAGTCGAGAGCCCGTCATGCTCTTCATGAAGGGAGCTCCCGGCGCCGAGCGCTGCGGCTTCAGCAGACAGATCGTCTCGCTCCTGGACCAGCAGGGCATCAAGTACGGGCACTTTGACATCCTGGAGGACGAGGAGGTGCGGCAGGGGCTGAAGGAGTACTCCAAGTGGCCGACGTACCCGCAGCTATACTCGAAGGGGAAGCTGGTGGGAGGGCTGGACATAGTCAAGGAGCTTGCAGAGTCAGGAGACTTGAAGAGCGAGATGGGGATTTAGCCCTTCACTGAGAATAAACTTGAGTCTGAGTGGCTGCACACTTCACGAGCAGAGCTTCAGTGAGTGTTGTAAGTGATTCGCACTACCCAATCATCGGAAGTGCCGGGCCGTTTGCGGTCTCACTTCTACTAAGGGACTTCTGACTTCTACTAAGGAACTTCTAACTTCTACGAAGGGACTGCTCACTTCTACTGAGGAACTTCTCACTTCTACTAAGGGATTAACAGACACTGAGATCTTCTCACCATTGGCTTTCCCGCTTAACAACAACGCAAGGGCCATCTCGATCCCTCTCAGATACCATGCAAGGAACTATCCAGCTATGTAGGGTGTTCAAGCTGCTCGTGCCTTCCGCCCTCCACCCCTCCTGCTCGTAGCATTGCCCTTTATTCCCTTCCTACACACTCAACACAACCTAGCTCCCCTCCCTCCTCTACCTGAAGTCCGTCCTCAGGTTCCTCCCGTCCGTCACCACGCACGCCGTAGCGCCGCAGCCGTAGTACTCGAGAAACGTCCCCGGGCTCAGCGCCCCTGTGGCCTTCTCGGCCGGGCGGGGAGGGACCGACTCAGCAGGCAGCGCCATCGCGCATGACGCCGTCGAGGCAGCGGGGCTTGCGATGCACATGGGCAAGCAAACAGCAGCGAAGAGAGGTCGGAAGGAGGGGAAGACGAGGAGGCGAGGCGTGAGGGCAGACAAGGCAAGGCAGCGGCTCGGGACGAGGACGGCAGGAGATCGAGGCTCAAGTAGCAGGAGGGGCAGGAGGAGGGGCAAGACGTGAAGGGAGGCGGTGGGGGGCTATCCTGTACGTCACACTACTAGTATGGGGGGAGTCGGGCTGAACCTCAACGGTTGGTCGGGGGAACGGAGTGAAGAGGTTGGTACCGTGACGCCTGACACTCCTCGTGACCGCTGACGGACGGTTGGCGGGGAGGACCCAGCCGCCTGCCGTGACATGCAGTGCTGACGTCGGATCCCCTTTCAACACTGTGGTCTTAACTGCACTGACACTATCCCGCATCGAAACGGTGAAGTTTCGCTTGCAAAGAGTCCCCAGCCCGCCACGGTCAGCGGAGGCTGACAGGGCCAGGAAGCTTGTCTACCATCCCTGTTGCCCGGCTCTCTCCTCCCGTCCTCCCGTCCTCCCGTCCTCCCGTCCTCCCGTCCTCCCGTCCTCCCGTCCTCCCGTCCTCCCGTCTTCCCGTCCTCCCGTCCTCCCGTACTTGCGTGTCGCTTGCTCTGCCTCTGCCTCCTGGCCTTGTGCTTTCTCCCCTGTCTCCTCCTTCGCCCCTTACACATGCTTGGCCCTCCTCCTTGTTCTCCACACTCGTCAAACAGCACGATGCGGCAGGAGCCTTCAGCTGCAGAGGACTTCCTCTACTTCTACGGCTCAAGCCATACGACCTGCGTGGTCTCCAGCCCCGACAACCTCCTCACCGACTTCACGTCTCTCCCAGCCGCATCCTCCTCTTGCTCCTGCTCCGCCTCCTTGTCGTCGTCATCTTCGTCGGTGTGGACAGCAGGAGCCGGGTCTGCCTTGCATCGTCACCTCAAGTCTGGCCGCCAAGCGACCCACCGTTGCTCGGACCGGGTGATTGCTTTCGGGCTATGCGAGTAGCCATGCAGCGCCTCCAAGAGCGGAGGAGCTTGTACGATAGGATAGCAGCCCGCTTGCTTGCTGCACGGGTCCTGCTGGTAGGGGCTAGGCATGATTGCACAACGGCCTGCAGAGCGGCCGCTTGTTGATGGCTACAATACAAACAACATATGACTAACGGCTCATCATCACCCTCGTCTATGTCCTCACAGTTTCAGGACAGGCTGTTGCCTGTACTGCTGCACGTGCAGGGTACCGATGACTCAATCATGCATGCCTGAGACTACCATCGCCGTCTGCACCCTCTCCGATCACTCAGGGAAGCTTGCAACCATACCAACAAACATACCATCTCCATGCGCGGCATTGAGCTGACGTTGACTTACCCATGACAGTATCCTCTGCCCCTTCTGGGCAATCAATGCTGCCAGTGAGATCCGCTCCCTCATCACTACCTGACAGTCTAGCACCGCACTTGACTACTCAGCGATCGCTCAGAGGTATGTGCCCGTCAGAGCCCATGCCAAGTCAGCTGCCACAGGGATTCTGACAATGGAGACGTCGAGCCATGATCTGTGCTGATTGATGACAAGAAACAGGCACACAGCTCAGGGCTTCCGCCCTCCACCCCTCCTGCTCGTAGCATTGCCCTTTATTCCCTTCCTACACACTCAACACAACCTAGCTCCCCTCCCTCCTCTACCTGAAGTCCGTCCTCAGGTTCCTCCCGTCCGTCACCACGCACGCCGTAGCGCCGCAGCCGTAGTACTCGAGAAACGTCCCCGGGCTCAGCGCCCCTGTGGCCTTCTCGGCTGGGCGGGGAGGGACCGACTCAGCAGGCAGCGCCATCGCGCATGACGCCGTCGAGGCAGCGGGGCTTGCGATGCACATGGGCAAGCAAACAGCAGCGGAGATAGGTCGGAAGGAGGGGAAGACGAGGAGGCGAGGCGTGAGGGCAGACAAGGCAAGGCAGCGGCTCGGGACGAGGACGGCAGGAGATCGAGGCTCAAGTAGCAGGAGGGGCAGGAGGAGGGGCAAGACGTGAAGGGAGGCGGTGGGGGGCTATCCTGTACGTCACACTACTAGTATGGGGGGAGTCGGGCTGAACCTCAACGGTTGGTCGGGGGAACGGAGTGAAGAGGTTGGTACCGTGACGCCTGACACTCCTCGTGACCGCTGACGGACGGTTGGCGGGGAGGACCCAGCCGCCTGCCGTGACATGCAGTGCTGACGTCGGATCCCCTTTCAACACTGTGGTCTTAACTGCACCGACACTATCCCGCATCGAAACGGTGAAGTTTCGCTTGCAAAGAGTCCCCAGCCCGCCACGGTCAGCGGAGGCTGACAGGGCCAGGAAGCTTGTCTACCATCCCTGTTGCCCGGCTCTCTCCTCCCGTCCTCCCGTCCTCCCGTCCTCCCGTCCTCCCGTACTTGCGTGTCGCTTGCTCTGCCTCCACCTCCTGGCCTTGTGCTTTCTCCCCTGTCTCCTCCTTCGCCCCTTACACATGCTTGGCCCTCCTCCTTGTTCTCCACACTCGTCAAACAGCACGATGCGGCAGGAGCCTTCAGCTGCAGAGGACTTCCTCTACTTCTACGGCTCAAGCCATACGACCTGCGTGGTCTCCAGCCCCGACAACCTCCTCACCGACTTCACGTCTCTCCCAGCCGCATCCTCCTCTTGCTCCTGCTCCGCCTCCTTGTCGTCGTCATCTTCGTCGGTGTGGACAGCAGGAGCCGGGTCTGCCTTGCATCGTCACCTCAAGTCTGGCCGCCAAGCGACCCACCGTTGCTCGGACCGGGTGATTGCTTTCGGGCTATGCGAGTAGCCATGCAGCGCCTCCAAGAGCGGAGGAGCTTGTACGATAGGATAGCAGCCCGCTTGCTTGCTGCACGGGTCCTGCTGGTAGGGGCTAGGCATGATTGCACAACGGCCTGCAGAGCGGCCGCTTGTTGATGGCTACAATACAAACAACATATGACTAACGGCTTATCATCACCCTTGTCTATCGGTGATGTTCGATGGCATTAATGCCAAGTTGCGCCCACTGTGGCTCCGGCTTACTTCAAGCCTCGCTGCAGGCTGAGGCCTGAGATTCGACTTGCCGAGGACCGTGGCATCATGAAGGCCGTTCTTCCAGGGTCACTCGGAGCCTCAGGGCCTGGGCCGCCGCCTCCGAGCGAGGCATTGCATATGTCACAGTGTTCAGCCCTGGCCGGGCAGCACGGCGGCGACCATGACTCAGTCGGCCACTACCGGGTCCGGATGATCCGATCGGACGGGGACGTCGGACCGACCGTTTATTTGGTCACAGAGTCAGCTTGACGGTCCGATCATCGGATGGCAGCCGAGCCGGGGCTATACGCCGTCTGCCATGATCTGATCTGATCACTGCACTGCGGCACCCGGTGACCCGGCCGGGCCCGGCCGGGCCGGGCGGCGCATCGAAGCCGCCGAGTCCGACTCCCGGAGTCCCGGTCGGAGCGCCGGGCTGGTCCGGGCCGGGGAGTCGGCGGCGACGGATCGGATCGAGTATCGGATGACAGTGATCCGACTCAGTGACTCGATCTGCCGACCGGGCCGGGCCGCCGCCCGCCGGCGGTGCCCGGCGCTCGGAGGCGGGAGTCGGAGTTCCGAGTCACGAGTCGGACTCACAATGATCCGATGATCAGCGGGGGCGGGCCCGGCCGGGCCGGCCGGCCGGGCGACGGGCGCCGCACACGGCCCGGCCGGCGACCGGGTCCGGCCGCACTGCCCGGCCCACCGCGGCACCGGCGCGGAGTCGGAGAGTCGCCCAGCCTGGACCCGTACGGTGCCAGGTCACAGTGAGCCGCCGCTGCCGCTACGGCCGGCCGGGCCCGGCCGGTCCGACAGTACGGTGGCAGTGCGGCCGCCTCCCGGCGGGCGCCGGCCGGGGCGACCGTCGGACTGAGAGTCGGGCCGGTCGGCCCGGGCCCGGGGGCCCGGGGAGTCCGAACTTTCTTCGGAAGCGGCCCGGAGTACGGTCCGATCCGGCGGTCCGATCCGACTCGAGTCACTGCAAGTCCGCCGTGACGGTGACGCCGGGTCACCGGGTGATCGGACGGATCCGACGGAGTCACGTACCGTGCCAGTACCGTACGGCGGGCCCCCGGGGCCCGGCCCTGTCGTCCCGAGGCCGGCTTGCTCTGTACGGTAGGTGGGCGTAGAGACTACGTCCTTCCCGTTAAGTTGTGGCAGGTAGGGGTGGGGTTGTTCTGCTAGATGATAGTACGGGTGGTATCTGAAGATTGTATGTGGACCCCCTTCCATTCCTCATTCGGAGGCTAGACAGGAAAGCTCGAGATGACGGGTGGTAGGCCTAAAAAATGGGGGTGAGTGTGAGGGAGGGGTTCTTTGGTGGGGTGGGTAGTGTGCTAGAGTGGGTGAGAGTCTCTAGCAAGGGATTGGGAATGCAGAGGGGTTTCAAGCCATGGGCTCGAAGTGAGGAGCGAGATGAGGAGCCGAGGAAATGGAGAGCCGAGGAGGGGAGAGGAGAAGAGGAGAGGGGAGGAGAGGATGAGAGGAGGAGCAGTAGGAGGGGGGGGGGGGGGGGGGGGACCCGAACAGAGCAAATGACGAGACGGAGTAACAAAAATGATGGAGAGGGGAGAAGCAAAAGGGAAGGAGAAAGTGGAAAGAATGAGAGAAGGAGGGAAAGCGGAGAGGGAAAAAAATAGAATGAAAGTAGAAGACACGAGGACGATGTCGAGGGGGTTCGGGTGGCAATTGGAGTACAAGAGCACGGGGAGATTACAAAAGAGGACAGGAGACTTTTTCGGCGTGTCTGTTTTATAAGCCAAAACAAGACAAATCAACATCCCCAAGTTCGTTTTATAGACTCTATGACGACAGAGAACACATGCTTTGCGATGTATGCCAACAAGATTTGTAAGAACACATTGTATCAGTGTAGAAAGCTAGTGTCCAATATGAAGAAAGTGGGCAAGCAGCATTTTTAGAGTGCGGCAGTAAGCTGCCCTGTTTAGCACCTGGTATGAGAAGGATCTCGTCCCTGGGCACAAAATCCTACAAGGATGCTGGGGCAAATCATGTGAATAGGCTTGCGAGAAGGACAACTGAAGTGGAATGATGCAGGTCTGAAGCCATGAAGCGATCCTCGAGCGGGTGAGGAGTTTGATCGCACTAGGTTGTACATGTCATGATTTCAAACATCAGCATGAGCGGCAAGGGCACCACGAGGACGGGGAGTGGCTCAGGAGTGCACGCGATCAACATCGGGCTGTGTGCTATGGACAAGAAGGTGGCGTGATGGTGATTTGAAGAGTGTTGCTGAGTGTTGGCAAGGTTGATGGAAAGCCGATGAGAGAGCTTGTTCAACGCCTTTCCAAGTGACTTGACCACTGTCAGATGTACCGAGTGTGTGACTGTGATCTTGATGAACAGGGCGGGGGAGTTTTCCTTCACTCTGTTCGGAGACGATTTGATCTTGAACAAGTGATAGTTCCACGTGCTGTAGCTGGAAGTGACTCTGTGACAAAGGCCCGTCGAAGAGTGGCCGACCTGCGATGTCCTGATCGCCTTCTACTCGGGAGGTGAGCATGTTCTTGGTTGGCCCTGCATGACTTCCCTCTCCAAGGGTTTCCGCTCAAGAAGGCCATGGACTATGCCGAGATGCACCCTGAGATGCACCTGCTCAACGATCTAGAGGTGGGAAGCTGTTGAGCTGGGGGGTGCCTGGCATGCCTGACCCTCTTCTCCGGCTCAGGTGCAGAACATGTTGTTCGACAGGAGATGCGTGTATAAGATGCTCACCGACAACGGCATCCCGGTACCGCACCATGTCTTCTGCAACCGAGGAGAAGACAAAGTGGGGCTCTTCATCCCTGGAATGGCGAAACCTGGCCCGCCATGGCCCACCAGCCACTTCGAGGAATTTGAAGATTACATCATCTGCGATGGAGTGAGGATCAACAAGCCTTTCGTGGAGAAGCCTGTTTCAGGAGAGGACCACAACGTCTGGATCTACTACCCAAGATCTGCCGGCGGAGGAATCAAGAAACTGTTCAGGAAGGTTGACAACAAGTCTTCTGACTTCTTCCCTGATGAGAATGAGACGCGCAAGGAGGTTGACAAGCATGTTCTGCCAAGCCCAGCTGATCTGAGACTGTTTGACAGGGCTCGTACATTTACGAGGAGTTCATGACCACCGACGGTACAGATGTCAAGGTAGGTGTATGAGATGTGACAGGCTGCTTGTCATTCTTGCTTGTCAAGGTCTATGCTGTCGGCCCGGAGTACGCGCATGCTGAGGCAAGGAAGTCGCCGGTTGTGGATGGGGTGGTGCAGCGATCGGACGACGGTAAGGAGATCCGATACCCTGTGATGCTGTCGAGGAGGCAGAAGAGAATCGCCCATGATGTGGTGATGGCGTTCAAGCAGACAGTCTGCGGCTTCGATCTGCTGGTGTGCGGAGGGAAGAACTACGTGTGCGACGTGAACGGATGGAGCTTCGTCAAGAACTCTCAGCGCTTTTGGGATGATGCGACATGCACTCTGCGGCAGATGATTTTCTTAGAGCAGAGGAGGAGGAGGCGGCTGGGACATGGCTTCGCTCCTGAACCTCGTGTCCGCTCCTTCAACGACCTGGAAGTCCTCCATCCCATGCACCCTCACGATGAGAACGCGAATGAGAGTGAAGAGGGCGCCAAGGAGGTGGATAAGGAGAAGGAGGAGGACGCAGAGGAGGAGGAGCCCGAGGAGCCAGAAACCGAGCAGCTCCGCTGCGTCATCGCGATCATCCGTCACGGCGACAGGACGCCGAAGCAGAAAATGAAGCTCAAGATTCAGCGGGATGGACCTTGCCAGGCGATCTTCGACCTCTTCTCCAAGATGTCTGACCCTGAGAAACCGACCAAGGAGGTGAAGCTCAAGACCGCCAAGGAGCTGACCACCATGCTCGACACGACGAGGACCATGCTGCGGCAGCTTCGGCAGAGCGACGACGAGGAGGCAGGGGAGGAGCTGAAGAGCAAGCTAGAGCAAATGAGGTCTGTGCTGGAGAAGGGAGGAAAGTTCTCGGGGATCAACCGCAAAGTTCAGATCAAGCCGACCAAGTTCGAGGCGGCGTCGCCAGAGGGGCAGGGGGAGCGGAGCGAGAGCTACGGGCAGGTCATCGAGCTCCTCATCGTGGCCAAGTGGGGAGGAAGCTTGACAGACCTCGGGAAGGCGCAGGCGGCAGAGCTGGGCGAGAGGTTCCGAGACGAGCTCTACCCCGGTGACTCCACCACCTTCTTGCGCCTGCACAACTCGTACCGGCACGATCTCAAGATCTACTCGTCGGACGAGGGGAGGGTGCAGATGACGGCTGCTGCCTTCACCAAGTCCTTCCTGGGGCTGGAGGGCGAGTTGACTCCCATCCTCGTCTCCCTCGTGTCCAAGGATCGCAACGCGCACTCGATGCTCGACCCGAGCGGGGTGAACCTCAGCAAGGGGATCCAGGAAGAGGTCAAGGCAACGCTGCGGGGGATTCTATCGAGAAACGAGGACATCACAGACATCAGCACCAAGGAGTTCAACGCGCTCTCGAGCGCCGTGGTCAACGCGATCAAGGCGATCAGGAACCCGACGGAGAAGCTGACGGAGCTAAGGAAAAGCATCTACCGCCTGCTGGCCGAGCTTGACGAGCACATTAAGAAGCAGAAGCTAGCTGTGAGGCTGGACCCGCACGACCCCGAGCACAGCAGCGACGTGGCGGACATGATCGACCTGGAGAACGGGGAGACCCTGCGGCTGATGCACTCGAGGTGGAAGAAGCTGTACGATGACCTCTGGGACGAGAAGGGCGAGACGTTCGACATCTCCAAGATCCCCGATGTGTACGACTGCTGCAAGTACGACGCAATACACACACAGCCGCGGCTGGGCCTGAAGGAGCTGGAGAACACGTACAAGATTAGCAGGCAGCTTTCGGAGTTCGTCGCGCCGTCCGAGTACGGGCTGACGAGGAGGCAGCGGCTGGACATTGGCAGCACCATCTGCCGCAACCTCATTGACAAGATCAGCATTGACATCGAGAGCGCCCTGCTGAAACCCAAGATGGAGAACGAGGAGGCGATCTCCGAGTCAGACGACGAGAACGAGGGGACGCTGAGACTGAACCCGGACTTCATGAATGACGAGGACTTCATCGACCACCAGATCAAGACGAGGCTCTATTTCACCTCCGAGTCTCACGTTCACTCCATCCTCAACACCCTCCGCTACTACTACCATGTGGACTCTCAGTCCAAAAGGAACGCCGTCTTCTCCCCCGAGTCCCAGCTAGCGCTCAATGTCATCCCCGAGTTCGACTACCTCTCTCAGATCGTCTTCAAGGTCTACGAGAATCTCACGGTCGCCGAGACAGACTCTCGCAGGTACTTCATGCGCATCGGCGTCAGCCCAGGAGTAGCAGGAAACTGCATCGAGCTCCATGAAGGAAGCTGCGGCGCGCGCGGCTGCCAACCTCTGCAGTGGCTGAGCCCCGACGGAGAGATACTGAGAGCGCAGACGTTCCTCAGAATCTGCAAGAAAATCTCCCAGAGAGTGGACCAGCAGCGAGACGGCCTGTAAGCCCCCTCCTCCTCTCCTGTCCTGTTCGCCCTCCTGCCTCTCTCACATGGCCAGCCCCCGTCCCCGGTCCCCTCCCTCATCTTTCCTCTCTCGTTTCTCTTGTCCTTTCCTCGAGTCTGACTGTCTTGCTCGGTGCAGTCTGCAAGCGCGAAAGGATCTTGAGAAGCCTCCTTCTCCTGTGGTAACGACTCCTCTTCAACCTTGTCTTTCTCGCTGATCTCCTGAACCCTCCTAGTCCTCCTCTCCTCAGGGCCTCCTCCTCCTCCTCCTCCTCCTCCTCCTCCTCGGCTCCACCTCCACCACATCATCCTCCTCCTTCCCCCTGCTGACCAGTGCCCCAGGTCAAGAACGGATCGTCAGAGGTCAAGACTCTTGCATAAGCGCCACTTAAACTTTGTAAACCTACACTGTGACACGTCTGATGAGCCTACCGTACGGTTCGAAAAATCGGAAGCTTACCGTACCGTACTAAGAGCGGCTGGCCCTGGTCAGAGTCACCCTATGACCGTACCGTACCGTACTACTATGATACTGCCCGGCCACACCTCAGTGCCGGGCCGCCGGGCCCGGCCGTCGGGCCCGGCCGTCGGGCCCGGCCGTCGGGGGCCGACTGGATCATGATCCGGCCCGGGCCTGCCCGGCGGCGGCGGCGCGGCCGGGCTGAAAACTTTTAAACGGTTATGGATTCTGCAATGCAATAACCGACGGTGTGGAACAATGGCAGGGGACGCATATTCGAAGCAATGGGCGGTCGCCGTCGCCGCATGCGGTGAGAGGAGGAGGAGGAGGGAGAAGAGACATGAAACAGAACGAGAAGATCAAGTAGGAGTTGGAGGAAGAAGGCAACAAAGAGAACGACCTTCTCCCGTCAGAACCCAACAGGATGAGTTAGTGGGGGTCGAAAGGAGGGAGGGGATACTCGATGGAGTAGCTTAGCCTGGGTGGTATCCATGAGTCGAAGACAAGTCCGCACTCTGTATCTCTGAATGCTCACATTCGCATTCCATTCCTAGCTCTCTGCTGCTATCACATCGGTGCGTTCACCCCGCCGCTCCTTCCCTCCCGTCGTCTTGTGGTGCGAAACCTGGGCGGTCGACCATGTGGGTTTTGATCATGCTTGCTGATCATGCAGCCTAGCGCGACTGTCTCTCAGCATGCGGGGATACGTCGCCATCCATCCAGCTCTAGAGCATACCTGTTTCCCAGCAGATCTCGGCTCCCCCTCATCTCCCTTCGGTGTTCTATTGCCGAGCAACTCGCCGCGCCCACTGTCGTCTCTGAGTACTTCAGCGCACAGGTTCTTGTGGTGAAGGATGTCACTGCCTAGTGTCTCACTGTGATGCTGCAGACAAGGCTGGGGCTCCTTCGAACTCAGATGTTAGAATGGTATGAGGAAGAAGATCGTTACGAGGAGGACGCTGAGGCCATCTTAAACGAGTTCGTGTATGATCCTCCTCCATCCCACCTTCCCTTGCATCATCTTTGTGACTGGGTTCTCTGTTCATTAGAAATCATGTGAAGTCGAGCACCAACTGGGTTGTTGTTCAGGAGAGCGAATCTGGTGGGTGAAATCGAAATCTGAGATCCAACCTCAGACTCTTGCTGCAGAAATTATCGCGACCTATCAGGACTCAAGTGGCGCCGCCTTGCTGCATGTTGGTCTCTACGGGTGGGACTTGTGCAGCATCTTGACAACCTGGTGACTGTGAAGACAGACTGGAGAACTGGAAGTCTCTTAGAGTCATCCGCGACCCTTCCATTCCCGCAGAACCGTTCTTCGAGTTGAGGTGCGAAGGTTGGTGAAGTGCGCAATGGTGACTGACGCTGTTGACTAGGATGGTTGGGACAGAGGTGCTGACACAGGAGATAGCATATGAAATAGTCAAGGAGTTGATGAGCAGTAACTTGTCTTGTTCAAACATCCCCTAGCTCATCTTGTTCGATCCCAGACGTCTTTGCGAAGTTTTCCGGGGAGGAGTGGAGGTCAGAGGATTTGCCTCAGATAGGAACGAGGTAAGAGCTCTGCACTGTCTCTCAGCGACCGACTGTTTTGTGTCAGCGGCTTGACGGACAAGAATGGTGACGACGTGAACCAAGGTGGGTCAATATTCCTTCCCCACCCTCCATGAACTCTTATTTTATCCCTCACTCCAGCCCTCGTAAGACCGCCGTGCACGGCTGCATGCTTGCAGCGAGCGATTCCTGGGGAGGACAGGTGAAGGGTGTTTGCTCCATGGCACCTCTGACCAAGGTCTCAAGGCCCTTCATGGACACCAGCTCCATCACAGATTGGCTCTTACCCCAGCTGCAAATTGAAATGAAGGCAAGTTGAAAACTGCTGGGCGGCCTGAAACTCACAGGACATGCAGGATGAAGACGATTATCTGGGGGTGCCGGGAACGACGCCGGTCGATGGGAGGTGCGGACGCGCCCGGTCCTGTGACGAATCATGACGTGGCTCAAGGGAATACGCTGAGGGACATTTTGGGGTGTATGCCTTGAACAAGAGACCGCCCAAGATCCCTGAGAACCAGACCGAACCGTACATCCCCTCTACCCAGAGGTCCAACAGAAGTTTCCGGGTGTTGTCTGCTGTGCTCTGTTTTGGTTCCTCCTCGCTGACTTGTTGTGGGTAGATTGAGGTGAGCAAGTACGAGACCGAGGAGTTGAGGAGGAGGGGAATGGTAATGCTCCTTCACCTTCCTGTGCTTGTGCTCCACCAATGAAGGAACCTCAGGCAACCGAGGAGCTGGAAGGCGAGTACTTAGACGAGGAGAAGGAAGAGAACTGGTAAGAATGCTAATATCAATCCTTCAACGTTTTTGACATGTTGACATCAGAGATTTGAAACTTAGTGGTCGGGCTGAATCTATTAAAAAAAAACGCATCACCGACTACTGAAGACTCTCACTGTCATGTGCCGTCCATGGCCGCATGCTATGGCCGCGATGATCGGTGTGGCCCGGCTACACTGCGGCGGCGGCCGGCCCGGCGACTCACTGAGTCACTGCCGGCGTACGCCGGGTCCGGTCACGCGGCCCGGGCCGGGGCTGGTTTTAAGTTCCGAAGTTCATGCCGGCCCCTCGGAGTAAGAAACTCCGAAGGGCCCCGGCCCCGAGCCGCACTCAAAGTTTCATAGGCTGGCCGCGCTGTCAGCAGCGGCCGGATCACCACTCGGCCTCCTGGCCTTCAAAGATACAAAAACAAGGTTTTTACTTCCAACTGTACAGAAAATTTCAGTCAATGCTCGCCTCCCTCAAAAGTTGACTTCGTTGATCTCTTTCGCCTTTCTTTTAGAACATTTTTAGGAGGTACTTTTTGTACTGTATGTAAAAATCTGTACTGACCGCAACACTTTTAGAGGCTCTACAAACTAATATTTTCTTTATTGAACTGGTACTGCCAGCCCTGGTTTACTACCACTAATAATCAACGCAAAGTCATGGCAGCCAGCAAGCAGTCATCCTAGCCCACAAATAGGGGTGGGGGTTAGATAATTTATGGGTGGGGTAATTGGGAACATACGGTGCAGACTCGAAATCCTGGTACAAACGACTGAACATAGTAGGGTAGGGTGATCATAGTCGCAACAGAAGGTGGGGTGATCTTTTGGTAACGGGGTGGTGTCATCCAGGCTTATCTCCCCCGATATAAAAGATACTGGGCAGTGGGCAGTTCCATGCGCTGCTCCTGCTGCTGAACTCCTCTACACTCCTTCCCTCCTCTACCGAGGCTCCCTGCTACACACTCGTTCTAACCTTCTCCGTCCCTACACACCTCCCTGCACAACAATGAACCGAGCTATCCTCCTCGCACGCCCTTTCAGGAGCCTCCGATCTCTCTCCAGGAGCCTCACTCAGCAAGCCAACCGTCTTGACTCCGTCCTAGGAGGAGACCTGAGTCTCGGGCCTCTTGCCCCGAAGACTATTGCCCCTATGGCCTCTGCCATGCACGTCAACAATGTGGGAGCCGATGATCACTACATGGTAGACTCTCCGCTCTTTCAGAGTGAGGCCGTGGAAGAGGCTCAGATCAAGGACCGAGCTTATGTCCTCGCCTTGGCAGAGTCGCTCCTGATTAAGGTCAGCGTCAACTGGAGCCTCGAGCTTACCACAGCCAAGTATGAACAAGCGCATGCGGCTAGCCCTGCTGAAACTTACAAAGAGCGGGAGCACTGGAGGCATGCGTTACAACTTGCCTATGGCCCAAGCTGCATGCACAGCTAGAGCTGAAACCTTCTTGTCTCCTCTGTTGTCTCGACCCTCGTCTAGAGTCGACGTGTTGTTCTAGCACCCTTGTTCTGTAACAGTAAACATCTGAAAGCTGCTTGTGAAGTACATGTCTCTACCGTTCTCTACCGTAGGTTGACACCTGCACTTTGCAATGTAGAGGATTCTGGTTCAGATAGACTAGTTTACAAATTGACAGCATGAGAACTGAGATGAAGAATGCCGATAAAGACAGAACTATACGACAGCACTATCAATTGCCTCCTAGCGCTACACCGTTGTCCTTGGCCCACTTCTTCACTGTCCGGAGAAGATACTCCACCTGCATGGGTTGGTCGGTCATGTGCCCGCAGAAGCTAGAACGGTAGGAGAAGAAGCAAGGTGAGGTAGCAAGGAGAGCAAGTAGTAGGAGCAGGAGAAAGAGAGGAGGAACAGTGGATGTATGGCAGTAGCAGGAGGAGGAGGAGGAGGAGGAGGAGGAGGAAGAGAGAGTGCCTGTGGGTTGGAAGTGCTTCTGAGCATTTCGATCATCTCCGGGAGGGAGTCTTTGGGCTCTTTCTTGGCCAGCACCTGACGAGTCACTCAGCAGACACACGCACACGTCAGTCCTGACCATCTGAAAGGCGCCGACAAAGGCTCCTTTCTTGCCCTCCCAGTACTCGGGCAGTGAGTCGATGCGCTCAAGCACATTGAAAGCCTACGAGGCAAGCTCAGATGTATGGGATAGGAAGGGCAGGAAACTATAAAAGCACCAGCAAAGTAGTGTAGTAATGAAAAGGAGACAGTCTGAGGTGGGAGAAGGGATAGGCAGAAGGGATAGGCAGAAGGGAGAGGGAGGAGGGAGAAGGGAGAAGGGAGAGGGAGAGGAAGGCGTCACCTTGAGAGAGTAGAAGAAATGCCCCATGGAGTAGCACGTGTTGGCAATCTCCTTCTCTCAGAGTCACTCGTACAGCAGCTCTCTCCCAGCTCACCTGCAGCAGAACGTACGCGTTGGAGGAGACGTCCAAGGAGAGATAAGCCTGCAAGAGATGTGACTCAAGTCCGACATCTGCTGGGGGTCTGCTGACCTCCCATGCAAGGTGAGGCTTGTCGTTGTGTATGTGCGTCCGAGCCCTCCAGGCGATGAAGGAGAACTCGTTTCTTATCTCCGGTGACTTGACGCTGTCAAACGCCTGCTCCGCTCCCTTCCTGCCCCAGCCTCGGTTAGTCCCAGGAGAGGAGGCTCGCAGCAGCCTACCAGTGGCCGGCACAGGCTTGTGCTATGCCGAAGTTGTAGTTGAAGCTGTCGTCCTCTCGCAGGTAGGGCGCGATGGACTGAGAGCGAGTGAGAAGCTTCCAACAGAGCTCGACCCTTCCAGTCGCAGGCTCGTCGATGTCTCGCGTGCGGGCTGGGCGTCGTCTCGCAGGGGCAGCGGGAGGTGGAGGGGGACTGACCTTGAGGTAGATGTTCACGTCGTCGAACTGCTTCAGCAGGAAGAAGCACTGGGCCATACACTGCCGCACGCCTCAAGAGAGCCCGCCTCCGCCTCCTCCTCCCACCTGTCTGCCTGGGATCGTGTCGCAATGGCTGCTGGACGCGCCGACAATCTGCGGCGGGGGAACACGTCATCAGCACGAGCACACGAGCCGGCGAGTCGTCAAGAGACCTGGAAGTACTGCTGGGCCTGCTTGAGCAGCTCGGAGTTGTTCTTCTCCTGCCCATCGCCGTCACTGAACAGCAGCAGCAGCAGCAGCGACGAGCCTGTCCGATGGAGGCATAGACGACTGCTTTCAGGATGTATTCTTCTGGTTGCGTCGGCTCCAGGTCCTTGATCACGTCCTGCGGTGGACGCGTGAGGCTGATGGGCGAGAGGGACGAGGGGAGGGACGTTGGCGTGCTCGAGGTCGCCCTGGTGGAGGTAGTAGATGCAGAGGTTGATGCGAGCTTCCGGGATGACCGACATGAGCGGCGGAAACACCTGCCGGCCCCTCAGCCCTCAGCCCTCGGGGCTTCCCCATCACCTGCAGGGCGTTCTCGCCGCTGAGAGAGGAGGAGGTCAGCGAAGCAGAGGACCAGCAGGACGTGCGCGCGTCACCTCCGGAAGACTGAGAGGTTGTGCCGGATGAGCTCGTTGTCGATGGACGAGACTGCCAGACGGTCACACGCAGCGCAAGAGAGCAGGAGGGAAGAAGAAGGGAGAGGAAGGAGGAGAGAAGGGATAGAGAAGGCGAGAGATGGAGAGGGAGTAGGCGAGGTGACTGCAGGAGGAGAGGCTGAGGCAGCAGACTGAGGAGGCTCAACAAGAGGCTGCGAGCAAGCGACTCTCTTACCTGGCGCTCCGTAGATGGAGCCCAACGCCTTCAGCTCAGCCTGCGGTCAAGACGCCAGTCAGCCTTCGCCCTCCTCTTCCCCTCCTCCACCTCCGCGGCTGATCCGTTGTAGAGCTTGTAGTGGTTGCATGCTTTGATGTTGATGGCGTACAGGCTGTCTGCTCGCAGCTGGGCAGTCAGGTGGACCATGCGCACGAGCTGAGGTTCACCTGGAAACCGGTTGAGGTAGAGGTTCAAGATCTCCAGAGACACGTCGTAGTAGTCCTGCAGGGCAAGGCAGCAGGAGCGAGAGGCCGTCAGCGACAGGCGCGTCCAGCAGTCTCATCGACCCACCAGCTTGTAGTAGCAGAGGGCCACGTACACGTTGAGCGCGATGTTGTCTCTCTGCTCCAGCAACACCCTCTTGTATACGTCCGTCGCCTCCTGCCCTCCCCCACCATCAGCCACCAGCAGATGCGCGGGCAGCCTGCCGACCTGATAGTGACCGCGAAGGAAGTGCATGGCGGCTAACGACAGCTGATCTTCAACGCTGCACGCACGCGCAGCATGACTGCCTGACGCCTCGACGCCTCCTCCTACCTTGCTGACATCTTCTGGTGGTAGATCATGAGCTTACCCTCGTCCCCTGCCGCTCGTGAGCACCCCCTCGCCCTCCTCCTCTCCTCCTCATACCTATCTTATGCGCCATGTGGAACAGGATCCGGTTCTGCAATTGACCTGGCGGCCCCCTGCAGGCGAGTCAAGTCAGTCAGCACGAGCTTCCAAGTCCCGTCCCGCACCTCAGCGCGCACTCCTCCACTGCCTTGTACTGCCCGAGCCCGAAGTGGCAGATGGCCTTCCACAACCAGGCCATGGGCTCAGGGTCTGCCGCTGGACGTGAGGGAGGAGAAGAGGAGCGAGGAGGAGGCGTCGAGTTACCTTGATCATACTTGAGATGCTCGTCGATCTGATTCATCGCCGCCTGAAAGTCTCCCAGGTGGATGTAGCAGTACGCCATCCAGAACCTGATCCCTGCCTCACTCCCACCTCCTCCCCAGCTAGTCAAACCTCTTCTCCGTCTCCAGCCCGACATTCGATTTGACTTCGTCCGTGTTCACCTGGCAGCCAGTCGGCGCTTCTCCTCAACTCCTCCCCCTCCCCAGTCCTCGCCCCCCTTTCCCTTCCTCGCTCTCCCTGCTCCTTCCTTGCCCTCCCTCCCTCACCTGCCAGTTGAGAAGCCCCAGAGCTCCGTTCCAGTCACTGCCAGGCTGCGTCAGTCCCACCACTCTCACCAGCAGGAGCTTCGAGCATCGACCGTGATTCGACGAAGGCCTCGAGGTCGGGGATCTTCTTCCTGTTCTCCTTCGCCTTCTTGGAGGCGGAGCTGTCGCTGAACGTCTTGGCTCCAGCCCTCTTGGGGAACAACATCTTGATGCCTGGATTGCCAAGCAAGGTCAGGGTTGAGGTTAGAGAGAGTGTGATGTTGGCTTGGAGCACAAGCCTCGCAAGGTTCAGCTATCTTAAGTCTCATTCTCGCCTGCTACTTTCTAGTTTGCTGTGCCTGCCGATGCCTTCATCTATCAACTTGACGAGTCCTTTGACAGCAATCATGGCAATGGAATTGCAACTTGTCGGAACTTCGGAAGCTTAGTGGCATGGAGGCTGTGCGGCGGGGCACGAGGCTCAGGGCCATCCGGTCTCACTCCGAGGCTCAGTAGCTGCCCTTGCACTGAGGCTTAGGCCCCGCTGAGCATGGCGGCAGCGACTTGGACGTCACGCAACTGCGGCCGCCACTGCCGCTGGAGCTGAGCGACTCTCGGAGTCCTGCCGCAGTGCATACCCGCCATCAAACTGAAACCCTCAATTGAAAAATTTAGACTCTCCTGAGTGTGCTCGTACTGATTTTTTAATTTTACTTAGGCAGTAAACCGGAAAAATTAGAGCACACTGAAAAATAACTCAATCCAGCTGTGTCAAACTTCACAAGTCACCTTCTCAGTACAGTGCCTAGCTCCGGGGACCGGCCCGGCCGGTGCAGCCGGGGCCCGGTACCAAGTTAATCAAGCTCAGTCGTCTTGTCCGCCCGGGGGCAGCCGGCAATAAAAAAAAACTCCCGGCAGGGTCTTGCAGGGGAGAAGGTAGGGGTGGTAGTAACGGGGGTAGGGGTGGTAGGGGTGGTAGTCAACGGTGGTAGATTTAATGTTTTATAATGGGGTGGGTGGTTGTCTTTTTGACAAAAATCACAGACGAGGTGGTGATTGAGGCGGGGAGTAGGGGTAGAGGTAGTACAATGAGGCATTTTTTGGTGTAGGAGTGGGTAGGGTGGGTATTCGGGGTAAGGGAGTAGTCGTGGAGCGAAGTAAGCTACTTACAGGGGGGGTAGGGGTACTCCGGGTGTTGGCTTGTTTTTTACATTTCACTGGGAAATGATGGGGGTAGGGGTGGGGTTGTAAGGGGGGTAGGGTGGACAGGAGTTGTTGGTAGGGTCTGGCGCTGCAAAAAACAAGCATGGCAGAGCAATGGAAAGGCGAGGAGGAGGGGAGGAGGAAGGTAGAAGAAGGACGATGACGACTGAGAAACCTATGATAGATGAGAAGATGAGAAAACAGTAAGGAGAGCAGGGTTGGAGGAGAAAAAGGAGAGGACAGGACAGGAGTGGAGAGGGACAGGGGAGGAGGGGTGCGTGAGCGGAACCTGAAAGAAGAGGGAAGGGAACGAGAAGATAGCACCAGGAGTATGCATTGAAGATGTTTACATCATTTGATCATATATTGTAAGGGTGAAGCAAGACGTTCGGGTGTTGGCGATGAATTTCATCTCGTAACATGTATTCTTGTCTTTGACAAACATTCGCTTCCCACTTCGAGATGTCCGAAACTTGATCGCAGAGTATCTGTCTGACCCATTCCTGTATTCTCGGATCTGTTTTAAGCATACAGTCATTCGAATAACCGATATCAACATTGAAATGTTGACAAACGGTTGGCAGGTTGCTGTAATATCTACCCCCCCCGTTTCTTGCCAAGGCTCTCTCAATGTCTAGAGCAGACTTCATGTATGCCAGCGACGATTCGTACAGTGGCTCGTTAGATTCTCAAGATGGGTTCTATGAAAACAATTCTTTTGAAGGGGATGGGCTCGAGTCGTACGACGAGATGTATGACTACGACAGCGAACACTCTGAGGGATCATGGTTCGGCCAGCAGTACGCCGTTCCAGGGATCCGCGGACAGCAGTACGGCAGTCGACCGATGGACACTGACGATCGAACTTCTCAGAGCGGCGAAGTTAGGCCCGTAGTCTGCCATATGTGCTCCCGTTCCTTTGCAAGAATGCCGAACCTTGTGAGGCACTGGGGAGGAAACATCGACCCGGTGCAACTCGACTGCTACACGTGCAGTCGTCAGTTCTGCAGTGACAGTGCGTTACTTCGGCATATGCAAGACGCGCATGGAGATGACCCTCACTGCTGCCCTCATTGCGGAAAATCTTTCTCGTCGAGGAATGGCCTAATGTCGCACAGGGGTTTCGAGCCAGATGTTCTCTATCACGAGTGCAACTACTGCGATCGATCCTTCTGCAGTAGAAAGTCAAGAGACCAGCATGAGAGCAGCTCGCACGGTAATGAGTGCGAAGTGTGCAACACGCAGTTTGCATCGCGAAGGCAGCTTGAGAATCACCGAGGAGGCGCTCCTTTCAACGCACGGTTTGACTGCAGGATTTGCGGGCGCTGGTTCTGCAGTGCAAGGTTGTTGTGTTGACTTGTATCTTTTCGTTGCTCACATGCTAGCAGGAGTCTCATGCAGCATGCAGACATGTCGCATCACGGGTTTGAATGCCTGCGGTGTCCAATCTGCCGTACATCGTTTGCAAACCTCGGACAGCTTCTCCTGCATTGCGGTATTGAACAGTCAGGTTGATGATGGTCAGTGAGATTTGCTGCTCAGATGGTGTGCGACCGACACATGCCTTCCACTGCCGCGTCTGCTCGAGGCCATTCTGCAGCATGAGCAGGAAGATATTTCATGAGCAGAACGAGTAAGGGCCTGCTGCTGTGATAGGCAAGACTCAGTGATGGTTCGCCAGGTGCAACGTCGGTTCCTCTCCTGATCTCCTGGAGGACTTCTGGAGCTCCGATGGGCTTCATAGAGCGCTAGCTGAGCTGATCCGACGAGCTCAGAGCATGAGCTCAGAGCAGCAGCAGTCCACTGCCTCCCGCGTCATGTCACGGCTGCAGCCTCGCGCAGCAACACACGAGGTGGAGGCGATCTAGCTTCAATGGCAATGTGATGGCTGTCATCAGGAAAAGGACGATAAGGAAGGATGCATCTTCTGCTTTGACAACTTTGGCTCTGCGGTGTGTTGCTGGGAGCTCGCTGTCATTCTCTGAGGCCATGCAGGACGTGACGACGCTGCCGTGCTCGCACACCTTCCACTACAAGTGCATGAGACAGTGGGCAATGAACAACTCCTGCCCTGTATGCAGGTGAGGGAGGAACGTGCCGTGTGCTAGCTATTGATAGGCTTCTTTAGAGCACAGATATGTCGAGACCCACCCAACTCGAACTCGGACTATCTCAGGTCCTAGCAAGAGCGCCTCCCGTTGGAAGCGCGTCTACCAGCCATCTGTTATGCAACTGATATCCCTGCTTGCAAGCCTAGCCTGCTGTCGTTACCCCCATCCTCGCTCCCTAGGCCCCCTCTTACAGCTCGTCGTTGCTCTGCATCCAGCCATCACTCGCACCGAGGGGCAAGAAGATTTCTCACCTTATCAACTGTGTTGGACGTCTTATCCCTGCTCACAAGCGTCAGACAAGCAAGTCTAGCCTCTCCCTCCTCCATCACCCCATCACGCTGCTCCATCTTGGCATCATGAGCGATGGATTTTTCCACCAGCCAGCCTGCTGCTCTGAGGGAACTGGAGGCTGCGCCTGATCGTGTGACTGACTCGATGACGAACTTGTCGCTGCTCCAAGAATTCCCTCAGAGGAAGGAAGCGCGAAGTAGTCCTTGGCCTTGTCAGCCGTTGATCGCCAGTCCCAGTTCGACATCTGCTGTCTCGTTACAACGAGACACAACGAGGGCCAGCGCTTTTGCAGTTCATCACCTCCGAGCACAAGCTCTTTGCCTGCAGGTACTGCTGCTTGTACCTACCATTAAGTTCCTCACATTCAAGCAAACGCAAAGTCAACAACACCATGTCGGGTCGATCAGCATGGCTGCAGAGGCGTCTAACGTGTCGCCATACCTCTCGTAAAGAGGGTGAATGACCTTGTATGCTCGTCACGACAAGGAACAAGCAGACGGATCTGTAATCTCACAGCTCCTTCACCGATGTGATAGTAGTCCAGCGAGTTGCCATCCTCAAGAATGTAAGCTCCACACCTGATGAGCCAACAGCTCGTCAATGTGGACAAACAGGTGCACAAGGAGACACACCAAACACAAATACCAAATACAGGCACAAGCCGGAGCGGGAGGAGCAGGAGCAGGAGCAGGAGCAGGGCGAATGCAGGGTTTAGAGCAGGAGCAGGAGCAGGAGCAGGAGCAGGAGCAGGAGATCAAAAAGATCCATTTTTGCTCACATCAGGCGAAGTTTCCCTCTCTTGTCAGCCCACTCAAGCCAAGATCGAGGTCTCCCAGAAAAACGATCCATGTAGCTCTGGGAGCCCATCACAGGATGCCTGCAGCTCCACACGAGACAAGGAGGCACCTGAGTTTGACCTTGGGGATTTGACTGGAGGGCAATGACCTCGGCAAATCCTTTTAAATCAAATCAAACATGCAGGACACGGAGCAGACAAACGACAACCCGTGTCTTCGTCAAGAATGTCAGAGTAGTTTGATCTATCCTCTCGCTTGTCCGCTACTTGGGTCCAGTCACTGTTATCAAACCTGCGCCACGTCACGATCCAACCGCCAAGTCCTGTCCTCTTACATCTGCATCACCAGCGCTCGAAGCGTGGATACATCATCCCCTGTCTTTACCTTCATCGGATGCTTCTCGCCATCTGGTGCTGCGACTTGAATCACGACGTAATGGTTCGATTCTGCGGCTGTTGCTGCTCCTGACTGTACATGTGTGTGTTCGTGGACAGGCATGGCGAGCGTGAATGGAACTCAGGCAATCAAATCAGACGGGAATGGGTACAGTGCATCGTCGGGATCGGCAGTCCTGTTTTGTGCAAAGGTCAGGGAAGTTCTCGTCAGGTATCTCATTATGATCTCAATGGATTCATCAGTAGGACCTCGTTATGATATCATTGAATTCATCAGGTTTCAATCTTGTATGCTTTCTGAAGATTCCTTCCTAATAGATCAAACTGTCTATGCCTACCCGACGCCATCATCCCTTCCGACCTTCTGCAATTCTCACTACCCAACTTTTACCATCGTCCACTTTTTTCATCCTTCTGCATCCCCAAAAGTTATCCGTCCTTCATCTACTATCCATGTTCCTCCTCTTTCTCATCGTTATCGTCGTCATCATCATCGTCTCTTCGTTGTATCTCCGCTCCCTTGTTGCGCCGGTACCATTGTCCTTGACACGCAGGCACAAAGTATCAAACTTTGAAGCGTTCGAAGGGAAAGTTCTCAATCAAGTTTAGGTTCAAACTTTCTCAGCCTGCAAAGTTTGTCATGTCTCAAAGTTTTCACAAACTCAATTAGCTAATCTTGACAGTCACATAAGGCTGCTAAGGGGTACTCAGATCAATGTGTGATTTGTACCCGTCCATAAGAACGTAGAGTTTGGGATAATATGGGGTAGGGGTAACGAACTACAGCGTTGATTGATGGGGTAGGTGGTAGCAGGAGGGAAGACCCTTCGGGCGGGGTAGGAGATGCCATTTCGGGGGGTAGCATAAGAGATTCAAGTGGGGGTGCTTTTGTGATCTATGAGGGTAGGGGTCATGAAGCTCGGGGTAGGGGGTGCAAGAACAAGTTAGTTTCTAGTCTGATGGTGTAGAGAATTGTGGGAAGACAACGGGGTGGGTGACTCTAATTGATGGTGGGGGGTACAGAGAGCTTCACTGTTGATTCAGGGGAGGGGTGGGGTAGTTTAGTTTTGATTTTCCGTACCTCATTTGGACATATCGGTGGCAATGGTGGTAGCAATACTATCAGGGGGTAGGGGCTCATGAAAGATTTCAATTTTGAAAGCATAGTTTTCAATATCTTCTGAACGTTTCAATAATTAAATTCTAATTTGGGTAATTCAGGGAGTTGAGAGTGAAATTTTGAATTTGTTGTCGGAGCTATGGGGTAGGGTGATGGTAAGGATGGGGTAGTGAATGCCAGCAGGAGGGTGTGGGGTCCCTGCATGCTGCAAGCCCTTCATGACACGTCGAAAGCGACGAGAGGAGATGAGGAGCGCGGAGAAATGGCAGAGAGAGCAGAGAGACACGATAACGATGGATGCGAAGACTGCCCGGCATGCCGCAAAGCAGACTTGCAGAAATGATAGAGAGAGGAAGCGAGACAAATGCGGTGAAGGTTGCAGTGGGAGGAATGTGTGTTGCGATGAGGGGTTTTAGTCGTGTTGAAAGACGGCCATGAAGATGAAAAGCGGCATGCCTCGATGGTTTGAAGGATGAGATGGCTGCAAAAGATCTTACATGGGAAATATGCGGAAATTTAAGTAACTTTGAGAGAGAGCTATGAGGTATTCGTTAGCATGATTCACAAAGGAGAGTCGCAATATTTTGAATTTCGGGGTTTCAACTTTAAATCTTCACTTGTGTTGGTCAAGGTCTGGCTGTTATAATCGCATTTGCAATATACAATCCTCGGACTAGATGAAATCATGATGCAAACTCCTTCTTTATAAGCACTGATAGATCGCCTTATGGGTGCTGTGGGAATTGCAATTAGAGTTGTTTTCTTCACAAATTCCAATGATGATGTAAAGCTTTAGGCGGGTATGTTGACTGATCCTCACTCTCAGACTCACTGCTTGCATGCTTCAAGAAAGTAGCGATCTACGAGATCCCTTGAATCCTGCTGAAAGCACCAACATTTCTTCGACATTTGGTGGTGATAATGCTTCCTCCTCCTCCTCCTCCTCCTCCTCCTCCTCCTCCTGCCTCATCTTTATTCTGAACCTTCATGAATCGTTTCTTTGTCGCAGGGCTGACTGTGCCTCAAGGAATCACAAGCATGTTCTCGAAGGTTCAGAACAGCAACCTTGGACTCGCAATTTCAAGTGACCTTGTTCTTTCTGTGCCCTTTACGGAACTTACTCAGACGCCAGGTGTTAGGAGCAGAATCAGGCCATGGGTCACTGACTTTGGTAACCAGCCTATGTTTCTCGTGCCATACTTGATAGATTGGGAACTTGAGTCGTGGGTTGCTTTCAGTTCCCAATGTTGACCTTTCAAGAGCACAAACCTTAACATCCAGCTCTGATCGTTAACTTGCAACAGGAGCTGTTTCTCAATTCACTCGCCCTGGAGATGACTGGGCTACCCGCCTAAGAGTAAGATATCTCCCTGCTCGAAGAATCGCCTGAGGCAGGTGACAGATCAACGTCACGTACTACAAAGGAAACTATGGGATCATTTTCACTGGATTCGTGGTTTACTCCATCATCTCCAATCCTTTCCTCCTTGTATCTATAATCCTCCTCCTCGGTGCATGGTCATGGCTTCTCGGGATGAGACCAAGACTCGGTGAGAGGGAGTCCATACATGTTGGGGAACCACTGACTTGCTTCAACAGAGGACGGATCTATTGCCCCAGGTCACTCTCCCACGGCGCTTGCAGGGTCCTTTGCTGATACATCGCAGTGACTGTTGGAGGAAGAGTGCTCTCGGGGTTTGAGCAGAAGGTAGAAGAATAGGCAGGTGGATCCGGGATGCTGATCCAACGCTCAGGTTGCCCTGGGGTCCTTCACCTTCATTCTCATGATGATTACGAGCCTGGGCAGCACCATTTTCTGGGCACTGGTACTCGGTTTAAGAGAAGTAGCGTTCATGTGACGCCGTGGGATCTTCAGGGTGCAAGCATGTTTTTCATCGTAGCGCATGCTATCACGCATAAGACTGACATGCATGAAGTCAGTTGCTTTCCTCGCTGGATTCTAGCAGACGTCTGACGAGCTTGCAGGTGGACGCTGAGCAGTTCGGAGTCCCCGGCCAGTTCACGCCTGCCGATGCTTCTGCCTAATCCACCTGATTCACTAACATCTGCACCGAATAATTTATCTTCATCCTTGAGATTCTACACGGCAAAGATGGAGACTGTGTCTATCTAAGCTGATGCAAGTGTGACTGCTGCCACAACAATTGAAATGCATGCTGAACGTGTTGAGTTGTTATATTTCGAAATCTATCTTCTAAGTCTTGTCATTGAATCAAGTTTTCTACAACCTTGTTGTCACCTCATTATGTTGCCATGATGTGTGTTGCTATCGAACATCACGCTCTGCTCTGTCGACGGCCACCTGTACGGCGGGCGGACGAGGGAGGCAGAGGCGAGGACAGGCATGTCGGGATGGGAGTGTCCTCCCACTCCTCCCGGTGAGTCAGACTCCAGCAGCACGGGGAAGCGCAAACTATCCGGGGAGAGCTCGTGCTGGGGGGACGTGCGGAGGCTGCTGGAGGAATGAGATGGTGGACTTGTGCTCCGTGCGGGGGAGATGACCTTCTCCTTGATGGACCATGTACACCTGATGCTCCGAGTCAGCTCACAGCAGGGGAGGGCAGCCAGTCTCACCATGTCACTCCTCTCTCCGTGTCGGACTTGGTCCAGAAATTCTTTCCTGACGTGAGGTCGAGATGTTTCTTCCACTTCATCTGGAAAGAGACGTCACAAGGCGTAGACGAAGCTGATGAGTGACCTCGTCTACTTGGAGCTCTTTGAGAAGATGCAAGGTCTTGTTCAAAGATTGCTTCATCGACCTTGAAAGGTGGCAGAGGTCAGGACACGGTCTGGCCTTACGGCTCGTACTGTATGGTTTTGATTTGACTCAGCTCTCTCCGTCTGTAAGCTCCCTTCAGCTTGCTGATCTCTTCGTCCCTCATCGGCTTCATCATCTGCAACGCGTTTGCCATCTGAGCTCAAGTCAGTCTCAGACCTCTTTCAGCACACCAGGCCTTCACCGCTTGCTGCTCTAATGCTCTCATCTTCTCCTGCAACAAGTCCTTCTCTGAGATCAGCTTGATGTTCTGCGAGGTCAGCGAGTGAACTTTCTCTTCCAGCTCTGAGATTCTATCCAGCCGTTAGACTACCAACGACAAGATTGTGGGGTCACCGTATCCTATCTTCCATCATAAACCTTGTGTTGTACATTTCATCCTGCTCATTGTCGGAGCTGTTCAGGTTTCTGCATCAGCGCCTGCACCTGAAAGGAGCAAGAACCTTTCAAAGTAGGCGTTCTTCACCATCTGCTTTGCCAAGCTGAGCTGATTCTGCAGCTCAACAATCTTTGGGTTCATCGTTCAAAATATGTTTGAAGCTTCAAGGTGGGACTCGTCACCTGCATACGTAGCTTCAAGTTCTTTTCCTTTTCTCCTTCGGATCCGTCCGAAAGATCATGGCCCCGGTGGTTGGTGAAGGAGATGTGAAGCGGCGAGTCTTCCTGCACATCGACTCGTCTCACTTTGATCACTGCACAACAGACGCAACCTCTTCATGGACACTCTTCCTGTTGGAGGATTCCGACTTGGAGTCATACATGAGCTGAGATTCTGTGCTAGGAGATGACAAGGTCGCAAGCTGGAGGGCAAGTCAGAGGTCTCGGAGCAACAAAGGGAACGGAGCAACCGATCCCTCTGAGGTGTTGTCTGCCACGTCGTCTACATCAGGCAGCAAGCGCTTCATCCGCTGCTGACTGCATCTCAGTACCAGACAAGCTGCTCTTGTGCCTGTACCTTGGGCTTGAGAGCGGAGGGAAATTGAGCGGGTTCGATGGGAGACAAGACCGTCCAAGACATGTTTGCTTTGGAGTGGGACACCTTGTGCAGGTCTTGTACAAAGTTGAATCTGGAGTTGGACATCGACATCGCTGAAGGATCAAGCCGTTAGAACGTCTGCCTGAGCTCTAAAATTCTCAAACCTTCAGAGGCCTGCACACTTGCTGGATAGGTAGGACGCTGGTATCGCTCAGTCTGCTGCAATGGCCTCACACCAAAGAGCTCATCATCATCGTTGACATCACCGCATACAACTCTCGTTGCTGCTGCGCATCATGAGACTGCGCGTCATTCCACGTGGTTGGCGATGGATCTGCTCTCTGCCAGCTCGACGGGTCTTTGAAGGGCCCTGAGCACACGTCAACAACCTGGGGAGGCTCATGTCAACATACTGGGGTATCGCTTCTGGGCTGCCTCCCGGTAGCGATCGAACTCCATGACGCTCTTAGGCCAGCAGAAGCTTCAGGGTCACCAGTCTCTTGCTAACTTCGCATGTCTGGAAATCACTGGAGGTTATGGTGATGCTTGAGTGAATTCTAGCTAGCAAGGCAGCAAGGCCTGATCGGGTACACCGAGGAATTGTGAATCCTTCTAACTCGTCGTGGTTCTGGATGCTACTCATGGGTTCTCTGCCTGTTACTTTCCGTGATATCTACAAGTTCTTGAGTAATCTCTTGCGTTTCTTCTTCAGCCATCAACATAAGATGAATTAGTGTCCACGTCCTGCTCTATCATCGTTTGATGATCTTGTGCATGATGACCAATACACGCAGATCTCAACGCCGATCATGACCAACATATGATGATCGACATGTTCAAATGGCCCGACCGCTCTGCACAAGATCTCAACCCGTGCAGAGACCCTGGTATGCTGTCAGTGTGCAGCCTATCCCTTCCTCCGCCCTTTCACAGTATCAACTAAGTTGTGAGAGACAGCCTCGCACTGGCCTTCTCCTCACAGAGATCAGCATGACAAACTCTCTCATCTGCTCTACTTCCTGCCGACCGGCTCGCTCATCTCCTCGGCTTCTGTTCCGCCGACTGACTCTCGCAGGCTCGCATGCTTGTATGCACTGCTTCAACGGCGACTTCCTTGCACAACATCCAACTTTTACTTAAAAATATAAACTGAAAATTCTGTGAGCAATTTTTGAATCATCACTGTCCGATCAACTTGTGGCCGTCCGATCCCGGAGTCCGATGATCCCGTGTCCGCCGGCCCGCGGGGCGCCGGCCCGCCGGGCGGTGACTCGCCGCGGGCCGGGGACCGCCTAGAGGCTAGTACCGCCGGCGTACGGCCCGGCCGGCCGGGCCGCGGAGTCCGAGCGCCCCGGCCGGTAAGTTATCATAGTATGATACTATGCCATCATGCGGTGGCACTGGCACGGCCCCCGGCCCCCGGGACTCCGGATCGTCACTGGCGAGTCACTGCCCGGCCAGTGGCCAGTCACGCGCGGTCGTACCGTACGGTACTGGTACGCCGGGCCGCCGCCGGGCGGCCGGCTGCCCGGCCGCACCCGCGGGCCCGGGGGGGGACCGGGCCGGGCGGGGCGCCGCGGGGCCGCGCGGCGCCCGCGCTCGCCCTACCGTACCGCGCGGCCAGCCCCCGCCACCGAGTCACTGTCAGTAAGCCCGGCCGCGAGGGGCCCCCGCATCGAGCTGAGTCACCGAGTCCGCGGCGGGCGGGGCCGCAGAACTTCGGAACCGTCTCTAGGACTCCGGCGCCGCGCCCCGCCGCCGGGCCCGGCCGCCGGCGTGCCACTGGCGGCCCGGGCTGTGACTCCCCGGGCCTCGGACTCGGCGGTACCAAACTTGCACCCGGCGCCGGACCGTCTCGGGTCGGCGTCCGACACTGTCACGTGGAGCCTCGCCCGGCGCGGCCGGGCCCCCGACCGTGGCGGTACGGTCCAATATAACAACGGAAGGACCCCCCTACCCCCTCACTGACTCACAGAGTCAGCCGCACTAGAGTACCACCCCGCCGTACTTGGGAGTCCTCTCGCGGAACTTTTACGTCGGTTGTTGTTTGCTTCCAGCAACAATTCACACGAACCCACCCTCCCTCCCAAGACCCAGCATGGGGTCAGCCATTGTCAGCCCACCGGTCACCCCAGTTATCTCATAGCCAGTACCCCCTTTTTCATCTAAGTGACCCCTTCGGTACCTACCCCGCGCACAGATTGCGTCCCTTGACCCACTACCCTCTCTCCACTGGGCCCCAGCACAGCACAACCTCCCACAGCAGCCTCTCACCATCCCCTTCCGAAGTTCCTCCTCCTTCTCCCCCCCTCCTCCTTTCCCCCTCTCATCCTCTATCTCCCTCCCTTGCCTTGCCTTGCCTGACCTATGACACTTGCTGTTTTGCTCATGTTGCCTTCTTATGTTGTATAATTTCCCTATTTTCCCTGTGCTGTGTTATGAAATGATATTGATGTTCAATTCTAGACTTGAAGTTATCATCCTTTCCAATCTTATTTCTTTTGTTACTGATCTTGGATGGCAATCTCACACAGTGATCAGGTTAGAATGACTTCCACAGCAACCTCGAATACTGTTGTTCCCTTCGAAGAGCCGGTAGATGCAACCAAGGGCAAGCCTGATGTCTTCCGTGTCGATTTCAGCAACTACATGAGCACTCAGGTGTGAATGCGAGCATGCAGCGCCTCGTAAACCTGATCCTTCGCAGGACCTCATTGCAGAGATTGACAAGAAGCAGCTGATCGACCCCAAGACTCACACTCGCGCGACCGATTTCGTCAACGGAGTGGTCAAGGATGAGAAGATACAAGACGTAGCTGGGCCCAAAGGGATGGGGGTGCTCAAGACTGCAAGTTTTCCCCACGACTACGCTGAAGAAAGGATCAAACGAGCGACTGGCACGCAGATGACTGCTTATCAAGTTCATCAGCACTTCGCGTCTCCGCAATTTGTTGCGATCGACAAAATTATCAAGGAGAACAAGGAAACAATTCTCCACATGTTCCCCACGATCGCGTACATCGGCTTTCCTTCCAATAATCAGACAATGACTGGGCCAGGGTTGATTATCCTTACCAACAAAAGAGTTTACATGTATTGCCACGAAGATCGAACAGCAGCTTCTGGAAGCGAGAACATGTTCGGAACAACTTGCTGGCCACGGCTGCTGTGTTGCTGCATTCCCGGTGGGTGCGCTTTCTGTCCATGCTGCAAGGTGAACAACGGAGAGTACGTACACGTGGCTACTCGTGAAACAGAGGATATCTTTGCTGTTGTGGGCATAGAGGACATTCTTCCAAACAGTTTTTCTTTTGACAGGGCAGAGAGTACAAAACTGCAGAGGAAGTTCAGGTACGAGTCATTCGATACAAGGTGTTGGCCGTGCGGCTGTTTCAACCTCTGCACGTGCATGTGCTGCGCGCCATGCTGCTGCTGCCTGACTCCCTGCCTCTGGTGGTTGCCCCAATGCTTGTGCCCTTGTGACCAAGGGGTGCGATGCGAAGTGCTCACATGCTCTGTGATAGAGCAGTGCTGCTGCATCTGCAGGTTCTGTTGCTATCACGGATACAGCTCGTTCAAATACGACTTTGGTTTTCATGATTTCAAACGAGTGGAGCCGTACGTGATCAGGGAGTTCACCAAGGGCGATGACAGCGAATGGTCCCTTGAGGAGCTGCAGGAGCTTGAAGAAGCGCTCATGATCCTCGAGTCAGGACTAGAGCACACGTGGCGAGATGGTTCAAAGACCAAAGGTGACACGCCTGATGCATGGAAGCATATGGTACGAGAGAGGCTTCCAAACAGGAGCGTCAAGCAGGTAAATTTGTCTCCCGATTCTCTGCCGACTTGTCTCACTGCTGATCTCCCAAAGATTCTTCCTCTGATACTCGTCTGACACCACTTTTGACTAGTGTCAAAGTAAGCGCGAAGAGCTGAAAAAAGGATTCCGGACATACCAGAACTGCCGTGTCGCAGCGTATCGCGGAATCAACTTCAAGTACCTGGATCGAGCCAAGAACAAAGTGGGACGCCTTTCGTTGTCCAAAGATTCTCGACATCTGAGTCTCGCTGCAGGCCTTGACGACGACGGCGATTGTGGACCATTCAGTCTGTAATGTCGAGGAGCTCTGCAAGTTCACGATTTCAGCAAACTCGATGGAAAACCTGGCGAAAGACGTCAAGATGGTACGAGGGAGGATGAGGCGACTTGAAACTGACAAGGTGCGATGATGCAGCTCAAGAACTCGATGAACGGTTACGAAAACAACGGCAGCAGCCTCGTGAGAGATGCCGTCCTCGACACGCCGTCCCTTGGCTCGCTCTTAGCCTCTCCCGGACAGCTGGCAAAGTTGGCGAAGAAGTATCTGGTGTGCTGCAATGAAGACTACTGCTTCGAGTTCTGCTGCGGAAAGCTCATGCTGGCATGCCCAAGATGCAGGCCATTGTGTTGGTGAGATTGACGTGGAGACTTGACGGCTTGTCTGAGGCTTCTTGATGCAGGTGCTGGTTCTGATGGGGTCACGCTCTTTCTGTTGACTTGGATCAACAAGATCAAGTCTTCTCCTGCTCATCGGCATGTCAGGGATACTGTGTGTGTGTGTGTGTATTTGCAGCGTCAAATCGCGTCAACTTATGAGGATAAGATGCGACTGGTATATTATTAGCGTCATTGATCGTTGGTTTATTAGCGTGATTGAATGAAGCTTAACCTCTGGACATGCTTGTCTTCTGGACATGCTTGTCTCGTCTCATGTCGACATGCTGTCTTCTCGTCTCGTCTCATGTCGACATGCTGTCTTCTCGTCTGGTCTCATGTCGACATGCTGTCTTCTCGTCTCGTCTCATGTCGACATGCTGTCTTCTCGTCTCGTCTCATGTCGACATGCTGTCTTCTCGTCTGGTCTCATGTCGACATGCTGTCTTCTCGTCTCGTCTCATGTCGACATGCTGTCTTCTCGTCTGGTCTCATGTCGACATGCTGTCTTCTCGTCTCGACGAGCTCGAGGCACCATGGAAGGCAACTACTAGGTCAGCTACAGCATCGGGCGCATCGGTCAGCTGGAGAAAGGAAGCGAGTACACCCTACCACGTAGGGGTGGCATTGTATCAAGATAGGGGTAGGGGTACTTTGAAATTTGGAGGGTGGGTGGTCAAGGTATGACAAACATGGAGATGAAGAAATGGGAGGGTAGGGAGAGAGAAAGCAGTGAAAGCATCAGCAGAAGCAGCAGCTTCAACATCACCATTCGCATCAGCAGAAGCAGCAGCTTCAACTTCACCATTCGCATCAGCACAAGCAGCAGCATAAGCATCAGCAGTGTGTGTAGCGAGATCCGTAGCAATAACATTGGGAAGAAAAAAAACCAAAGTAGCAGCAGAAGTTGAAGGAAGAAGGGGAGAAACGTGGTGACATGAAAGGCTAGAAGGACGGAAGGAGAATCACGCTTTCCTTGACAAGGATGGTTTCATTGATAGTCTACTCCACAATCAACATCTTTGTCTGCCCCATCATTGCACCTCGATTGATTTTCAGCTATTGCCTCTTTCTTTTCACGTAGAGTGCGAACACACTTGTTTGGCGGTGGGCGTGATTCCTTGTGTCTGATGTCTCAACGACTTTGATTCCTTGTGATGAATCTGTGTCCTGCTTTTGAACTTTCATCCCGGTGATTTCACAGCTGAATTCTTTGAGGCTATTTTTGTTGGATCTATTGTTCTCCATAGACACATGTCACACCTTCTTTCTGTACATTTGATCCTTTCTACTGCCGCAAACCTTTCGCTGTCTGACATTTCATGTGCTAGCACACGATTGCCATGCCTAGGCAGCATCCTCGCATCCATGCTTTGTGCATTGGAGCAGGAGAATACCAATACATTGACAAGCTCGACGCGCCCAAGGATGCGAGGGCAATGCACAGGAAGTTTGAAGAGACACCTCTGTGCAAGTGTTTCTTGAATGTAGATCCGACATCCAAGGAGGACATGCAGAAGCAGCTGCAGGAGCTGGCCGAGTCCTCCTATGGTCGACCTCCTCAGGTCACTTTCATCTTCTACGCGGGGCATGGATGCCAGCTGACCAGCGGCCCGTTGGCCATGCTTCCTTGCAACTTCAAGGCTGCGGAGGAGGAAACGATGATGGAGGAGGGAACGTTCACTCTGGACGAGCTTCTGGATATTTTATATGAGTCTCACTGGTCCTGGAACAAGATCCCCGTCGTCTTCGTCATGGATGCTTGCAGGGAGTCAATTCAAGGACATTCCTTGGCGTTGGAAGCGGCTGAGCCTCGCCGACCTGCAAGGACTTCCATTTTCTGCTCCTGCAGCCGGGGGCAGCTTGCGAGCGACGAGTCTTCCTTCTTCCAAGACTTGCTCGACCCCGAGCATGGCATCTTTGCGATCAATCAGCCGCTGTTTGACGGCTTGATGTTTGCACTTGACCAGAGCCGAGCGAGGGTTACCGAGCAGTGGGCAAGAAGCATTTCACCCGAAGACGTGCCGAAAAAGTTCTGTATCAAGGAGGACAAGACAGCCAAGGCGGACGTGGATCAGATTGAAGCTGCAGGTCGTCGTGGCATAGAAACATCCCAGCAGCGAACTTCTCCTGATGCTGCTACTGTAGCTGCGTACTCCCCGCGAGCGAGTGAGAAGATAGAACACCTGCAGTCGAGCCTTGTACAAGTATGCAAGGGAGCTTTGAACAGCTTTGCAGCTGGAACCTCTCCTGGCAAGGCGATGTTCGTGTTCTTGTCTTTGTTCCTGCGCTACGAGGAGACAGAATTTGGTGAATCCTGGTTGATTCCATGCTTACATGGGCTGCTTTCGCAAGGCGTAAAAGAGGTTTCAGAGATGATCAATTCTCATCTGATGAAAAATACCATCACCTCCTCTTCTCTCAAACAGTGGATTGCTGAAAAATGTCCTGGGATAGACCAAAGTAAGCTCGTGTTTGCGGCGTTGGACTTCTCGGTGAGGACTGAGTTGCAGAGATGTTCGAACGACAACCCAGACATGGCAAGGAGAGAGAGCGAGGGATGGGTGACGAACGTGGCAAACGTGTGCTACACAGATGCTATCACTGTCAACGTAGCGATGGACATGGCGAACGAGTACTTGAGCTCGAGGCTTGCAGCCCTGCTGTCCATCCAAGTCTTTGAGAGGATCGTCGAGACAGGAAGCTACGTGGTCTTCATGAGGATGTCTCCTCTTACAAGTGCCTGCCTGTCGCAGTTCCTCGCAGAGCAAGTGAGGAAACGCCTGCACGGCGAGACAGGAGCAGACCAAGTTTTCAGGACGTGGATAAGCAGCAGCGGCTGGCTGAGCAGCACCTCCGAGCACAGGGAGCTGCGGCAGTACCTTGACGAGGACGAGGAGAAGCATCTGATGGAAATCCTCCGCGGCGTCGGGCAACTCCAGCACTTCGTGGACTTGACGAGGGTAGAGGGACAAGGTGAGAAGCTCACGAGACGTGTTTGTGTGTGAACGAGATGCAGGAGCACTCTCACTGTTGAAGAAACAAGACGCGACCTCCTCCTCCCCGCCGTTGGTGAACTTGATTGAGCTCGTGCTCAAAGGCGATGAAACGAGCAAGTGGAGTCGGTTCTGGAGGGGCGTCGCAGCAATCTGGACGCATGCCCAGGGTAAGTCTTTGTCGTGGTGAAGAGAGTGCAACGTGCTCTTGTTTGGTCAGAGTTGAGAGGAAGTCAGAGTGTGAGGAAGTGAAGCTGAGCAGAGGGCAAGTGACAAGGAAGATGAGGGAGGGAGAGGGAAAGACAGAGTGGCCGAGGAGCGAGGAGGATTTTGAACTTTTGCGAGATTCTTTCGTGGTTAGCATTCATGGTGGACCTGTCTGATGTTTTTGGCAGAGAGGGGAACATCAGTGGAGGCTGTGATCATGCGGTTGAACGAGCGTGGAATCTGTTTGGACATGTTTGACAACACGTGTCTTGTACGAGAGAACGAGCTGAAGGAGCAGCTGGAGTCTTCTGAGAGGGCGGCGAGCATCCTAAGGATGTGGTGGGCAAGGCCGGAAGAGATCAAGCAAGGAGGCGACTGGCTGCGCGAGAGGCAACAAAGGAGTGAGGGAGCACAGGTTGGGAGGACAGACCTAGAGGAGATCTTCAAGGCGGGGATGGATGTCAGCCGGCTGGTGATGAGAAGGAGAAAACGAGAAATTCGAGATGAGCGGGACAGTCAGGAGATGAAGATGAACAAGATGTGCCAGGTTAACTTGTGGGTAGCAGGCGAGAAGCAAGGGCAGGCTCTTCGGGATCAACCTCAATCTGCTGACGTCACTGCCATCTGCTCCTTCTCGGGAAGTTTCGACTCATTTCCTCGAGTGATTGAAGGCATGCAAGAATCGGTCCTCACCTACTCCTCCCCTTCTAAGACCTCCCTCCTCCTGCGCGTCATGCTGCGAGAGGTGCTCGCCCTCGGGTTTCCTCCCGACTTGTCAGAGCTTTGGGCCGAGCTCGAGAGGCTGCAGCTTGCAGCTGGAAAAGAGCTGGACTTTGTGGGCATGTGCGGAAACATTCTCTATGATGTGATTGTGAAGAGCTCGCAAGATGCTCGAGCTTGGATTCAGCGAAACATCTTCGGCATGACCGCGGAGGAACTTACGTCTGCTCTGCGCCATCATGCTTCCAACAACTCCAAGCACGAGCTGCTGTCCGGCTGCTTCCTCTCTGTCAACTTGACGCACTTCTGGCTCCGAAAGAACTTGATCCTCGACTCGATCACTCAGCTGGAGGACGCGCTGGAGGTCTTTCTCTTCAAGTTTGAAGACCAGACGAATCGCAAGAGAGCCGTGGAGGAATATCTCAAGAAGATTCTTGTCGTGCTTGACGCGTGCAGGCTCTCGCTCAGCCTCCGGTCCATTGAGACAGAGCTGCTGCATCAGGAGAGCTGCGTTGTCGTCCTCAAGATGCCTGCCGTCTTCGGCAAGATGTTGCTGTACCTGATGGAGAACGACTGTGAGATCAACGGAAGTCTCAACCAGCAGCGTCTTGATCGGATCGTCTCGGATTGGCTGACTCCGACTCACAAGCTCGTCAGCGTACGAGAATGGTTTGCAGCCCTTTCAAGCTCGCTGCCGAATGTCGGTGACGTGTCAAGTCGCTGTGAGAGGGGGCGGCAGGGACTGAAGGAGCAGGTGATGGCTTTCTTCTGCCTCTGCTGCTGCCTCTGCTGACGCTTTTTCCAGCTCGGAAACATGATGACAGCTGTGGCGGACCAGGTCATGGTTGGGATGATCCGCGAGGGCCTCGGACTCTTGCAAGAGCAGGACGAGGTCTTCACGATCCTTCGCATGTTCATCCTCGATGAGCAAAAACTTGACGAGAGGCAGCACGAAAAGTGCGTCATGATCAAGAGCAGCACGTCCCGCAGACCTCGCATAGCCACGCGAGGCATGCGATCGGCACCGGCAGCACCCGCCAGCAGCGACAAGGAGTGGGCACTGCTGACTCTCGGGGAGCTGCATGACTTCTGTGGAAGCAGCTCCTACGTGCTGCAAGTGATAGTCGAAGAGAGCGACGACGACGAGACGGAGACAAGGAGGTTGCAGGCAGTGGAGGTGGGAGAGACCTATCGCAGGTACAGGGTCACGCGAGACTTCGTTGTCTCTGTCTCTCTCGTCAACTTCGGCTCCTCTGACGTTGTTCTTCAAACCTTCTACAAGTCAGACGAGGGTGAAGCTGAAGACGAAGGGCCCATCACTCTCAAGCCCTGGGCTCACACGTCTCTAGAGAACCTGCAGACGAAGCTTGACGAGGGGCAGGAGCGTGACACCATTATCCTAGAGGACCGGCGTCAAGCAACCACATTGCGCCTGTTCTTCGAGGCATGAGTCTGAGTTCAGTCTCTGTAATCTCTCTCATCGGATCTCATTCACTCACGGAAATCTCCGTCATTGTAAAGTCGAAATAAAAAAAACTCCATCGCATCCTCTCGTCAGCTGCAGCGCTATGGTTCGCCCCTCTGCCTCCTACGAGAACAAGAGCATTGGTCTTGGCCTCCTCCTCCTCCTCCTCCTCCTCCTCCTCCTCCTCCTCCTCCTCCTCCTCCTCCTCCTCCTCCTCCTCCTTTTCTTCTCCTTTTCTCCTCCTCCTCCTCCTCTACCTGTCTAAACTCATTCTCTCAAGGTTACCTCTTCGGCTCGTTCCTCCAGCTCCTCCCGCCAGTTCGTCTGCCGCTCAGGACGCTGCAGCCTCTATGACACCCTTAGCGAAGTGCTGCCCGTGTCAGTCATCAACCAACTGAGAGCGATCGAGTTCTTCAAGGTGGCAGACAGCAACGGCTTCCTCAAGGTCCGGCATCAGAAGCCGAGGTAGAAGTTACCTGTAGAGGCAAGGAAGAGACCCCAGCAACGAGAAGGCCATGCAGAGGCTGAGGCGGGCATGGGAGGAGCTGGCGGGGAGCTCGACGATGTTGCCAGGCAGTATTCTCTTGAGAAGGCAGTGAGAGTACAGCCAGGGGTGGGCGGAGTACTTGACGCAGCTGTCGCGGCCTCTTACAAGCGTGTCGCCCAGGAGAGGGGCAGAGGTCGGGAAATGGCGGCAGCTGGACAAGGCAGGGAGCAGCTCGCCGAGGTCAAGGACGTCGGAGGAGGAGGCAGAAGCGATGGGAAGCAGTCAGTTGCGCGACTTGTGGTAGTACGATGACATGCTTGACGCCAGTCATGAGCAAAAGTCAGACTCAGTCATGAGTCATCAGCTAGCGACGAGGCTGAAAACTTCGTGCCCAATGGCACAGGTTTGTTGTCAGGAGACGAGAGATTCGTTGGAGGAGGAGCTTTCGACGTCGGAGCGGGACAAGGAGGAGCCTGCCAAGGAACTTCCGGTTCTTTGATGGGAGAATGCTCAGTGAGAATTAGTAAGGACAGAGAGACTTTCAATGTAGCATTGAGAGATGGTTAGAACGACGAATCTCTGTTGAGGAAATCGTTGTGTTGGTACTACGGTATCCGGTTGAAGGACGGAAGATGAAGGAATTTGATGGATTCTGAAGCTTTTTCAGCCGCCCGCCTGAGCGCTGCACGCCGTGACGCGGAATCTCCACTGTTTAATCGGAACGCGGAGCCGTCACTTGAAGTGGCGAAGCGACTCCGAGTGAACCGCGGGCCGGCTCGTACTGATCTTTAACTCAACTTTGAGTAAAGGACGAGAGTCAGTCTGGACTCGAAGTCCCGGACCGTCAAGTTCGTCCGGGCCGCCGGGCCCGGGAGCGGGGCCGGGCCTGGCAGTCACCGTGCTGAGTGGCGCCTTTCTGACAAAAGCAGACGAGTCTTTATTTGACTTTTTTTTCGAATGATTTTTCGGTTCGAACTTGGCAACCGAGAACATGCGGTTGGCAGTTTGGCTCGAGTGAGAGGCATGAGGCAGAGGAGGAAAGAAGGAAAGAGTGAGAGGAAGACGTATGCAAACTTGACTCACTGTTCTAGATACCACCGTGACCGTCCGATCGGTGGAAGAGGACCGGAAAGTGAAAGACTTGTGAAGTATTCATTGCAACTGTGGAGTAGTCATTGCAACTGAGGACTTCATCAGTCGATATTCTGTCATCAAACATACAATATCATCATGTATTCTTTCCTTTCTGCTCACGATGTTTTCATCGAGAGGAGCGCCATATGCGAAGGGAAAAAGGTGGGAGTCAGTAACAGGCGTGAGAGAATTCGGAAAAGTTCAGTTTGAATTATGGCAGAGACTTGAAATAGAGTCGGGAAGCTCTCACAAGTAAAGATGGAGATGTAGGAGGTGGGGGCAGAATAACCCGATACGGAAGCTTGACTGATGCTTGAACCTTGCGTGTGCCCCAAGCCATCTTGAAACAAGACTGACAAGAGCTGGAATTGCCTTCGAAGACACATAAACCTCACCATGATCATGACTGTCATCTCAACCCTGACCTTGCTTGGCGATCCAGGCATCAAGATGTTGTTCCCCAAGAGGGCTGGAGCCAAGACGTTCAGCGACAGCTCCGCCTCCAAGAAGGCGAAGGAGAACAGGAAGAAGATCCCCGACCTCGAGGCCTTCGTCGAATCACGGTCGATGCTCGAAGCTCCTGCTGGTGAGAGCGGTGGGACTGACGCTGCCTGGCAGTGACTGGAACGGAGCTCTGGGGCTTCTCAACTGGCAGGTGAGGGAGGGAGGGCAAGGAAGGAGCAGGGAGAGCGAGGAAGGGAAAGGGGGGCAAGGACTGGGGAGGGGGAGGAGTTGAGGAGGAGCGCCGACTGGCTGCCAGGTGAACACGGACGAAGTCAAATCGAATGTCGGGCTGGAGACGGAGAAGAGGTTTGACTAGCAAGGGAGGAGGTGGGAGTGAGGCAGGGATCAGGTTCTGGATGGCGTACTGCTACATCCACCTGGGAGAGTTTCAGGCGGCGATGAATCAGATCGACGAGCATCTCAAGTATGATCAAGGTAACTCGACGCCTCCTCCTCGCTCCTCTTCTCCTCCCTCACGTCCAGCGGCAGACCCCGAGCCCATGGCCTGGTTGTGGAAGGCCATCTGCCACTTCGGGCTCGGGCAGTACAAGGCAGTGGAGGAGTGCGCGCTGAGGTGCGGGACGGGACTTGGAAGCTCGTGCTGACTGACTTGACTCGCCTGCAGGGGGCCGCCAGGTCAATTGCAGAACCGGATCCTGTTCCACATGGCGCATAAGATAGGTATGAGGAGAAGAGGAGGAGGGCGAGGGGGTACTCACGAGCGGCAGGGGACGAGGGTAAGCTCATGATCTACCACCAGAAGATGTCAGCAAGGTAGGAGGAGGCGTCGAGGCGTCAGGCAGTCATGCTGCGCGTGCGTGCAGCGTTGAAGATCAGCTGTCGTTAGCCGCCATGCACTTCCTTCGCGGTCACTATCAGGTCGGCAGGCTGCCCGCGCATCTGCTGGTGGCTGATGGTGGGGGAGGGCAGGAGGCGACGGACGTGTACAAGAGGGTGTTGCTGGAGCAGAGAGACAACATCGCGCTCAACGTGTACGTGGCCCTCTGCTACTACAAGCTGGTGGGTCGATGAGACTGCTGGACGCGCCTGTCGCTGACGGCCTCTCGCTCCTGCTGCCTTGCCCTGCAGGACTACTACGACGTGTCTCTGGAGATCTTGAACCTCTACCTCAACCGGTTTCCAGGTGACCCTCAGCTCGCGCGCATGGTCCACCTGACTGCCCAGCTGCGAGCAGACAGCCTGTACGCCATCAACATCAAAGCATGCAACCACTACAAGCTCTACAACGGATCAGCCGCGGAGGTGGAGGAGGGGAAGAGGAGGGCGAAGGCTGACTGGCGTCTTGACCGCAGGCTGAGCTGAAGGCGTTGGGCTCCATCTACGGAGCGCCAGGTAAGAGAGTCGCTTGCTCGCAGCCTCTTGTTGAGCCTCCTCAGTCTGCTGCCTCAGCCTCTCCTCCTGCAGTCACCTCGCCTACTCCCTCTCCATCTCTCGCCTTCTCTATCCCTTCTCTCCTCCTTCCTCTCGCTCCCTTTCCCTTCTTCTTCCCTCCTGCTCTCTTGCGCCGCTTGTGACCGTCTGGCAGTCTCGTCCATCGACAACGAGCTCATCCGGCACAACCTCTCAGTCTTCCGGAGGTGACGCGCGCACGTCCTGCTGCTCCTCTGCTTCGCTGACCTCCTCCTCTCTCAGCGGCGAGAACGCCCTGCAGGTGATGGGGAAGCCCCGAGGGCTGAGGGCTGAGGGGCCGGCAGGTGTTTCCGCCGCTCATGTCGGTCATCCCGGAAGCTCGCATCAACCTCTGCATCTACTACCTCCACCAGGGCGACCTCGAGCACGCCAACGTCCCTCCCCTCGTCCCTCTCGCCCGTCAGCCTCACGCGTCCACCGCAGGACGTGATCAAGGACCTGGAGCCGACGCAACCGGAAGAATACATCCTGAAAGCAGTCGTCTATGCCTCCATCGGACAGGCTCGTCGCTGCTGCTGCTGCTGCTGGTCAGTGACGGCGATGGGCAGGAGAAGAACAACTCGGAGCTGCTCAAGCAGGCCCAGCAGTACTTCCAGGTCTCTTGACGACTCGCCGGCTCGTGTGCTCATGCTGATGACGTGTTCCCCCGCCGCAGATTGTCGGCGCGTCCAGCAGCCATTGCGACACGATCCCAGGCAGACAGGTGGGAGGAGGAGGCGGAGGCGGGCTCTCTTGAGGCGTGCGGCAGTGTATGGCCCAGTGCTTCTTCCTGCTGAAGCAGTTCGACGACGTGAACATCTACCTCAAGGTCAGTCCCCCTCCACCTCCCGCTGCCCCTGCGAGGCGACGCCCAGCCCGCACGCGAGACATCGACGAGCCTGCGACTGGAAGGGTCGAGCTCTGTTGGAAGCTTCTCACTCGCTCTCAGTCCATCGCGCCCTACCTGCGAGAGGACGACAGCTTCAACTACAACTTCGGCATAGCACAAGCCTGTGCCGGCCACTGGTAGGCTGCTGCGAGCTTCCTCTCCTTGGACTAACCGAGGCTGGGGCAGGAAGGGAGCGGAGCAGGCGTTTGACAGCGTCAAGTCACCGGAGATAAGAAACGAGTTCTCCTTCATCGCCTGGAGGGCTCGGACGCACATACACAACGACAAGCCTCACCTTGCATGGGAGGTCAGCAGACCCCCAGCAGATGTCGGACCTGAGTCACATCTCTTGCAGGCTTATCTTTCCTTGGACGTCTCCTCAAAGTCGTACGTTCTGCTGCAGGTGAGCTGGGAGAGAGCTGCTGTACGAGTGACTCTGAGAGAAGGAGATTGCCAACACGTGCTACTCCATGGGGCATTTCTTCTACTCCCTCAAGGTGACGCCTTCCTCTCCCTCTCCCTCTCCCTCCTCCCTCTCCCTCCTCCCTCTCCCTCTCCCTTCTCCCTCTCCTCTCTCCCTCCTTAGACTCCATCGGTCTCACTGCCTATGACTCCTTTCCTGCTCTCTTGCTCTTCGTCCTCACCTTCTCGTAGGCTTTCGACGTGCTTGAGCGCTTAGACTCACTGCCCGAGTACTGGGAGGGCAAGAAAGGAGCCTTTGTCGGCGCCTTTCAGATGGTCAGGACTGACGCGTGCGTGTGTCTGCTGAGTGACTTGTCAGGTGCTGGCCAAGAAAGAGCCCAAAGACTCCCTCCCGGAGATGATAAAGATGCTCAGAAGCACTTCCAACCCACAGGCACTCTCTCTTCCTCCTCCTCCTTCTCCCCTCCCCCTTTCTTCCTTCCCCTTTCTCTTTGCCATCCTGCTCCCCCCATCCTCCTGCTCCTACTACTTGCTCTCCTTGCTACCTCACCTTGCTTCTTCTCCTACCGTTCTAGCTTCTGCGGGCACATGACCGACCAACCCATGCAGGTGGAGTATCTTCTTCGGACAGTGAAGAAGTGGGCCAAGGACAACGGTGTAGCGCTAGGAGGCAATTGATAGTGCTGTCGTCCTCTGTTCTCGTCTATGTTACCTTGCAAGACCCACCATGATGAATGTATGTTAGGGGCTAACCCTCTGTGTACAAGTCCAAACCCTAACAATGTATATTTGCTTACAAGTCACACGTCACTGTCAGAATTAGAAACTCCGATGCAATAAATTCAAGACAGATGCTTCACTACTGAGATCTGTCAGAACATCAAATCGCTGATTCCAGCCAATGATCTTGAAATCTGCTATGCACAAGAAGACAACATTACTTTGTTCTGGGTAAGAAGAGAATGTTAGTTTGTTCTCGGTAAGTTGTGAACGTTGGTATGTTTTACTTTTATGAGATATTTACTTGCTTATGTACACAAATGCTTGCAATCTCTTCGGCGTCTACTCATCATGCGGCAACATCCGCTTGCTCTTGCTGCCTGCTTGCAGCAGCGCCACTACCCACTTGTCACGGGAGCGACTAGTATGGCAGCACAGCTGCATCTCGCTCTCCTCAAGGGGCTGACTCTTGGCCCGCAATCCCACGGCAAACAGCAGAGGTCTGTGTATCTCCACCACTCCATGCACACCCTCGCAGCCACACGCGGCCGCTCCTTGCCTGCATGCCTTCTTCGCCTCCCCCTGACTCGTTTCGGATGCTTGATCGCGCATACGGTGACGAGAGCAGGATACATGTTCACGAGGGGGTCCGTCCTTGACCTGCTCGCTGGAGTCCGAAAGGTCCTTAAACGACTCCGCTAGCTGGGCCTGAGTGATGTACTGACTGGGTGAAGTGGTGGGGGACCTGTAGCCCAAGAAAGCGGCTTGAAGCTCAGCTCGGAGCCTCTCCAGAGCTCTGTCATCCTGCTGAGAGCGCTCGGAGCCGATGGACTCTTGAGGGACTTCACTGCTTGATGACTCAAGAGGAAGGCAGAGTGGCGGCGGAACATTCTTTCTGACGCTCTTATCGTTGTGAGAAATCTGTTGAGAGAGACATGAATGAAGCTTAGTTGTACAAGCAGAGTAGTTGTGTAGTCCCATGTCAAAGTGTTCCTGAATCTCTGCGGCTTCTTCAGACTTTGTCAATGATGCCCATAATGTCTTTATCATGTTTCGGTCAGCTAGGGCTGTGTCTGATACCGGCGTTTGCAAGGCAACTATGCTAGAAATGCTACAAGAAGGTGAGGCGAGTTCAAGGTTTGTGTGCCCGCCCTGTTTCACTGTGGGGCTGAGAGACTGTTCCTAGTCCGCATGCCTTCTTGTTATATAGAGCAGCTCTTTGTTCCTCTCGGCATGAGATGGGAAAACGCTTCTCATCGCAGAATCGATGTTCTCAGCCGTTGTCATCAACCCCATCCCAGCAGCTGTAGGGCGGCTTGAGGTGCTTCAGACTGCTTGCGGATCTCTCCGACCGGATGTAGCGACTGCCGTACGGTTTCTTTTTTGGTCATTCACAGTCTTTACTCAAAGTTAAGTTAAAAATCAGTACAGTCACTGACGGTCATGTGGTACTATTGACCGATTATTGATAACTTTGAGTAACTTAGTAAAGCCTGAGTCACCTCAGTGGTACAGTGAATTGACCGATCGCCGATCCGAAGTTTCGTCAGCTCAAGGCCTCCCTGTCCTACGCTGCCATCATCCGATCGCGGGTGCATTCCATGTCGCAGTCCGGCTATGTATGCGTCTCATTCCTTCGGCGGCTGCCACAGCGATGTCGCTGGCATGGCGCGCCGGGGGAATCATCCCGGATGATCCTGCGCGCAGTTAAGTGAAGGTGTCAGTTAACTAGTAAGTTTGGGGGACCGGCGTCAGCAGTTGGCAGGATTGGGTTTGGTTCTCGCTGTCTTTTCTGAGTCTCTTCTCGCCGTTTGGCCCGGACTGCGACAGTGTCAGGGTCAACTTCCGCCTCCTCGACTCTCCTGATCCGATCCGATTGTCCTCGTACTGCTTTTTAACTCAGTAACCGTTTGAGTAAAAGACCGATCATCGTCATCCCGAGTCCGGCCCCCGGCCCCGGGTCCCGGCCCGGAGAGGGAAGCCTCCGAGTCTCAGTCACATCACCGGCGAGCATCACTGCGGATCCGTCATGCATGCGGTACGGCCGTGGGCCACTACTGGAATGGCTTTCATGGCAAGCGCAGGGGCAGGAGGAGGAGAGGCAGGAGCAGTCAGAGCAGTAGCAAGAGGTGCAGGCAGAGCAGCAGCCAAGTCAGCGGGAGGCAGAGGAAATGCAGGAGGGGCGTGGAGAGCTTGTTATGCTCGAGGTCCTGGTGGCGTCGCCTATCGCGCAGCCTGCCCGCCTCTGACGGCCATGAGCTCATGGCCGTTGGTAGGATGCACGTCCTTATCAGGACTCTCAGGGAGGGCATGGGGGGGAGGCGCCGGAAGCTGTGATGTGCAGGGATCGCGATGCGCCTCTTCCCAGCCTGTGCTCGAGGATTCCGGCGTGATCGATGCAACGAATGAAGCAGGAGGGAAGGGGCGAGGAGCGAAGTCGAACAATCTCAAGATGAATTCCGCGTTTCAATGCCCGCTGACACAAGAAGCCTTCTTCAAGGTGACCCTCCCTCATACTGCTGGATCACTGACGACTGGTTTGTCCAGCGCATAGAACAAATCCGAGCCATCAGGACAGACAAGGAGCCGGGGCAGCGAGTCATAAAATGCAGTGCACCCGTGCTAGAGGAAAGACAGGGTGCAAGCCAAGACAGGGCGGTGATGAAAATATACTATGGCTTCCCTATGGATACACGGAAACCAGCGCAGTATGTGATGTCCTACGAACCTGGCAAGCATGAGCATTCTCTCACGTTCAAGGTAGACCATACCGATGAACACAAGATGCTCACTTTGACTTAGGTCTCATGGACAAATAAAGGCTTGCCAGCTCCAGCAGAGGAGAAGTCAAGTGCAGAAGGAAAGAGCTCAATTACCGTAGAAATGAGGTCAGAGGCAGTGGGGAAGTCGAAGGCAGTAGAGAAGAAGTCAGCTCCAGTAGAGAAGAAGTCAGCTACAGTAGAAAAGAAGTCAGCTCCAGTAGAAAAGAAGTCAGCTCCAGTAGAGAAGAAGTCAGCTACAGTAGAAAAGAAGTCAGCTCCAGTAGAGAAGAAGTCAGCTACAGTAGAGAAGAAGTCAGCTCCAGTAGAGAAGAAGTCAGCTACAGTAGAGAAGAAGTCAGCTCCAGTAGAGAAGAAGTCAGCTCCAGTAGAGAAGAAGTCAGCTCCAGTAGAGAAGAAGTCAGCTCCAGTAGAGAAGAAGTCAGCTCCAGTAGAGAAGAAGTCAGCTCCAGTAGAGAAGAAGTCAGCTCCAGTAGAGAAGAGTTCAGGGGCAACAAAATCGAGATCAAGTCGAGCCAAAGACAAGCCAATTCCGACCCGCGTACAAGCCTTCCCCGAGGTGCCCTGCCTTGACACCCGAAACCTTTCGTCCTGATGCTTTTGCCAGGATCGTCCGCTGACAGTGCTTCCAAGTATCACTGACCATCAAGACAAGAAGCTGGCGAAGTTGCAATGCGAGTATGACAGATCTGAAACGTTTCTTTATGCTCTCGATTTCTTGGGATGCGTTTACAAGAGCTGACGTGGATCTCGCAGTGGTATCGTTTCCTTCCTGTCCAAGTACGCTAACCCCGATCTCTTGACAAAAGATCAGCGAAAGGCTATAGGTCCGCCTCATGAAACGCTGAAATTCTTGTTTGATTATTTCCCCGCAGACTTTGATAAAGATGAGTTGAGAACGTTGCTGACCATGGCTGAATTGTTCACGTTGAAGGCAGTGTAAGATGCGCAGTGACACCTTTGGCATGATGGCTGTGTGCAGGACTTTGAGGAGACAGATTGTAGGAACCTTGTGGTAACATCTTGTCTTGGATCTGGAGGCAAAGGTTGACAATGATGGAAATCAAGGTTTTCGGTATCCGCTCATTGGCAGACTTGTCCAAAGTGCAGCCAGACAATCTCATCACCTTCATGAAGCAGGTGAAAGTCTGGTGTCGAATGCTCGTGATTGAGATTTGTTTGATCCAGTTGTCACCGGATGAGAGTGAAAGAAAGATCAAAGAAAAGGTATCACAGGCCTTCTACTGCTGCTTGTTGAATTTCCTATGTCAGGTTGTTCGCTGGATTTTGCAGGCTAAAGTTCTTTGCATTCATTAACGAGAAACATTGCAAGGGTTTTCAGCTACTCTGCTCAATTTTGCCGAGCTCACCAGCTCTGCACATGGTGTAGCGCACGGAGAAGCTGTTGGAGTTCTTCACCTTGTCTGCAGCTGTAGCTACGATGTATCTCGCCTCCTCCTCGTCCCATCCCATGACTGTCCCGAACATTCGCCTTCCATCCCCTCGCGCTACCACAACTTCTTCCCCCCGACGGAACGAGCTTCCGTCCGATAGAAAGAAATGGATTCCGATAGACCACGATGCTGGTATCCCCCGCCCCACCCGCTCGGTCATCGCGTTCCAGCATTCCACCGGCAGCAGAGCTCTCACGTCCCTTCCCGTCCCCACGCTCGACTTCTCTGCTTCGCCGATCTGCATGAGGAAACGGAAGTGAAGCGGCAGGAACAAGTCGATGGCTCTCTCTGCTCCCGTCAAGGAGCGAGACGGATCCCCAAGGATGTCGTACGCCCTCACAAACCCCTGCAGGATCCCAGCAAGCAGCACGTTCCTGTCAAGCGCAAGCTGCGAGATCACGTCGTCGACATCGAGTGGCGCTATCGCAAAGAGACGAGGATCAGTTTCCTCCTCCTGCCTTCCCTCGTCTGCAGCCTGATTCGAGACGAGTCCCTTGCTCGCCTGCTGGTTCAGCAAGAGAATGTCCTTGGCGTAGATGATAGAGTGCCCCGCGTCATGCAGATGCTTCTTGACCTTGGGAAAGGGGTCCAAACACTTTGGCGCTATGAGTCTCTCAAAGATCCCCAGCAAACTCTTGGGCATCAAGTTTCCGTCGGGATACGAGCGTAGCACAAGGACATGGGAGCAGCCGGAGGACAAGGCGGAGCGATAGGGGATGGGCTCATAGACCAGAGCGTCCACCAAGGGCTCTACCTCAGGAACGAAGCTTGCGAGCGAGTCGGAAACCTCCCTGATGTTGATCAGCTGCTTCCACACGATCCACACCAGCACGTTCTTTAGCTCCTCCTCCTCGATGAATCCGTCCTGGTTCACGTCAACCATGTGAAACAACTCCAGGAGATCGCTGCTGCCCGCATGCACGCCAATGGCTCGCATCACTTGAATGAACTCATCCCTCGACAGTCCAACCTCCTCCTCCTCCTGTGAGGAAGACGAGGAGCTGCTTCTTGAGGACAGTTGGTTCACAAACGCTGCCTGAGCTCTGTTCCACAGCGACCGACTGAGCTCATAGTCAATCCAAAGTTCGCACCCCTGCTTGAGATTCTCAGGATCGCGAGATGAGCTTCCTTTGATCCAGATGGGTTGAATGCCAGCGATGCCGGGCAACATGCAAGAAGCTTTGATGCAGTCACAAAGAGAAGACAGATCATTGAAACTGTCCTCCTCAGTCCCGAGAATGACCGGGCCTTGAGAGAACAAGCCCGAAGCGATCACTTTCATCGGCTGATGCTTGTTGTTGCGTTCAAAGACCGTCCAGTTCAAGGGCAAGAGTTCTTGCATGATGTGTTTCATGGGGTACTCTAGTAGCATGACAGGAGATTTTGGCGAGAAATCAGGGCGGATGGGGGAAAGCAGCTTAGTGAGCCTTGAAATGTCAAGCCAACTGGTGCCGTTGAGGTGATTCTTGGAAGTTGTTAGGTAATTGCAGAAGAACTGATAGGTCGTGCGATGGTCAGCACGAGCAACCAGATAAGATCCAACAATGGAGCCAGCCGATGAGCCAAGCACAAGGTCAAACGCATCCGCGACCCCCAGGTCGTTGATCGCACACGCCATCCCAGCGGTGACGCTTCCTCGCAGACCCCCCCCCTCTATCGCAAGCCCGATCTTCAGCGAGTCGCTCCTCTTGCCCGGTCTCGACCTCTCGTCCTGTCGTGTGCGGATGGCTTGGATCACAGGGTGTACCTGATGCGGCTGCACCTTCCTCGGCCCCACAGAGCGCAGCGAAGGCTCAAGGATGCCTTGCTCGTTCTGCCGCCATGGCTGCGACCTACCTTGAATCTTGAGGCGGTAGATCGAAGCGCCTTCCTTCAACTGATGATCCAGCTCCTCTATGCTACGAATGAAGACCTGTTCGTTCCTACGCAGCTTTGTCCAGTTTGACGCCGTTCTCCACATGTCAGCTGAGAAGTTTGACAACACACCCATGCGTATGCTGCTGGAGTTGGAATAGTTTCTCGTTTTGAGACGAGCAAAAGCGGTGGAAGGGGCAGCAGCAGAACTCTGCATCAGGTCCTTGAGAGCAGAGATGGAGGACTCTCTCAATGAAATCTTGTCTCCCGCGTTGGTCTGCCACGACGCCGATCTTGTTGTATTTTGCATCACCTCCTGTAGAGCACTGACAGAAGATTCCTTGAGCAGGGCCTTGACTGAAACGTTTGTCCACATGCTTGCAATGCTGGCATTCAAGACATGAAGGAATGGCCGAAACTTGTCGATATTACGCTTGGGAACCACTCCTAACGACTTGAAAGTCTCTAGCATAGATTCCTGCTCCAGACGGTATCCAGCAAATCGAAAGCCCCTCTGCCTTTCTTCATTCCCGTCTTCACTCTTCATTCTGCTTGCTGGTTTCATCTTCCTGATTCGTTTTTCACGTGGATCAAGCAGATGGACTCGAATGTTGTTATGGCTTACTGGGCGACAAGGGTTGAGAAATCCGAGGGAGCATGAAGCAGACCAAGTATGAGGGTCGGAAGCAACGGTGTAGGTTTCCATGAACAAGCATGGCAGAAAGATACAAATGAAGACCCGAACTCCAAATAGAAGGGACGCACCCATCCTAGTAGGCATTAATATCCCTTTGACTCTGACTCTCTATCTTTAACTCCCCGCCTGGCTTGACGTTTCCCTCTCTTCCCCTCTCTGCTCGTATCTTTGCCTCTCCCTACCTGCCTCCTTCCATTCACCTCCTCCTCACTCCCTCCCCATCGCTCTCTCTCTCTCTCGCTCTCTCGCTCTCTCCCTCTCTCCCTCCTTTCCTCTATCGGCGCATTTCAGTGCAACAGATCCTGAAAGAGACTTTTCACGATCCCCTCCTCCAACACCCTACCATGCAATTTGAACCACCCCTACCCACTCCCTACGGACCCCACATATCTCTCTACCGCTGCTCAAACCAATTCTGATCAATACACACATAAAGGTACCACCCTACCCATTAGATGTGTAAACCACCATCGACGACACAGACACCCGTTCATTTCTTCATTAACCCCACCCCCTCTCCACCCCACCCCCCTCATACCGCTAGATCAAGTCCGCCTATCCTTCATATGTTTTGGAAAGCAATTATCTAGTACCGAAGGTAAATACTATATTCTGTCTTTCTTTTCTCTTATATAAGTGATGAGGGCAGCTTGTCTTTGAAAAATGGAATAATCCTCAAAACCTGATCCGCCTCAAAGTTTTCCAGATCTCGACATGGCTAGTCTGACCGTACGAGTTGTGCGGCTGGTGACGATGGCGATGGGGGGCGGCGGCATGGGCGGGAGACTGACGATGAGTGCGTGTGTGGTACCCAAGTCAGACCTACAGGCGGAACGTACGGCAAGGCTTTTCTCGAGAAGATCGGAAAGAAAGAATGCGATGGTGGTTGGCGGGATCTCAAATATGTTGAGGGAGAAATGCTCTAGGGTGGGGCTCATACTTCACGAACAAGAGGTCCGAGGGTACGCATCAGTTCGAGCATCCTGCGACTCTATCGTGGCATACGATGGTTGTGCCTGTGTTGTTTTGCAAGGCATGACAAGTGAGGCAGGGTTGCAGCGATTGAGAATCCTGAGAGGCGGGAAGGGGAAGGACGCATCAGATCAGCCGTCATCTGTGAGCATTCTTGCTTGCTTGACTGAGCTTATCATTTGTTGAAGGAATCGAAACCAAGTGGACAAGAGATGCAGGAAGTGGAGAGGTCTCATGCCAGCTCGATCGGCTGGATGCTAAACGGAATGCAGGCTGCTGCAGGAGTATGAAGCGATCAAAGAGCGATGGATGGTTGGTGCTTACATAATCTTTCTTGTGATGTGCTAGATCGTGTCAACTCATGTCACTCTTCTCGCCCCTTCAAGCTGGTGAGCGCATCTTCAGGTTCCAAGCGGCGATGAGGCCGAGGAGAACCAGGACTCGTCAGACATGGAAGAAGCTCAACAGTTTGTGCAAGAGAGTCATGTGAGCTTTCTCATGCTTCTTGCTTTTCCTCAACTTGCTTGGCGGATCAGACGTTGGACGCTCGTCTGAACAAGGAGTTGAAAGATACTGTTACTGAGTTACAGGACATCGGTGAGCATCTTATGAATGACGCTGTCTTATGTGACACTTATTCGTGATAGTCACGAAAGAGCAGAGATTAGATGAGGAGCTCAGGAGGTAGCTTTAGATGTGCATAATGTTCTTGTTTGTCATCCTTCTGCTGAACTGCATAGGTTTGAGGATTTTGAGCTTCAAAACAAACGGGTGAGCATCAGATTCTATTTTTGTACACGGGATTTGATTGTTCCAGATAGGAGACAAATGTTCCTAGTGTCTTGATGGATTCAGATTCATCTCATGAAACAGACAAATCTCGGTTGCCTTGAGCTTAAACTATCAAAGGAAATTAAGTGTTTCCAGGCCAAAAGATGTTACAAGGAGTCAAGATCACCCACCTAGGTATATCCAGTTGCTTCTTGTATTGACAACTCCCGTTGACTCTGTTCCATGACTTTGAAAGATCGTCATCTCCTTCTCCTTCCCCTTCCCGCAATAAAGTGGTGCTATGCAGCTCTCTCGATTGCGACGGCTAACCGTTCTTTGTAGCATAAATCTGTCTTCTCGAGGTTGAATGGTTTTGAAATGTTGGCTTGATTTTGAGAAACCCCATCAGTTCGTCCGAAGAAGAGATCAGAATGCAGAAAATGATGAAGGTAGCTTCTCAAATATTTTGCTACAGGATCCTCACACACGACAGAACTTGAAGTTATGGCAAGAGCGGATGAAAGCTGCATACGGAGACAGGTGAATCTTTTGAATTCATGAACAAAGACTCACAAAAATCACATCAATCTCTATTTGACATTCTCTATAAGCTCGTCGACCTCAGAGAGCGAAAGCTGGAATATGCCTTACAACATAGACTCGTCGGCCATGGCCTTTCACAAGTTCAGACCACCACAGCTGTGGCAACGGAGGAATTTCACCACCTCGCGTGCTCCCCCTGAAGCTTCGAAGGCCCAGAAGGGTGGGAGCAATTTGATGGGGTTTACATGAGTGACCATATGGGTGTAGACGAAGACGTTTTTGACAGCGTGTCCCTCAGAGTTGACAACACAAAATCATTGAACATCGGTGAACTCTTCGAACAATGCCGAGACAACCCCTCCTTGATCCTTTGGCCTGTTGTAGGATTCGTGGAAAAATCCACAATTGCCAAGAAAGAAATCACCAGGATTGAGATGATTGGGTTTGACGCGAAGTAGATCTCTCAGCACCATTGAAGGGAAGAGCTAAGGTCTGGTGCTTTTCATGCAGGCATCCACGGGACCTGATCACTTCTCTAACGGATTCTCGAAAGGTTGTCTCCGTGCTCGCTGTGCTCTCTGACTGGTAGCAGGCGGCAGAGAAGCAGCTGACGGACTTGACTGGGTTGAGTCTTTGGAGTGTGACCTTCACCTTGGGCACTCTCCTGCTGGAGAACAAAAGAATCCTCAAGGGCAAGAATGTCAGAGCCGGGTAGTCGCATCTCCTCAGAGCTGACGAGCTCAAACCCGCAGGTTCTTGAATTGGGCTGTGGGACGGGCATGTTGGGCTTGAGCGCTGCAGCGTGTAGAGCAAAATCTGTGGGGATAGATTCCAATCGATACCTTGATATTGAAGGTGGTGCAGGTTTTGTTGACCGACAGGTCAGATCATGTCTTGCGCGTTGTGCAGGAGAACATCAAACGGAATGCGGAGGCACGTGCTTGTGCCTGTCGCTCGTTTCCCCCTGATGGTACGGCAGGTGCTTGCAGGGTGCGATGTGGAAACAAGGCATCTCGAGCTAAAGCTTGATTCGAACCAAGGTACTTGATCATGCCAGTCCGAAGGTTATCTCATGATCAACAGACGCTGCGACGAATACTTTCGATGTCATCCTAGGCAGTGAACTGATTCACTTCGGACTGGATAGAAGGCACAAGTTGAACACAGATGAAGGGGAAAACCTAACAAGCAGCCGATTCGACGCAATTTTCTCGACAGCCTCGCAGTACTTGTGCGTCTCCAAGGTGACAGGGATGCAGCACTCAACCTTGGTGGACAGGTCGGAATCAGGTTTCATCCTGCTCTCTTTCAAGATCAATCCCAACTACATTCATACCATCTCGGGACCACAGTTTCCAACTGGATGGAATTACCGTCAAGGATACATCGACGAAGTCACTGGAAGCGGCAAGAGGTTCAAGAGCCCTCTTGATATCCATATTCTGATCAGATATGCAGGTACGGTTTGTCGGCGGTGAAGGTACCTGCAACCGACAGCGTTTTCTTAAGGGCTCCTGTCCTTCTGACTTTTTGACAGTTGATCCCCTTGTCTGTCCTTTTCAACGAGGATCGCGAGGAACTGATGGGCAAGAAGAATGTATGATACATCATGTGCTGTCACAGTCGTGCATGCGATTCTAACTTGTTCGACCAGTTGAAAGATTTTCTGTGCGTCGTTGCCGCTCGTTCCCAGAAGGCTCTGAGTTCTGCTTTGCACCAGTTTCCTATGGAACCGTTGGAATGAATGATAAGTTATAGACGGTACGGTAGAGTCCATCATTTGAATCATCATGCTGTAGACTGGGTCGACTCGGAGGAGAGGCTTGCTGTCACACAGGGCCATACGGCGACAAGCCTGAGATACTAGTTTGCCCGCGGCCCGTGCCGGGTGCCGGGCGCGGCCCGGGCGCCCTCTACGGTGACTCAGGGATTTGAGTAAAAAATGTGACACGTGAGCCTTTACTCAAAGTTAAGTTAAAATCAGTACGAAGACAATCAGGCGGCGAGGTTTGGCGGGGCAGTTTACTGATCGTCCTCGGCGTGAGTGCCCGGGCCTTGCGGGTATCGGCGCATGGGGTACGACGAGGAGCTAAAGTCAAGTTTAGGCCGTCACGGGAGGGGGGAGATGGGGGGGGCTCTTGAGAGCAGAATCAGTACCAATATGGTTTTAGTCAACAGTGCATGTGTAAGCTGTGGCAGCATGACTCGGACACCACCCCCGTTGAGGTGGACTGTAAGGGGTTGTCTCTCTGAGGGGTACATGATGTCATGGCGAGTCAGCGATCATCGTATCCCCCCACCACATCGCATCTTGAGATCTGTCGCCCTTAAAATATCCGAGCCACCCTCAGAGTCTCATTTCCGACTGCCTACGGAGTGGATGACGGGGTTCACCCATGGAGGGGTGCATTTCCTGTTAACTAGAGGGGTGGATGACTTAAGGGGGTCATGGATCAATCTGGCCATGTAACCTCGCTTCTGCCTTGCTGACAAACCTTGTGACCAGAAATTGTCACGGGAGAGCCGCCAGTAAAATATGATGATGGAGGATAGTAGGGATGGTGGTCCACGTGAGCGGTTCGTGAGACGTGCGTGAGACGATTCGGTTTGTGGCCGTCTAACTGGGGGGAGGTTTTGCCTGCGTGACCTCATCGTAGTACCAGGAGAACGCAGGGGTTGTCTTAAGTAAGCTATCGATGACTCGAAACCAGCTCTGTTTGCCTCGCACCCCCAGCCCCCCGATCGGGCACTCACCCCGGAGTTTGGCTGGCCAAGTCCTGTCAGGTTCGACCATAAACGAACGTCTTTTCGTGCAAAAAGGGCTCTCTACTCCGAAAGTCCGTTCGCCTGGTGAGTACCCCCTGTTCCCTATACCATCAATTAGGCAATCACCCCACCCCATGAAATACCTCCTTTCCACATCCCCACTCATACCCACTCAAGTGTCGACATTTGTCATCCCTCCTCACCCATGCCCAGGATCTCACTACCCTGTATTTTCAGCCATTTCCCACACACCGGTCATTCCTATTTGAAGGCGCACGGAAGCCTTATTGCAGGGGGGGGGGGTCTTTAGCTGACATGTGTAGTAAAGTATCACGCTTCCGGTTCTCCGGAGCAGTGTGATTTGCTCCGAAATGATGACCAGTGGATATCGAATCACAGCGATTGGTAGCGCGAAATTATTTCTCGAATCTTCTTTGTCAGGCAAATATCCCTGCCATCCAACTCCGAGCCAGAGCCCTGCCTACCACCATGACTTAGAGGCAGGGCATGTGCATAGCTATTTGAGCCTAGTGCTGTATATATAAGATATCTCATCATGGAATACATAGGTAGCAGCGTTTTCTGTCACTCAACAATTCCAAGCCCCCTAAACAGTACCCTACCCACCCTTTCCCAGAACCACCCCACACATGTTCATGTCAGACTCCTTGCACCCCTCTAAACCCGCTGTCGACCTTCACAAGTTCTTGTCATCCTCACCTCGTCCTCTGGCACATCCTTCGTCTGTCTTGTAGCACCTTGGACCTCACCCTTGCCATCCTTCCTCTCTGACAGCTTGCTTTTGCAATGGCCAATCCTCTCTTACCGACCTTTCCTCTGTTCATTCCGCAACAGCCTATCCTCTTTCCAGTCGCACCAAAACCAACCAACACGATCCCTACACCGGTGCTCCTGGCGCTTTTGGAGAACATGAAAAACATGAACACACTCCTCAGCATGTCAAACATGCGGCAACCGGTCAATACTTTTACCCAATTTCAACCAATTCCTGAAACAAGACCGATGGAGACCGAACAATCGTCAGAACCCAGCACTGAAATGTGTTCTGAGCACAATTCAGATGAAGAAGTTGAGGACAAGCAAGTGACCAAGTCTGATTCAGTTTCAGTGAAAGTTCAAGTACGAAATTCCAGGACGACAGCCAGATCTGAGCCTATTGAGATTACTTATGAGCAACTTGCGAAACACTTCCATCGCAGCCTGGAATCAGCTGCATCCAGCATTGTAAGCTCCTATATACACATTGTATTTTGCTCACATGTTGTCCAGGGAATCGGAAAATCTACCATGAAAGTTGTTTGTCGACGATTGGGCATCAAGAAATGGCCCTACACCCATAAGGGCCAGAGGCGCAGGAGACCCTCCAAGAAGATTCAGGCCTCGGTAAGTCTCCTGCACTTGGGTTGGAATGCGTGTTGCTCACGTCGTCTTGCAGCAGTCCGAATCAGCACCTGCCTCCAGTGATCGCAGCTGGTTGTCGGAAATGGGAGATTGCGCAAAGCCGCTGGTACAGAAAGCGGAGGAGGAATCTTCTGATAGCGAGTCAAGCAAAGACCCAAAGGAAAGCACTTCGTCACAAGAAGCAGCCCTCAATCCCAACCTTCTGTCTGCCAGTGAGTGGGCGTTTCTTGCAACCTGTGCATCCCCGAAGGCGAGTGCTACTGCTGCCTCTCAGAACTAAATGTTCATCTTAATTTTCTACCGTGGCTGTAGTCGAAGTCTTGGTCCAATGCTTTAAGATGCTCGTCTGTGGCGGTGTTTTGTTCTGTAAATTATCTGCTTAATTTTACCTGTCAGTGAAATGTGAAATCATTGCTTCACTGCAGTGAATCATCTCCAGTCACTTGTCTCGATCGCTCGAGGACAGACAGTCACTACGAAAGTGACTCGGAACGGAACTGCCAGAAATCTTGACCTGTACACGGACTCTGAGTGCAAAGTACAAGTTTACTCAAAGTTAAGTTAAAGATCAGAGTAGTTCTGCTAGTGATTGCGAAAAGATGAGAGGGGATCCGATGAGACTCGTGGCAGATCCCGCCGAACACAAACTTGATGAGAGGCCCAGTGATCTGACTCGGAAGAAGCCCAGGCCACTGACTCGCGGCAGTTCTTGTGCGAGTCGGGCGGCCCGGCCTGGCGGCGTCACCGTCAGTGACCGGGGACTGAGAGCGGCTGAGCGGCCCTCCGAGTGCTAGCCAGCTCAGGCCCTACTGATGTTTACTCAAACGGTTAAGTTAAAAAATCAGCTATCTAGTAGGCTTTTTTTAAGAAATCGGATTGACAAGGCCTTTCAAACTCGCCCGGCTCTCTGCCCCCCCAGATTGTCCGTCTGTTCGTCGCTGCAGCGTGGCGGGCTAGTAGTCGGATCCGAGCTTGGCAAGCAGCAATGGCGAGGTGTGATAGTCTCCGGCTCACTCTCACCGACATCTTACATCTTGATTCGACTGATGATGTGCTTGAGAGCTCCACTCCATAACAGACTTGAGTCTTTTAGGGCTGCTGTATCAAGGCTGTGCTATCGGCCAGCCTACATATTTGCTCCTCCTCTCGCTGTACTCGTCTTCTCACTGTTATGTTTGCTTCTGTGCTGTTCACTTGTTGCATCCTCATCTTTTGGAGATTTATCAGTCTCATGTCGGTATCCCATGAGTAAGGGCCACGATCGCAAAAGGCCGCTACATCTTCACTCATTTGCCGCTGTTTGCGCATCTTGCCCTGCATCACTTGCGGTTGCAGTGCTGGTTGACACATAAGGCAGCTCCGCCATTTTTCACTACCCGAACGAAGACTCCATGTTTACGATCAAAGTGGCAAACCTTCAGGACAATGGTTTCATGACATAACAAACTTTGGCTACCTTCTGAGCGATCAAAACTTCGCAGATGAGAACGAGGAAGGCTCAGGGGTCGGAAACCAGAGAGTGCATTTGGTAACCTTGCCCAGCGTAAAATCGGTTATAGCCCATGACATTTCTCCTTTAGCAGAACTTGGATGACATGCAGAATGTCAACAAGAGAAATGCAACTTTGGACGCCCTCAAGGCAAGCAAGCGCCTCTTAAGATGCGAGCAAATTCCTCAACTATTTCTCAGTCGGAAAAGGATCTTGTGATGATTGAGAATGAAGCGCTACACAAGCGGTGATGTCTTTCAGGACAACTGAAATTTGACTTGATTCGCTTCCCAGTATAGTTGCACTATCACTTGAGCTGAAGGCAAAGGATGACAATATAGATAAGCTCACCACCGTGATACATGCGATACAGGTGAGGCATTCTTCGGATCCCTCCCCCTGTTCCTGACAGGCTGATGCTATCTAGGCAAAGAACGCAGAAAACACGGAAAAGCTGTCTGAGCTGAGCAACGCAGAGATGTGAGGGAAAGGGAAATGCGGATGATTTTTTTGGATTGTAATCATCAACATCCTTAGCTGCCAACTCCGACGATCGCTTGCAGAAAACGAGGAAAGTCTGTGCAAGGTTTCTGCCAAAACCTGATGTTCAGTTCGTTCTCACATTGCCCCTTCTTAGTGCTCGTCCTTACTGGCCGCCAGCGAGGTTGAAAATTCAAGCTTACAACAAAAAGTGGATCAATACAAGCAGAGAGCAGGAAATCTCTGGGAGAGTTAATTTTCAGCAACTGACTAACATCTATAGATTTCTTTGAAACACTTCACACAGAGGACGAGAAGAAGATTGACATTCTACAAGCTCAGGTCAGCTGGTCCTCTGTTTCCTCTCCCTCACACGAGAGAGGTCAGTGTGCCAAGTACATGTCAGACTCTAGCGCTTTCCGCCTTGAGGTGAAGGTTGAGGGGGAGATGGATATGAATGACATATCTGCAGCTGGACAGAGTGCTTGCGCGATATGCGCCGCTGGTAAGAACGCAAGGCAGCTGGTGCTGTTGATGTCTGACCCCGGTGTCGCCACCTGTTACAGCATGTCGAATTGAAGAATATGAAAGAAGCCTATGCGAAGTAAGTTGCTTGTCACTGTCATCTCCCCCAAAGCTACCCCTCCTCCTCCTGCTTTCTTGCCTCGTCCCAGCTTCTACTTCTTGTCTTCTCCAGCGCGCCTTCTTCTCCTTCACACCACTCTCTGTTTACCCTCTTTCTCATCAACTTTCACCTTCGCCGCCCCCCTCTCACTCGTCGTACTTGAAGGTCAAGAGAAACGAACAAGCAGCTAGAGGACAAGCTGCAAAAGCTGTCGGAACAGATCTCTGATTACTGCCAAGGGAAGTCCGTGAATGTTGAGGAGGAGAAGCAGAGAGCGAGGGAGGAGAGAACACAGAACAAGAACCACACAGAGAACAAAGAGGCCTTTGACATGGGAGAAGATCCTGCCAAGAAGGACGAGCAAGACCCACAAAAACATCAAGAAGAGTCTGGGGAATGAAGAGACGAGAACAAGCCCACAGAGAGCAGAAAGAGCAGAACGAAGACCAAGTCACCATTTCACCTCATTTGTTGAACAAGCACATCACTATCTTTGGTGCACTTGGAGGAGCTCGTTAGGATATCTCAACCATGTCAGACGGTTCATATGTTTTGACTTCATTCCTGCAACGATAAATCATCGTCCTGAATTGCCTTGCCATCCTTGAGAGAATGCAAATTGGAGTCCAGCAGCTTGTACATGACGATTTGATCTTGTTCAGACATGTCTTCTCGTCCGATCCGCTTGTACCACTGAGAGTACATCAAGAAGGCACAGACCCTTCGAGTTTTACCGTCACATCCCGAGTTTGCTGTTGGAATCCCAGCCGCTGTCTTGACATTAGAGGAGAAATTTGACAGCAAGAGAACCTTGTAGAAGTTGATGGCATTCACGTTGGCAACGTCCACATGCAGGAAGATCACGGAATGTCCCTGAACTTGGACATGAGGACAGGCACAGGAGAAACAGAGAAAGTCAGGAGGGACGGGGAAAAGGACTGTGGGGGGGGGGGGCAAAGTGACAAGGGCAGAGAGAGGAGAAACGGCAAAAGAAGTGCGAGGGAGGCGAACACATAACAAACCCATTCGATACTGAGCTCCTCGCACCATCGCACGAGCGCCTTTCCGATCCCCTCCATCCGATACTTCTCCATAACCGCAAGATTTGACAGATAAGGAGCAGAGAGCGACAAGCCAAGCCCTTCTGCGAGAAAGTTAGTTTCCCTGATGCGTTTCGTATTCCTCCTCCCCGTGGCGCCTCCCAATCCTCTCCCTCCTCCAACTCTTCTCCTTCCCTCCTTCTCCTTCTCCTGCTGCTGCTGCTGCTGCTGCTGCTGCTGATCCTGCTGCTGCTGCTGATCCTGCTCATAAATTCTTTCTAGCATACGAGATCTCACCGAGCACATCCTTATCAATAGGACATGGCGCAACACAGAGCTCCGTCATCCCAATTGCATTTCCTGCAGCCGGACAACTGAGCGGAGGATGGAAAAGGAACGAGAGGAAACCATTGGAAAGACTGGCGACCAAGAGAGCATAGCGATATTCGCTTATCGGCGGTTCAAATGAGGAAGCAATTTCCGGCCACTGTAAGATACCTCAGGAGCGAGCAAGTGGGGGGCGGGGAAGAGGGAAGGGGTGAGGGGGAGAGGGGGAGAGGGGGAGAGGGGGAGAGGGGGAGAGGGGGAGAGGGGGAGAGGGGGTTAGGGAGGGAGGAAGGGGAAGATGGAGGGGGAGGGGAAGGGAGGGAGAAAGAGCTTGCCTTATAGAATCTGTTGTAGAACTGAGCTTGGAGGTCCCAGACGATGAGGGTATGTTTGACGTTCTGGAGGATCGAGAACCTGCAGGACCTTCGTTATGATCGTGTCATGGCTGTCACAATCAGATTTCACCATGCTCCGCGAGGATGAAACACGTCTGTCGATAGAGTCGCAAGTAGTCCGAGCTCGTGCGGTCTGCTCCTCACTCATGTCGCGGCGCAAGCAAAGACCTAGCCTCACCTTCCCCTTCTGAGGACGAACGAAGTCTTGCTGTCAGTCTGTGCCTGCTGTAATGGTCTCACCGTACGGCAGACTATCGCACAATCTGATCTCACGCTCATTCGACACTGTGAAATGCTGACGGATACAAGTCAAGGAGGAGGTCGCACAGAAAGAGAATAATCCACCTCGCTGGTTTTCTCTCTTCGTTTCTTCTCCGACCATGTCGCACCTGAAGGATCCTGTCCTGTACAATTCGAGTAGATTTCCCACTGCCTTGGCCCATGCAGACGGCAACAGGACAGCCGCGCAGGAAAGTTGTTGGGGAACACAGCAATGCCGGCTGATGGACGAAGCAAGAGGAGGCGATGGAGGAGGAGGCGATGGAGGAGGAGGCGATGGAGGAGGAGGCGATGGAGGAGGAGGCGATGGAGGAGGAGGCGATGGAGGAGGAGGCGATGGAGGAGGAGGCATGCATAGAATGTAAGTCTGTCTGCATGATGAAACAGGAGCTCATCGACGCGCCATACAAGGCAGTCAAGAGCCCAACCGCCCTTGCTCCTCGCGCCACCATCGATCGACAATGAAATTGTATACCCCGGGAGATCATCAAGTTTAGTTCAGCCTGAACTAAACTGTGGGCCTAGTGGCATCTCGCCGGCCGGGCAGGCCTCGGATCTTTCTGACTTCGCAGACAGTTGCGCGTTGACCCACGCAAGAAATGCGATTACGAGGCTTCCACAAGGGGCATCCAAGTAGGCATATTTATCAATAGAAATAGAGGAGATAATGGAGTACATTCCTATTTGAAGATTCCAGAATGGGGGAGGTGGAGTGTTCACACTTAAGGGGCATTGGGGTGCAAGTCTGAGAAGGGGTAGGTACCATTGTAGTACCCCATGGGGGGCCTGAGGGTAGAAATGAGGAAATGATTAATGCTATACCGTAAAATACTAATTATCTACATATAAAAACATAGATGTTTGAGACTAAGAAATTACCTTGTGACGCAAAGATTTAACATGGTGCTTTGGGGGGGTGGTGAGATGGACTGGTGGACAGGGGCTAGGGTCAGGGTTGTAAAGGACTGTGGGTCAACGTTCTAGATACCCAAAGCGAACATGCGAGAACTGCGGCGCGGGGACAGGGGGAGAACGAAGACGAGGATTGAGCGGAGAGGGAGAGGGAGAGGGAGAGGGAGAGAAACAAGATAGATTGATCTTGTGAGAGCAAGAACCAGATAAAAATGCATCTTTAAATGTTTAGTGATGCGGTCAATCCAGGGATGGGATTGGAATAGGCAGGGGTAGCAGAATAGGGTGGTCACGACATCTTGCTGAAGACGTCAAGAAATAATAAGTCAAGAAAAAGAATGTGTTACTCAAAAGACCAGCGATTCATGTCTTGCTAAGGCTCGTGTAGTTACACTGCCAGGAATGTTGGTCGACGAATCGAAGATGTAAAGTGTCATGTCATGATAGGGTGTGAGGTCAAATACAAGTGACAATCATTCAAGCATAGCAAAACAATAAGAGAACAAAGCAGCTGCTTTCATTTAGGCCAGTTTTGCAAAATGAGACCAAGCATTGCCATAGTATCAAAGGGGGTAGATGAAGTTTGAAAACAATTTTATCCAACTGTGCTCCTGAACGCTTCAAACTGTAGTAGGTATTCGGCTATAACCCAACGTAATTGATTTCACCGAACTCACAATCCATTGTTTTCATTTCTTATTACCTATGCTACAGATGTTGAACTTCCGAAGAGCTGCCATTGCTTTTGTTGCTGCCTCTTCTATCCATCAGGTGACATTGAAATTGAAATGAGCATGAGCTGAGCTGAAGATGCAGGTTGCTGATGCTTTTTCTTCCTCTGGATTCTCCCTCAGCCTCCGGTCTCCTCAATCCTCTTCTGTCAGCAAGGCTGCTGCAGTGTCCCGCACCCAGGGGTTCGTTTCAACAACTCCCAACAGCAAGAAGCTCATCCCGTGCAGGACCAGATGCTTGAACGTGCGCATGGGATCGCTTGCTGAGAAGTACGGGCATCTCCGTGGTGCTGATATTGAGCCATGCGGTTGCTGCTACCCTTCTCTGCGTCGAGTTCTGATCCTGATGCAGGAGCCGCTGTCGAGAGATTCTACAAGCTGTTTGCTCGCCCTGTGAGATCTCCTGGCTGTGCTTGTGGACGTTGACGGCTTGAACAGATCCCATTTGTGTTCAGAGCACCAACGAACGAAATTCTCTATTTGTCCCATCTTGACCTTGTCAACGCTATGGTAAGCTTTTGGCATGGTCAATGCTCAACTCAAGGCTAGTATTCAGTTTAGGTACGATGTCATTTGGGCTGCCGGTCTCTACTCCACCTTTGATCTTTTCTTCTCTGCCCTCGATGAGGTGAATTTTGATCGATCCTTTCAAAGATCATGTTGTGGAACAGGACTTGCGTGCGAATCTCTTCCAAGCTTTGATGGGAGGGTTGAAGTTGGACCAGTCCAAGGTAATAGGAAGAGAACGACCGAAAGGTCCTCACATGCGCCGCAGATCAAGAGTGATGCAGATGCTGTCTTGCAGTGGGCACAGGGAAAGACTGAGGTGAAGTAGCTCACGCGAATGTCGCCGCTAATTTGATGCAGGCTGATGTTGTAAGCGCAATCAAGGGGGAGGATTCAAGCCCCGTCGGACAGGTCCTCGCTTCCTTGGGGAAGAATGAGGTGGGCGGTAAAGCGGATCGGAAAGTATCTCACTGATTGAGAAGGACTTCCTCTACACGAGAAACTTCGGGGCTGGATTGATCAAGATCATGCAAGTGAGTCACGTCGAGATTGTTCGGCTTGTTTTGACATGGCGCAGGTGGTGGGAGTAGAGCCAAATGCTGAAAACGCGAAGCGTTGGGCCGAGGTAACACTGATTTGAAGAGTAGGTTGAAGTGAGCCTATCTATCAGGTCTTGGGATTTACCTCCAACACCTCCGCACTCTCTGGCCTGAGCGCTAGCAAGTTTGAAACGGATGTTGGCTTGTTTTTGTCGTCTGTGGACAAAATGCAGCAGGTAAAGTTGACCAGGAGCAGATGGAGAAAACTCATTGTTCCGTACAGGCAATGCAGCTCTTTGCTGAAGTTGAGGCCCGTGAGAAGAAGAAGGTCGTTTTCTTCTTCTTCTCGATCTTCGGCACTGACACTTCAGTAATCAGATTGCAGAGAAGCTTGCAGAGAAGGCCGCCAGGGCTGCAGAAGAAGCAGCGAAGGAGAGCGGTAAAACCTCCTTCATCACGTCTGCGCTTTGACTGATGGCTTCAACAGCTTCATCCTGATAGTTTTCAAATTGTTTTGAATAAATTCACATCAGGAGAGTGGAGGCTCCACAATCCGATCCAACCGATGAAAAAACAAAAAAAGTCAAGAGGTTGACAGGGGATTCTAAAAACATATAAAAAACATATATATGCAATGCAGGAAACGGGATGGTGGGGATGCAGACATCGCAGCATGTGCTGCCTCCTCGCATCGAGGCAGACAAGTGGAGGGAACGCAATAGGAAGGGGCACCCTGATAGATATCCCACTTAGCCTCCCTACCTCCGCCGGCCCAAGTTCACTTCCTGTCGCGATGTTTCCGTCGGTCGAGCAAGCAAGGCTAGCGTGACCGTCGCTCTATGCTTGCTGGGATGATGCTCTCTAACATTCTCGCCTCCTCGATGGCCCTGCTGCTTTTGCTTCACTTGCCTGTCTGCACCGCCTTCACTTCTTGGGTTCCTGTTTTTGTTCCTCCTACCATCCCTTGCAGGTTTCAATCCTTGTTTTTGCATACTGACATTCTCAAGCTTGTTTCAGTCTCCCCTTGTGCGATGCAGACTGTTTGGACATGGAATCCAAAGGATACATGTGTCCTCGAGCCGCCTCGACCATAGTTTCATATACGGGTATGCTCTGCCTGGCGCTGCTGCTGTGGTTTGTCACGAAGGTCGGACAGGTGTACTACCGACGTCCAGTGCATGCTATCGCACGTGGGACTGGTGGACCCCCGGCCCTCGTCCGTCTGCGTCAGACCCAGAAGGTTGCGGGCCTTGTCTGCTACTAGACGAGCATACAGCTTGTAACGATCATGCGTCTGACGTCGCTCACCGAGGATACCGAGGCGGAGGGCCCGTCCCTCGCTCTGGACATAGCGCCGTCGTCTACACCTCCCCAAAGAGCTCGGCATATGCAGGAGCAACCCTGATGATCGTGTTCGGCGGGAAGGATGCCCACGACAACTTCCTGAATGACGTATGGACGATGTGCATCTCCAACTGCCCGCCAGTCCCCTTCTTCTACAGCCTCAAGAATGCGCGTGGTGAAACAGTCTACATGGACACCTGCCCCGACAATCGCTGCCGTTGGGAGGAGAAGCTCATGTCTCAGAACCTCTCAGAGTGGAGCCTCTTTGTTGATACCCAACGGGCTCAGAACCTCATGGGGGTTGTTCCTTCCCGACCAGCTGGCAGAGTCGGTCACACAGCAGCACTAGCTTCAGTCCGGCTGAGTACAGGAGCCGTGGTCGATGTCATGACAGTCTATGGGGGTATGAGCCCAAACTGCTCAGACTTTTGCTCCGACTTATGGCAGTATGATATTCTCAACAACAAGTGGTGAGTTCAGTTGAGCTTGTCAGGGCGTTATTCTGTCTTGTTGGTTTTGTTTGATTTTTTGTACTCTTTTACCTCTCTGACCTCACTTGTTCTCTTCAGGTACATGATTTATGGCCAATGGGTCGACAAGGATCTGAATACGCAACAACTTTACGATTACTCAGCTTTCAATGAGCTACACCCTAGTAAACGGTTTGGGCAATCGGTTGCCGTGGTGGGAGAGGACATGTACATTCTGGGTGGATACACGAATGGAGTGGACTACGTGTGCTGCGGCCTTAGCAGAACGCTTTGCGCTAGCATAGAGAACACGAGGACAGCATGGTATCAGACAGCAGACCCTGGCTGCCCCTTCCTCAACGACGTGTGGATGACACACCTGAGTGGTTACGAACCTTTCTTCTCGCAGCTGGCTCTCGGAAAGCACACGACGCAGTCATCGACTCTAGCTGGAGGGCTATCGTGGTACGCTGTCGATGGAGTTCAGACCGGCTCTCCCTCTGCGGTCAGTGCGACTCTCACCAACACTGACTCACAAGCTTGGTGGCAAGTTGATCTTGGGAGTGTCCACATGGTATGTCCCCATCAACCTTTGACTTCTCTGATTGCCTCCTCCTCCCAATTGATTTGCTGTCTCTCTATCTTGCATTGCATCTTCCCGTGTCGACTTTGATTCTTCATTCAGTTTGACTGTGTTTTTTTACATCATAAGGTGTCGAATGTCACAATTTTCAACTCTATTGAACAACCAGAGCGTCTGAGCAATTTCTACGTCCTCTCTTCCATGCAGCCCTTTGTGTCCGATAGACTGCAGGTTATCCCAATTTCATGTGCTTGCATAATTTTCCCACTACATCTGCCCTCGTTTTCATTTTACCTTCATTCCTCACCTCCTCTGTATCCTTCCCCTCCTTCCCTTTCCCCTTCTTCCTCCACATGCCTCTTCTTATCTGCTTCATTTCTTATTCCCTGGATTTTGTTTTCTTTTGTTTTTTTCTCTCTTTTTCCTCCATGCCGAGCTCCTTCTCATGAACAATGCAGGACATTTTGCACGACCCTAACGTGCAGAAAGCACATGTTATGTACCTAGAAGGAAGCAGCGTGGCTATCGATGTGAACAGCAAGGTGATAGACGACAGACACTTTAGGCATGACAGAAACAGTGAAAAGTGAGTGAATTCAATCTTAACATGTCCAGATGAAGGCAGGAAGGCTAATCCAATGCAAAACAATTCTGATTCTCTTTGATAGAGCAGCAGGAGGTATCGAGAACTTTGGGTTACAACATTATTCTGCAGCAGGGTGTAGGTAGTGCCGTGCAGATATATTATGTTCATTTGAGTAGGCATTACTTTGATTCTCCATCAAGTGAATCCAAAGAAGAAAATGAACCGAAGAATGAGGCTACGACCTATGGCAAGAAGTAGAAAATCGTCTTGTTGACCTGCTTTCAGGTCCAGTATATTCGGATTCAGCTTGCTGGAACGGACTATCTTTCACTCGCTGAGGTCGAGGTGTGGGGCTACCCTGAGATTCAAGTGAGAAAACGTGTTGATGAAAGGGGGAGAAACGGAGAAACGGAGAAACGGAGGGGGGGGGGGGATGTTGGTCAGGAGTCAATTTGTACGATTCAAGAAGATGGCTGCAGGACTGGCAAGAGGTATATGGGCTGAAACGATGGACCAAGATGCTTCCAAGAGTAGGCGGGACAGTGCCGACGGCTCCTCGAGCAAGACATTCAAGTAAGTCAGGCTGATGTGACTGAGACGTGAAATGAGAGGAGCAGTGGTAGGCGTGGAGAGATCCAAGGTGATACGATTGCAATGGAGGAAATGAAGCTTAAATTGCTGCATCAGCTACTTGTCTACGGAGGCTTCAACAGAGAGTATCCTTACTGGCTGAACGACTTGTATTCTTCTTTTCTCCTCCTAATCCCCCCCTACTGATTGTTTTACAGTTTCACTATCTCACTCACCGATTACATCTCTGATGCTCGAGAAGGAGTCACTTGGACGAATGTTTGTCTCTCCCTCTGCTGTCCACTTTTGATATCCCCTCAGATCTTTCCACGATCTCAAGAGCCCTCGACCGCCTTCCCTGTCGGACGCGCGGGACATTCTGCTGTATACTCGGAGACGTGCAGTGTCGGGGCAGGGGCCGAGCAAGCGAGCACAGCAAGCGAGGCAGACAAGCTCGTCTATCCAGGCATCTTCCTGCAGACCCCCTGGTGCCGGGGGCAAGTTCTCATCTATGGTTGGACTTCGATCGAGAGGAGAAGGGGCAGGTTGACATGCAAGACAGGAGGCGGCACAGAAGCTGCAATTGAGAGCTGGCATCCTGCCTACCCTGACGGGTTTCTAGGAGATATCTGGTTGTACAACATTTCGTCAGAGGTGATCAGCCCGTGAGTGTCTTCTCCTCTACCTCTAGCTTGCTCTTAGTACACGCAGGGTCAACTACTCTACTAACGCCCCCTTTCCTGCTCGGAGAAGTGACGCGACCCTAGTCTTGCATGAGGATATGATCGTACCATCCTCTGCTCTAGCCCCGCCTCTCTTGGTTGACGTGCATCGTAGATCTTGTATGGAGGTCGAGGTTCTGCGTCGGACTGTCTCAACTCTCTGTGTGGAGATGCTTGGACTCTAAATGTGAACCCCCTTTGTATCTTATCTTCTATCCCCAAGAATTCTCTACATGCACCTGGTTACACAAGTTGCGTGGGTGCAGGTCTCAGGTGCTGGCTCCTGTCCTCCTGCCTGCTCAGCTCATGGCGTGTGCGAATGGGGATACTGCGTGTGCGACGTCGGGTTCCTGGGGGTCACGTGCGAGCAGCAGCAATGCCCGAACTCAAGGTTAGCAGAGGATAAAAGGCGGAGGGAGAAGGGAGGACGAGGGCATGACAGACAGCTGAAATGTTCAAGTGCAAATCTCATTGGGTCGTGCAGATGCGTGTACGACTATCGTAACCACGTCAACGATTGTCTTCTGTGCAGCGGCAACGGAGTCTGCAATGCGAACGCGACCTGCATCTGCGATGTGGGATGGAAGGGGGAGGACTGCAGGTTAGACAACTAATTTGCACAGCAGCTATCCTCGTGCACATCTTCATGACGTGGCTGTCTAGTATCCTGCACTGTCCGGGTGGATGTTCTGGTCACGGGACCTGCAAGCTGGTACGGACCTTTCCTTCTTCATGGCCTCCCCGGCAGTCGACTATCTGCTCTGCTAGAGCGCACACCCATCTTACCTATTCTGGCAGGGAGGCGTGTGCGACTGCGATGAAGGCTTCGGGGGACCGGTAGGAAGTCATGATACGAGAGGGTGGCAGCAGAGACGAAGTGTCAGAGGGCGTGATAGAGTCTCTCACGACGGGATGCACAGGACTGTTTTGTAGCATTCTGCCCCAGCAACTGCACAGCGTGGACAGATGGCATCGACTCGGGTTTCAGAGGTGTGCCCTTCTGCTTCGTCCCTTTCGACTCTCCTTCACCCCCTCACTCTCCCCTGCTTCACATTCCAGCAGGCTTTAGGGTTTAGTAACAGCATATGACTTTTGCTCAAAATTCCTACAGGCGACTGCGATGTCGTGCGAGACCCACCTTGCTGTGGCATCGAGCCAGACTGTATTCGAACCTCCTCCTCTCCAAACCCTTGCACAGGTCTCTCCTCCTTCATCCAACTCAATTCGCTTAGACCATGGCAGCGCGAGCAACTGGATACGACACGACGCCTGCCCACAAGGTGAGAGGAAGCTCTTTCAAAGGTCTCAGCCTAAGGGGGCGGACAGGTTGAGGCTGTATGCTACTGCGCCGACGACTTCACTGGCTCGGACTGTGGGTCAAACATTGCTGATGTCATCATCGCTTCCAAGACATCGTGAGACGCACTCAACCACTAATGTCTGTACGACAGCTCAAAATCCTTATATCCCCTTCATTCACTGCAATTAAGAACCAACACTCTCGCGAATCTGCACAAGAATCACCGAGTTACCACGTCAGGCTTGTGTCTTAACCTTCCGAACCATTCGTTTCACAACGGATGCGAGAGACTTGCTTGCCGAACCTTCCCTCAACTTACCCTGCCCTCGGTTGCCTGGTTCCGTTGACATGCTCGGTACCTGGACCTTCGTATCATCAGCAATGCAGCGCACAGGAACACTATCCTATACGTCGCTCCGGTACTTGTCTGCCTGCTTCTCTGCTTCTTTCGCTTTTGCGATGAGATATTTCGCGCGTGTCATCTACAAGGTCAGGTTTTACATGGCACGTCTCATGCATCATGTTCACACCTCCCCCTGCTCGTAGGTTTCTAACTGATCTAGTTGGTGCTGGATGGAGCTGCACTGACGTCACCTTCATTTCATTTCCTCTCACTACCAAACTCACTCTGCTCGAGTCGCCTCTGTTTTGGCTTCAATTCTGAGATCGGTCGCTTTGGCTAGCTCATGCTTAGCAGCCTACAACACATTAGTCATTCAAGAAGCATCACAAGTGAAAACCTTGACGTTATCCACAGATTTTTCAATGAACGCTGAAGCCTTGAATAATATTTGAATCAAAATTAGCACAAAGCGAAAATCTTCACCTCTGGCGGAACTTCGGCTTTGATTGCACTTTTCACCATGCTCTAAGACGATGTTTGTCATTCCATGCGGACACTGGGAACTTATTGTGCGTACCCTCAAAAAATCAGAAGGTTTGTTGGGATCGACGACTTGGTTGACATCAGCGGCAGACTTCATCTGTAGTCTTGCGTCTTTCTTTCTTGCGTCTTTCCCTAACACACGTATTAGCGTAATCATACTAGTCATGAAAATAAAGCTACCACGTACAATTTCCAAGCTGCTCCAGCGAATGAATGATTCATAGTGGTAAGTGATGTGAGTTTGATACAAAAAAGCAGATGCAGAGAAAACCAACCTCGCTATGTTAGCAGCAGGGTTGACTTGCCACCACCTGTTCACATCAGCAGCTGATCTCTACAAGTATATCAGTGACCGGCCGTTGAATGAATGTGAATCAAGATAACCTGAGTCAGGAGTGTTTTTACATGATCTGTAGCCCCGAGAGTGTTGGAGTTGACAACTAAAAGGGAAAACGAATCACCATCATGCCCCGAGGCAACATAAAACAGCGAAAGTAAGCAGTCCGATCATAATGTCGCACGCAAAATTGCGAAGGACCAAGGCAGGCACTAGACAAGATCCTAACACTCACCGAGAACGAGACCTGCAAGGGTGCAAACCATCGGAACTATTTTCATCCAGCTACTCCAACTCGACAACGAGGAGCGGCATGCCTCTCGCTCTTCGCTCCTTCTCGTACCATGGCTGCCACCTTCGGCCATGGCCATGGCACGCCTCTTCACCGAGGGACCACATCCCCACTTCAAGTGCTGTACGCCGCTCCGGCGTGGCTCCGGCCCAGGTTCCGGGGAGTCCGGCCCGGCCCGCTCCGGCCCGGGGACTCGGGACCGGGCTCCGGGGGAGGCTGAGTCCCGGCGGGGCCGGGGGAGGCTCCGGGGGCTCCGGGGCTCCGGCTCAGCGGGGCCGCACGGACTCCCGGCCACGTCTCAGTGGAGCAGCCGGGCCCGGGCCTCAGCCCGGCGGGGCCTGCCGGACCCGGGTGACCCGCGGGACAGGCCGGGATCAACGCGTCGCAGCCTCCGCAGTGTATCATGTGGCTAGCAGCCTCAGTTGAGTGATATGACTCAGACAACACTGAAACGGCAACTCACTGAGTCAAATGGGGTCACGGGTGTAGAACATTGGATTGTATATACGCCCTGGCAAGCTGGGCATGTGTTATTCACTGAGTTGAACATCATGACGACAATCGAATCGGTTTAAAATTTGAGAGTACGCTTGTAACAGTTCACGTTTCCGCTTTGAATAATGAAAAACTCATTTCCGACGTCTCCTTCCTGTAAAATGCGTGAGATAGCCGTCAAAGGCGTTAATCAATCATACCTGAATGATAGTTTCGCCTGGCTCAGCAGTCCTCAACTAACAAGAGTGGTCATTACTGCAGTTAAACAAGAAGTTGAAATACCTTCATTGCTTCCGCGATCTTGAATTTCTCATATTGTGTCAACTCAGCTAGAAGTGAAACCTGCAGAATACAAAGTAAAGATCGCATCCTCTCCAGTTGTTCCTGGTTCCGAGTTAACCTTAGACAAGAATTGAAGACGATCGTTCATGTCTTGCTTTCCACTGTCAAAGAATAAGAGGAGGGGGCGACAGGCAAAGCCACGACAATGGTACCTCTGCATCATGATTTTGCGGAAGGTGTCTCGATCCAGAGCCCATGTCACGCACGACTGAATCAAATTGCATCATTCATCATCTACCACTGTGAGATAATTTCCACCTGGGTTGTGCGAATGGTTGCGTTGCGAGGCTCTCCATGCAACAAGGCAAGTTCTCCAAAAGATCCACCTACAAAGAAGTTCACAAAAAAACCTTGTTGATTGTCATGAAATGCCTGGTCCATATTCATTTACTTTGATTGGGTCCGAGCCCAGAGGTTTGGCCAACAACACCTTGATGTGATACCTCTTAACTCAAAAACAAAAATACAAGCACTGCTTACATCTGCCTTTCCAGAATCCAAGATATAATAGTAATCACCTACAGATTCCTCAGCAAACCCATAGACGACAAAATTGTTCGAACCATCATCGCCCTGTCGAATAATATCTTCTCCAGAATTGAAAGTTTTCTTCTCAAATGCTTCGATCACCTAGAATCCAACATGTGACGCAGCATTTAGACAACAAACAGATTTTACCGTTGTGCGCGCTTTTGGGTCCAAGTAAGCCAACAAAGCAGTTTTGGAAATATGCTACGACGACTTAAACATCCTATCAGATCTGGAAGACCATGCTGACCTCATCAAGGCGCTGGATTTCTTCTTCGCTCTTCGGGTACGATGGAGGAGTCCAACCATCTTCAATCTGTGTGATGTCAGAAAACCAACTTAAGACAGAAAGAAGGAACAGCACCAACCTGAGCTGCCTCCACGAATACTGTGCCACGTCTCCCCCTGCAAGAATTATTTCACTGGGCACATCCCAGAACGGAAGAATATGTCAAACAAACCTCCTAACATTCGCAGGAGGTGGGGTTGGTGGTGCATCATCTTCATTCTCTTCTTCGGGACCGTTCTGTTCCTGGTTGAACAGAGTAAATCATGAATCTGAACAACTATGGCGTACTTTCGCATCATCCGTGATCGCTTCTGGTAATTCGATAGACTTGTAAGATTCCTACAGAACTTAAGGTCGAGACAGAGTATGAAATCGCTTGCAGACCATGTTGCGCCTCAAGATCTCAAAAAGATTGCCGCAGAGCCTAGTGAAAGCGTCTCTGCTGAGAACAAGCAACGTGACTGTTCCAACAGCCTGCTCGATTGATCAAGGAGCTAAATCAATAGGAAACAGGGCACACCTTCACAGTTGCTTGTCGAGGCTTACCACTCAAAAGAGCAATCTCTCCAAAGAAATCACCTTGCGAGAGTTTGTGAACCTGAATACGTTCATTTCGGATTCCGCACAGCTTCAGCGCTTACCAGTGTTTCACACCATTCAGCTTGCTGGGGAGATGTTGGATGGTTTTCTATCAACCACCTTGCAAGCCATTTGAAAGGATCATCTGGTTGCTATCAAACAGTGAGTACTTGCGAGCCTCAAGACAGGATGGGATCTTACTTGCACACACATGTCCGTCAGTGCTCTGGACAAAACAGGAACAACGGTGGACTCAAGATATTCTTTTACTGCTTCTCGTCTTGTAACATTCGAAGAATCGGCTGCGCAGAAAATTGGAATTATCCACACAGCAAAACGTTCCTACCTGATTGGGACATGTTGGAGGTTTGAACAACTTCCTTGCAGAGGCAGATATTTCTGAGCGAAAAGTCAAAAGGGAACGAAGAAAGGCAAATTGCTTATAAACTGCATCAACTTTTAGCTATTTCCCAGCAATGAGATGTTCACTTTTGACTTGCCCTGATCATACAAGACCTAGTCTTGAAGTATCCTAACACATGTTATCTTCAAGGTGTTCATGTCCTTTCATCTATACTGAGATGCAGTGAAATCTTCCATACTCGGGAAAAGAAGTTTTCGAATTCGTTACATCTCAAATTCTGAGGTTCTTGCCACCTCTGTTTCATTTTCATACATGCCCACACGTTTGACTGGCATCATCCGACTCTTGCCCATTTACATCCCTCCACCGCGGCTCTGCACACCCTACCCCTATCCTTCCCCAGAATGGTACCCCTATCAATTACCTACACACCCACCCCAAGCCACTACCCTACCTGTGTACACCCCTGAATCACAGGGGATAGACTAGGTCCTCTGGGCTTTGCAATCATCAAACAAGAGCCATTACAACCCCACCCCAATTCAGTCATTTCGCTATCAGGCAGTACAGGTCAAACTACCCCCTTCCTCTCGTCTAAAAAGGCCGATCCCACTGGCTAACGTCTCCAGGACCCCTACCAAAGCTTACTACGTCCCTCTATTGTGCCATAATCGATCCCATGTGGATCTACGGACCCCTTGATGTCCTTGGTTTAGGACTGGGTAGGTGGGTAGGGTGATGATTGGGTCAATGAGGGCGATGACATTCTGGGTTTAGGGTTTAGGGTTTAGCCTAGTAGTTAGGGTTTCAAGTTTAGAAGAAGAGAAGGTCCAGCCATCATTGCCAGGAGAAGTCTAGCCCTGCCCGGCCACCGTGAGTGGCCGACTACATGTGGGGAGGGAAGGGGGGCTGGGAGGCTACGACACTTGGCCAAAAACAGGAAGGGAACCGGGCTCGGACTTAAGCAGGGCCCGGAACTTCCGTTGAACACTGAAAATATCATCTAATACGGAAGCACTGAACTGGGCCTAAGGGCTCATAGGACAACGAAGGGCCAACCTCTCAAGGCTGGGAACCCCTTTAGACGGATAAATAGGCGAGAGATGAGCAGAGAGCATTAGTTCTTAGCTAACACATTCTCGATTAACAGTCTAATAAACTCAAATAATAATAATAATAATAATAATAATAATAGGGTTTAGGACGACGGCCTTCAAGTTGGTAAAGAGCAACGAGGACTGTGACCGTAAATCAAAAGGGAAGCCTCAAAAGCAAGCAACTAGGATCAGCATGGCAGGGACGGAGAAAGGACACACGAGACAGCTGGAAGAGGGTTTGGGGTTCAACGGTTTAGGGTTTAGGGCCTCAGCATGACGAGGAGAGGAGCCCGAGCAGCGAGGAGCAAGCCCAAGAGCCCCAAGGGCAGCAGCAAGGCGCTGGATGGCTGGAGCTCAGCGACATCGACAGGATCACCATGGAAGCAGCGTCGCCGTCAGGGCCAAAGTCGATCTCCGACAGGGAGCTAGACAAGAGTATTGGCTTTAGGGTTTAGGGTTTAGGGTTTAGGGTTTAGGGTTTAGCGCCGTTATTTTCGGCAGGCGCCGTTATTTTCGGCAGCAGGCGCCGTTATTTTCGGCAGCAGGCGCCGTTATTTTCGGCAGCATGGCTCCTTGCCAGGTGTAGGGGAAGCCGCCAGGGTTTAGGGTTTAGGGTTTAGGAGCGCCGGTTATTCCAGGCAGCGCCGGTTATTCCAGGCAGCGCCGGTTATTCCAGGCAGCGCCGGTTATTCCAGGCAGCGCCGGTTATTCCAGGCAGCGCCGGTTATTCCAGGCAGCGCCGGTTATTCCAGGCAGCGCCGGTTATTCCAGGCAGCGCCGGTTATTCCAGGCAGCGCCGGTTATTCCAGGCAGCGCCGGTTATTCCAGGCAGCGCCGGTTATTCCAGGCAGCGCCGGTTATTCCAGGCAGCGCCGGTTATTCCAGGCAGCGCCGGTTATTCCAGGCAGCGCCGGTTATTCCAGGCAGCGCCGGTTATTCCAGGCAGCGCCGGTTATTCCAGGCAGCGCCGGTTATTCCAGGCAGCGCCGGTTATTCCAGGCAGCGCCGGTTATTCCAGGCGGAGCGCCGGTTATTCCAGGCAGCGCCGGTTATTCCAGGCAGCGCCGGTTATTCCAGGCAGCGCCGGTTATTCCAGGCAGCGCCGGTTATTCCAGGCAGCGGCCGGTTATTCCAGGCAGCGCCGGTTATTCCAGGCAGCGCCGGTTATTCCAGGCAGCGTCGGTTATTCCAGGCAGCGCCGGTTATTCCAGGCAGCGCCGGTTATTCCAGGCAGCGCCGGTTATTCCAGGCAGCGCCGGTTATTCCAGGCAGCGCCGGTTATTCCAGGCAGCGCCGGTTATTCCAGGCAGCGCCGGTTATTCCAGGCAGCGCCGGTTATTCCAGGCAGCGCCGGTTATTCCAGGCAGCGCCGGTTATTCCAGGCAGCGCCGGTTATTCCAGGCAGCGCCGGTTATTCCAGGCAGCGCCGGTTATTCCAGGCAGCGCCGGTTATTCCAGGCAGCGCCGGTTATTCCAGGCAGCGCCGGTTATTCCAGGCAGCGCCGGTTATTCCAGGCAGCGCCGGTTATTCCAGGCAGCGCCGGTTATTCCAGGCAGCGCCGGTTATTCCAGGCAGCGCCGGTTATTCCAGGCAGCGCCGGTTATTCCAGGCAGCGCCGGTTATTCCAGGCAGCGCCGGTTATTCCAGGCAAGCACTTCCCAGTGGA